AATCTATTCAGTCATACATAGATGGCGACACGTTTGTGTTGTCAAATCGTTCTACGGAGAACATTCGTTTCTATAGATGGACCGATCACGGATCTTAGCCGACAAAAATCGATCGCGATCGATTTATAAATCGGATCGGAACATCTCTATTTGTTTTTCCATTAGATTGTTTACGTTATCAAATAATTAGTTTCATTGTTCATTATTGCTTAATTTGTTTTGCTACAATATTAAATATTTATAATTATAATTTCTGGTGATTCTCCTCCTCCACCTCCACCACCACTTTCTCCATCAGCTGCCCCTGAACCTCTTTATGAAGGAAATTTTATGCAGGGCAATTCAGCTAATTTGTTGGTTTTCTTTTCACGATTTCTTAAAAACTACTTGGCCGATAGGGTCCATATTCCGTCTATGGAAGTTTGGGTGATACTCAATTGTCATATTTCAAGGTCAAGGTCATAAAGGTTATTCGTGAAAGAACGCACTTGAAGGTCATTTGAAGAACTTTTTGAAAACTAGAAATTTTTTTAAGCCTACCTGTGATGTTTTATCACTCCTGTACTTACAGGGTCTGATGCAATTTGCTTTCGGTAAAAAGTTATCTAAAGTAACCGATTTTGTTTTAGCGCAATACCAACGTTGCTTTGGAATATTATTATTTTTTGACTTCATGACCAAGCTTAAAAATTCTGGTTTTCAAAAGTTCTTCAAAAGTATTTTCGTTCTTCACAATAATCTTATGACCTTGACCTGCTGATGTAAACAGACAGGACTCATCAATAGTTTTGAAAATCTTGAAAAACCAACAAATGCTAATTATGTTGATGAAATTGGGTAGGTTATATTACAAGAAATACTTAGAATCTCAGTTAATATTTACTAATGCTTTTTGTTATTATTGTGATCAAATCACCAAACAATTAAAAAACTAATTAATTCAATCACAATTAACAATCAGCAATTAATTATTGATTGGTAATTAAGATAATGATGATGAGAAAACAACATGGGAATGTTGATTATGATGATGAAACATGATGTTCTGGTCATGATGATGAGAAAACAAGATGATTATGATGATGCTAATGATAATGATACTGGTGATGATGATAATGCTGATTTAGGTTGTGGCTCATAAGTCACCATCATTCCCAGTAAACAACAACAATTAATTGTGACAATTAATCAACAATCAACAATAACAATCAACAGTAACAATCAACAGTAACAATCAACAGTAACAATCAACAGTAATAATCAACAGTAACAATCAACAGTAACGATCAACAGTAACAATCAACAGTAATAATCAACAGTAACAATCAACAGTAATAATCATTATCATCATCATGAAACCATCATCATGAAAGCATCATCATCATCGTCGAGGTTGGTTTTCCCTTTCTTTCTCCTTTCTTTTTCTTCTTCTTTTTCCTTCCTCTTTCCTCCCTTGAACTCAATTGTCAGGTAGTCCGATAATTGCGTTTATCCTTTCCCTTTTCTGGCGTTCTGGTCGAGATCGGGTAGTCCGATCTCTATAGAATCATTCTTCTATCCCCTCAGATAGCCAAAATTCATCAGGTCAGGTAGTCTGACTTGGTGAGTTTCTCTTTCTTTTTCTCTTTCTTTTGATTCTCTTTCTCTCTTTATCTTTTCGAAGATATTCTGTTATCTAAGTGATTGAAAGATCGGATAAATTGTTTGATCGTGTAGAACGATCGATAATGATCAAGTTCGAACCTGACCTTCCCACAGATATTTTATTCAACTCTTAATCAATTAATCATTGACATTCTTAATTGTTAATCTCCGATCTTAATTGTTATTCCTTATTATTAATTATTCGATTATTGTAATCCTCTTTATCTTAATGTAATCTCAGTTAATTAATTATTCTCAGGTGGTCAATTTGACTATTAACTCTCTTTAATTCTCCCGAATTTTCCGAGAAAAGGTATAAAAGAAAATAGTTTTGATAAAATTGACCAGAGAAGAATAATTATCATTAATTCTCACCCACAAAGTCCATTAATTATTCTGTTTAACTTTATGTATCGTTTTATTAGTCACTGTGTTTCGACATTTAAGTTCATTTAATCAAGAAGATCACTTTTTACTTTCAACATTGTGCTCGTCATAATTTTATATGACATTATATTAGACGTTTTTTGAGCCAACCGGGACCGATGACTTATAAGGTTGATTTAAATTTCAAGGCTATGGCCCGAATACCATTTTTACATGGAATAAATCAAGCCGAGGCTAAGGTGATAATTAAAGAACAGTTGGCTGATCTGACATCAGCCAAGGCTATTCTAATTACCAAAAACAGCAATAAAACAATTAATGATTTGGTTGAACAAATATCAGCACTGGACAAGCTGTTCAACGAAGAAGCTCACAAAAATGAAGCCCTCCACAGGGAGAACATGGAAATGAGAGAAATGCTGAAAATAAAAGAAGGTCAGGAAGGAGAAGAAGAAATTTCATTCCCTGGTTGATGAAGAAAATGAAACAAGAATTTTCAATGAATACTGAAAAATTCAAGGAGAACCCACGAGGGTTGTAATATCTATGTAATCAAAATTCTATTCATTAATTGACAAAAGAGCTCATTAAATTTCGTTAATTTCCATTAATTAAACTTTCTCTTTTTTTTTAAATTTCACGCAAAAAAAATTCAGGAAAAACTTGATTCAAAACCCTCACTTTGATTCAGAAACCACCTGATCCAAAACCCTCAACATGATCCAGAGTCATCTTTTGATTAACTACTATTATCCCTCGAAGATAAAAGGCTACTCTCTCATTCCGGTAAAACTGTTGATCAAATGAAAAAAGTGCTCGATTCACAATGTTAAACCATACTAGTCTCAAAAATAAGTTGCAGGTCATTCTCGGCACTTGGGACTAATCGCCTTCCATTTATTTAAATACAACGGAATTGTGGCCGGAGCACTTTGGATATTTTTTTTACCAAAACAAATTTAACTTTCTGTAAGGGCATGAAAAGTTGTCGATAAAATAAAAATTTCATGATCTAAAACCCATCGTTGCTGAGAAAAAGCGACCCGAAATTTTAACTTCGAACTCGATTTTCTAGAAACTACAGGGCTATTCAGCTATTTTTATCGATGTTTTTTTGCGATTTTCTCAGCAACTGCGAACAGACAGAAACGAGACTTGAGTGGTATGAGTTTGAGCGATACTCAACTGTCATATCAAAAGATAAATTGATAGAAGAATAGAAGATTTTCAACAGTTATTCAATTAAACTGTAATATCTCAAGATCTGTAACAACAACGATCTCTAAACTCATTTTCCAGCGTTAAACAATGTGGAGTATAACTGAGCCACCTTCAGCTGACTCGAAACGCGTTATTTCACCGATGACCTGAATGACCTTGATCTTTTGATATGACAATTAAGTATCGCTCAAACTCATATCACTCAAGTCTCGTGTCTCTTTGACTCTTAGTTGCTGAGAAAATTGCAAAAAACATCGGTATAAATAGCTGAATAGCCCTGTACTTATCAGATCAGGAAAAAATAAATATATTTGGACTTCAAATATATGTGGCCTTACAAATACACAAAGTTTCAACTCTTAACTCAAAACTAAGATTCAACGACAATCCTCCTTTGCTAATAATTTCTGTAAGGTGTTTGCCTTGGTGTTAAATGATCGCTAACATCGTATTGGGTTGATTTTGTTTTTTAAATCACATGAGAGAACCCCTTTGGGTAACATATGATCATTTTTTTGTTTTGATTCAGTTGTTGATTTGTTTTGTTTGACAGTAATTAAGACACTGATTAGTTTATTGATTTGATGCAAAGTCTTTTTGATTGGCTAGTTTCAGTGTTTTAATTCAGTTTAATCATTGAGATTCGCAGTCTTTGAGTATTTTGTTGTTGTTTATTTGTTATTTGGTCTTTTGATTTGGTTTTCATTTCTGATTGTCTTTTTTTCCTGTTGATTAATTTTAATTGTCATGGCAGAATCTAATCAGATTGAGATTCAAGGAAATAGTTTGCATTTTTTATAATCTTGTTATCCATGGCACTTGTCAACAAAATATTATGATGAATACAAGTTGCATAAGTAGGGGCAAAGCATACCACTCTGGCACAATTTCTCTTTGTCTCTTCCCCCACCTTTCACCCTTTCTTTTTTCCTTTTTCTCTTTATTACCAAATTTCTTTCCCCCTCTTTTTCTACAAATTAACTTTTTCTTCATTTACAAATGAACTCTTAAACTAATTTCTTTTCCTTCTCTTCACCACACACCATTAACCCACTTCACACCCCACTTTTCTCTCTCTCCTTAAAGCTGGTCTGAATAATCGTTAAAGAAATTTAATTATCTTTACGATCATTAAAGAAATTTAATGATCTTTAAGACCATTAATGAAATTTAACGATCTATTACAGGTCTCAACAATTATATTTTTTTTCATAAATAAATAAATGAACGAAAAAATGATCATTTTATCATGTGTATTCGTAAGACAAACGATAAAATAGATCTTTAAGTTTGAAGTTTTATAACAAAGTTTCTTTTTAAAGTTTCTTTTAAAGTTTTTTCGAAAGTTTTGTTTAAAGTTTGTGAACTTAAGCTTTGTGATAAAATATATCTGAATCATATTCTAAATTGGAGCATCAAATACGAAGCATAAAAGTAAGTTGCTTTATTTATATCATAGTGTTTTATTTCATGTCAATTTTGTTTTCATCTACAATTGATGAAGACTTTAATAAATGTTATAATTTATACCAGATATCTCCATCTCAATTCTTGATAAGTTTCATCTCTCTCTCTCTCTTGTGTTTTTCTCTCTCTCTCTCTCTCTCTTGTGTTTTTTTCTCTCCTGTGTTAATCTCTCTCTATTTCTTCAGTCTCTTTTAGTCTCTTTGATTCTCTTTGAGTTTTTTTCCTCTCTATGTTGTATTAGGAATGGAACGATTATTGGAGAGATTACTCAATGCGATGGATGATTTCATCACAATTGATTGCGTAATTTTTCACGGTTGAGTGATCACAATTTTGTTTAATTTTGGTTATGCATGAGTGCATTTGGGGGGAGGTTTATGAGGGGGAGGGGCCGGAAGAAAGCGGAAGTAGTATTCCCCACCCCTTCCTGTGCCAGAGTAGTATGGAATGCCCCTACTTGCATATTAATCGAACGTAAATTACGATTGAATTAGTCGTATAATTGTTATAATTTGTCTCTTTCACAACAATAGATTCGCCATAATATAAGCCTTCACCTGAATTCGGAAATCTTTTAAGAGATGAATCTGAAAGTAGCTCTTCTTAAATCATCGACTCTCTAATTACTGCCGACCACTACCATAAACCCTTAGTAAATTAATTCAAATATTTATCATCTATCTATAGTTTAATTAGTAGGATAATTTCATTGAGCTAAATATGATTTCTTTTGATTATTATTGTTAATTATCGTGCTGAATAACTTTCTAATAAGTGAATGAGAAAAAAATCGATAAAATTGAATCAAATTTCACAAAATTGATTGAAATTGGCTATTAATGAACACACTCACGCTCAATCGGTTGACTTACATGTTAGATGATCTGAGAAAAAGGAAGCAATAAATGAAATTACGGAAGATATCTAAACTAGCAATCAATTCGACTAAGCAGTCACTAATTATTAGTGTATCAAATCGTCCATTATATGATCCAAAATGAATGTGGAAAAATCTAATAAGCGAAAAGTTAAAAGTTATCCAGAGTTACGAAGATTGTTTAATCTCGTCTTGATTGACTTAAATTACTTGACTTTTCCGAAACAATCAAAACGCTGGTATGTTTTTTTGTCTTTAATCATATTCATTTCAAGTGTATTCAGATTTTCCTACATGGCAGTAGTTTCGGAAATCAATGATGTTTCGTTTATCATTGGTGATTTTACAATCTTTTTACCGCCAATTCTCAAGCCAAAATCATCCGCTGCATTTATTATCTGGACTTTCTGTGCATTCAGGGTGATTTATATTTTCCATCAAGGTGAATCTAATCCGAAACTTAGACAATGGATAACCATTGGTCGTTTATTAGATTATCACCGATTGTCCCCACGATTACGATTCGTCTCAAAAGTACTAACCAAGTCAATACTTATACACCCATGGGGATCTGGATTGATAATATTTTTCTGTGCTTTACCTTCAGCATTTTATTATCCATTTAAATATTGGATATTTTTAATATTCTGGATGATTGTGACAATGGTCTACAGTTTATTACTTGCTTCGTATACATATAACTTTAATTTCATTTATTTTACTTCGATAATTGAATTTGCTGAGACAATTAACTCAATATCTTTGCCTTTGTCGGTTACAATTAATAGTTATCCAATTTGTGAGTTTGATAATAAGGTGAAGTCTAAATTTTCAGGAAAATTATCTCGACTAAGTGTTAACTATATTAAAAGAATCAAGAAATTAATTGTTGATTATCAATTTTACAATCAAATCAATACTTGTAATCATGTTTCTTCATTTTCTATGCAATTAATTTGCCTTTATCTTGCTTGTTTTGTATCATTGCCATTATACACTCTGAGTGCTGTTGTGGTTTTCACTATTAACCAATTTCTAGCTGGACAATCAACTCATTTTTTCATCAGCACCTATGGACAAAATAAAGTAAGAAATTGTTTTGATAGAAATGTGACCAAGTTTCTAATTGTTACTCTTAATTTTCTATTTCTCAGATTGATTCATTTTGCTCACAATTAAGACGATCACTTACTCTTGATTTAACAATTGGATACAAATTGAAGATAATTAACTTGTTGGAACATATTGAGAATCGAAACTTTTTCAACATTTTTGGTTCGCTCAACTATTCAACTCATCATTTTGTTCTGGTAATTATACAATTTAAATTGTTCTTGTTAATTGTTCTAGTCTTTTACTGAACCAAACATTTTTTCTTTTGATCATTTCAGAATATATTGGAATCGGCATCAACATTTCTCCTTTATACCGTTGTGGCAATGAAATAATTAATACAATTAACACTCTTCGATTCAAATTATCGTCAATATCATTAACTGTATTCGCGTTAATTTTTTAATTTACCAAAACAATCAAAATCAATATCGTCGATTATTGAACTTGCTTTAATTGACAAGATGAGGTTTTCATTAGTTTGAATTAGTTTGAATTATTTAGATATTTATGTAATTAATCAAAATGAGAAATCAGCATTCGTGTTATTAAAATATTCAGCTTATTCGTGATTAGATAATTAAGTTAATTATTGTTATCATTAATAACTTTTTTATTCTTATTGACTTTCACCTATGGATCTTTTGAGTAGATAAATTTTATCAACAATTAAGCAAAATAATCAAGTGATACAGTTTCTTAGTTATATTGACCATAATAACAATATACTGGATAAGAAGATTTGATTAATCACTGATTTAGTTTTAAAGATTAACTTCAATCAAATCAAACTTGAAATTTGAACACGTTCTGATTGTCGGAGACATTACTGTGTCTCGAGTTTAATTGTGTCAGATAACAATAACTGATTGTTAGCGATTAATTCACTCACGTGTTTAGTATAAACTGAATTGAAAAAGTTTTAACTTATTCATCCAATCAGATTAATGAATAAATCAATCTAATTATAGTTAGTAAACTATGAAATGTAATAGTTTGTTTTAATTGTCCAAATGCAATTAACTTTAACAATGGTTGTGTTTACATTGTAATTTTATGATCGTATTAAAATTTAATTGACGCAAACAATTTAATCTAGTTAACCATTTGAATTTTGTCTACCAATTTATTGATTTCCAAAGCAATTTGATAAAAATTTAGTGTAAATAACAATCAACAGATATGATTTGGTTTGAATTATCAATAATTTCGCAAGTTGTCACAAACAATTACCTCTCAATATAATTTGATTACTTTCATTAAATATCAAAATTCAGATTTTCTGATTGACATTTAATTATTAATTCATTTTATCCATAAAAATGAACTTAATTGGCAACAATTTATTGATATAAATATTGATCAATATTCAGATCGATACAGAAAACGATTCAATTATTCATCATCACAATTGCATGATTTCATTAGCTACTGATCATATCCAATTATCAGTTCATTGATTGTTAGTGTAAAACTCACGGTAAATTACTCACTTAATTAACGATTAAATTAACATTCCGAAAGAATAAGAGTAATTCAAATTTGGCGCTATTTTTTATTCTACATGTGGTTCAGTTCAATGAGTCACATTTTAGATTTTTAAATTTCAACTTGTTTTGGATTCGTGATTGTTAGTCAAATTTTGTTTCTCTTTGATTGTTTTAATTTATTTCGAGTTTTATTTTGATAAGGAGTTTTGTTAAATTATCTGTTCTCTTTTCTTAATCGTGAGTTTTGAATCGTTAGAGGTAATAATGGGTCGACGGTTTAGTAATAAAAGAGGAAAAGGTAAAAACAAGGAACGGAAAAGTGGCCGAGCTCCAAGAAGACCTGGAAAACCAGTGAATTATGCCGACATAGTTAAAGAAAATGATACTTATGTTGAATATTATAAAGCTCAGAAAATTGTTCCACCAGAGGAATGGGAAGATTTTATGTTTGCCATAAGAGATGAATTACCGGCCGCTTTTCGTATAAACCGATGTTGCATGGGACAAACATTAAAACTACGAGATATGATTAATAATAATGATAATTTTAGTGCAATCGTTAACCCTGATGGTAAAAAAGTGTCCGCCATTGCTGCTCTTCCTTGGGATAAAGAGGGTCTATCATTTCAATTCAATTATTCTCGGGTTGAGATAAGAAAATCTGAAGCTCTACAGCGATTACACTCTTTTCTTGTCTCAGAATCGGAAAATGGTTATATCAGCCGACAAGAAGCAGTCTCCATGATTCCACCTTTACTATTGGATATTCAGCCTCACCATAAAGTTTTGGACACTTGTGCCGCTCCAGGATCAAAAACAGCTCAAATCATTGAGATGTTAGATGTTAATCTAGAATCCAAGCAACAACAAACTGATCCAAACTCATTACCCATAAGGTAAATGACTAATTTTTCCATCGGTCATTTTGATTGACCCATTGAAACATTTTACATTTTGACTAACCAAGTTTTCACTCATTGTTTTGTTTTCCTTACTTTCTAGCACTGGTATGGTGGTGGCAAATGATGTTGACAATAAAAGGTGTTACATGTTAGTTCATCAAGCGAAACGATTACATTCACCTTGTTTCATTATCTGTAATCATGATGCCGGTGGAATGCCCAATTTTTTCACTCAATCAAATGGAACCAGAACTAAGCTTAAATTTGATCGAGTCCTTTGTGATGCTCCTTGTACGGGTGATGGAACCATTAGGAAAAATATCGACGTTTGGACAAAATGGACCATTTCAAATGGTAACAATTTTCACAACATTCAACTACGAATTGGTCGACGATCTCTTGAAATGTTGGCCAAAGACGGAATGATGGTTTATTCAACCTGTAGTCTAAATCCAGTTGAAGATGAAGCTGTTGTCGCTTCACTGTTAACACAAAGTCAGGGTACAGTTGAGCTTGTTGATGTTTCTAATCGTTTACCTGGACTTAAATATCTTCCTGGTCTCGAAACATGGGTAGTGATGCAAAAAGAATCTAAAATTGTCAATTCATTTGCTGAAGTTGAGGAAAACTTGAGAACTCAAATTCGTGAGTCAATGTTTCCTCCAGCAAACGCCAAGGATCTTAACCTCAATCGGTGTCTTCGTATTTTACCTCATTACCAGAATACTGGAGGATTTTTTGTTGCAGTTTTACGTAAAAAAGTTGATTATCTTCCCTGGGAGAAGCCAAAAGATTTGACCTCAAATAGTGACACTGAAAATGTTAAAACGGAAGAATCGATAACAGAGGAAGCGGAACCACCTAAACCTGACCATCCAAACAAGAGACCACGACGATCGCTTGGTTTCAAAGAAGATCCTTTCTTTTTCCTGACCCCTGAAAACGAGGAATGGATTGAGATTAAAAAATTCTTCAAAATCTCAGATGATTTTCCAGTTAATCAACTGGTTGTTCGATCATTAGGAGCCAAAAGAAACATTTACTTCGTTACATCTTCTGCTCGTGATATTATAACCAACAACGAAACTAACGTAAAGGTAACACAGAGATTAAATCAAATTTTCCTAAGAATTGTTATAACTAATTCATTCAATTTTGATTCTTTTTCCTTTCTTTCTCTATTTCAGTTCATTAACGCTGGTGTCCGTCTATTTTCACGAGCCGATGACAAAGTTTGCGATGTCGGGTATCGGATAACTCAAGAGGGATTAGCGTCACTTTATCCTTACCTAGATAAAGATAATATGGTTCCGTTAACAGCAAGCGAAATGGCACTTCTGATGAGCCAAGAGATGACAACTCATGAAGAATTGGAAAAAGTTACTCAGGAAAAACTTTCCACATTACCAAGTGGTTGTATAGTTGCCATTTATCGTGAACAATTAAATTCAAAATCACCGAGTGGTGAGATAATTAACGAGGAGATGGTTATACCTTTATGTATTTGGAAAGGTAAAACTACTGTTCGTCCTTTTGTCTCGAAAACTGAACGGATTCATTTTCTCCGTATTTGTGGTGGTGACACAAAGGAATTGGAAGCAAGTGAACTGAAAAGATTCCAAGAGAAACAGGAAAGAAAACAGGCCAGAATTGATGAGAGAAATCAACAATTACTCAAAGAAGAAGAAGAATCGCAATCATCAACAATTAAAGAAGAAACAATTGAAGAGATGAATTTACAAATCAATCAACCTGAAATTGTTCAAGAGACAAATTGAAACAATTTACAATCGTTTCAATATTTTAATTACAAAGATGAAACAATGACCAGTTAATCAAAATGAAGTGACCATTATCCTAATCTAAATCTATTTTTGATTAAATTATGTTTTTATCAAACAATAGATTAATCAATAATTTTTCTTGATTACAATCAATGTGAACAAAATGAAAACAAAAGGAAATCCGCTTTTCTTGATTAATCAAATTGATCAACAATTTGAAACAGGATAAAATTATTTTCTTTGTAAATTTTTTCTTCTCTCTCTCTCTCCTTACTCTCTAATTTGTTAATCAATCAGTTTATTGACTTGTAATTGAATTTGTTTTTAGTTAACAAAATCAAGTTTAATTGTGAAGGATGTTATTAATTACTAACAATTGTCCACAATTAAAATGTATTCATCTGAATGTACAACTCTGGTTCCTCGAGGTGCTGCTGATTTGGCAACAATTTCATCATTAATCATCATCTTAATCGGTGTTCCCGGTAATCTAATTGTTATCTTATCCCTTTTCTCAAGTTCTAAACTACTCTCAAATCCAACAACTAAATTCATAATCAACTTGGCAATAGCTGATTTAATTTTCTGTTCAATTAACTTACCATTAACATCAATCCGTTACTACACTTGCTCTTGGCCTTTCGGTGATTTGATCTGTCACCTTTATCCATTTTTATTTTATTCAAATGTCGCCGTTTCTTTAATGTCAATCACAGCGATAACAATTAACAGGTAAGAATTGAGAAGACAATTAACTTCTCCTCAATTGGAAATTTCATCTTGTTGTTTTTTCTGTTCGATTACAGATTAGTATCAATAACTTTCTATCGTCATTATGATACAATTTATCAGAAACGTTACATTCTCATTATGATCGCTTTTTGTTGGTTATTTCCGTTTTTACTTCTTTCACTTCCGATGTTCAAACTATGGGGACAATTTGGCCTCGAACCTTCAACCTTTTCGTGTACCATTTTACGATATCAAAATGGTTCACCGAAAAAGTTTCTCTTTCTTTTATCTTTTTTCATGCCAAGTTTAACAATTTTAATTTCTTATTCGATAATTTGGTTCAAAGTGATGTTCCATCCAACCAGAAGTAAAGACATGAAAAGGAAAACATGGAAAAGAGATTTAAAGATGACAAAGATGATTGTCATTCTTTTTCTCACCTTTATCACTTGTTTTGCTCCCTTAATGATTGCCAATGTCTTATTACCACAGGATAGATATCCCTATGTTCATATAATGGCTTCCATCATGTCCTGGCTTAATTGTTGTATTAATCCTCTTCTTTACTTTGCAATGGATGGAAGATATCGATCGGCCTTTAAACAATTCATCTCTGCTTCTGCTGCTGTAATCAATAGTAATCGAGGTGATACAACTTCTAATTTGTGATCAATACAATTAACAATTAAAAAAGAACACATTTTCCATTACAATTAATCAACCAGTAATGGTTTAGTGGTTATTACAATGTTTGCTTTTTAGTAATCTCACACATTGTGTTTAATGTGTTTTTATGGGATTTTGGGTGAGTTGATACATTTTTAAAAGATTAAATTGATTGGATGATTGGAAATTTTTTTGTTTGTTCACAATTGTTAGTCAGTTGATTGTAAAAAGTATAGAAAGTATTATTTTCCGGGAGTGGAACAAGACTTTGGGAGACATTCATCTTCGGAGTGAGGGACCATCATTGTGAATGCTTCTGATAGACGGTAATGCATAGATCCACGGTGAATATGTTCAAAATCGGACTTTGGGTCCATCTTTTCAAGCTTTTGTTTTAATGTGGTTGTGTCAGCATCGGCCTTTAAAGTGCTTTCACCGCCACGAGGAGGTTCACTGATATCGAAACGGATAAGAGGTGCATTCTCTGTGGGTTCATCTTTGTAAATTGTAAAATCTTTTACAGGAACGGGAGGTTTAGTAATCGGCATGGTTAAAGTGTTATCGAATCGAGACTCATCATAAGAACCATTTAGTAAATTTCTTACGATTGCTGATACTTCACAATTTTCTGGTTTCTTTTCTTGAAATAACTTTATGAGTGTTGATAATTTCGATTCTAATCCTTGGATCGCTTGGTCCATCTCTTTAATCTTGATTCCTCTTTCTTTCTCATTGATTTCTCTTTCTTTTTCTTGCATGATTCTTTCTTTCTCTTGCATAATTCTCTCCTTTTCAACATTAATTCGCTCGGTTTCACCTTCTTGTCTTTCTTTTTCTTGTTTCAACCTTTCAGACTCATTTGCTAATCTTTCAAGCTCATTTTGAACTCTTCTTTCTTCTTTTTCCTGTAATTCAGCGTCAATTCTTATTCTTTCCTGGTCTTTCGATTCTCTTTCATGGTCTTTGTTTTCTCTCTCGTGGTCTTTAATTTCTCGTTCTTTGTCTTTCAAGCTTCTTTCTTTTTCTTTGATTTCTCGGTATCTTTCTTGTTGTTCTCGTTCTTTTTCAGCATCAGCAATTCTTTTTTTCTCAGCTTCTTCACTTGTTTTATCCTTTTGCTCTTTCTCTTTTTCTTTCTCTTCTCTTTCGGCGATCTTTTCTTCGAGTGCAGCAATTCTCTGCAGTAAAGCCTCCATGTGTTCCTGGCGATTCCTGTGGTCTTCCTTCATTTTTTTGGCTTTGATAAATTTCTTGTAACGAATCTCTTCAAATGAATACTCTGTTCCACCAATGTACATTCTGTCTAAATCGCAATAAAATTTCTGGTTGGCAAGATTTTCTGGTTTAACTAATGGCGGTGAATCGTCATTTCTTTTTTTCACTTTGAATACATCAGCTGATATGGTTGCATTAAGAGGACTGTCACCAGTAACTGTTTTATCTTCATCTTCCTCTTCATAGATAACAAATTCACTTCGAGGTACAGCAATCGGCTTTTTCTTAATACGAAAATCGGACCATTTACCAGGTTTCATACTATTTTCTTTAGTATCGGTGACGATAGATGATTTAACTGAGCCTGTTGGCATAATCTGATCAGGTGTCATATTTTCTTCGTCGACATAAATTAAAGGAATAGAATTTGATGATTTAGTAGAGCTACTAGCTAATCCTTGAGAGCCAATTTTAATTGATGAGACACGATCTACTGGAGCGATGGCAACATCTTTCTTTATCCGAGGCTTCAAACCAATTAAAGCTTTTCTCTGAGGCTCTTCAGTAGTTGTTTCCATTTCTCCACAAACAATTTTCTTCGCAAGTCTAGTTTGAAGTTGGACACGAGCAGTTGTTATCTCATCTTGAGGCTCAGCACCAATCAACAAACCACGATCTAAAACATTATCAGCTTCTTTAAAATTACCAGCAGTCTCAAAAAGCCAAGACCAATCAATGTAGAAACTTGCTAGTTTAGTGAACACTTTTTTGGCAAACAGGGAATCATATTTTTCTAAAGGTTCAGACAATCGACGACGATATCGAGCAAAAACCGAATAAAATCTTTCATCATCACCATACCGAGAATCTTCAATGAACCGTTGAACACAATCAGTTAGAACATCCATTAATCTGCCTTCTTTACCACCACACGGATAAGATTGTTCAATCCAATCGATAAACTCTAACCAATTTTGAAGAGGATCATCACCATCATCTAATAAAATCTTCTCCTCATAAGAAGCTCTTTCAATGTCCAGACAATTAGTCTTACTAGCGGATTCTTCAATCTTACTAACATCTCGACCTTTGGCAAGAGGTTGAACATTTTCCTTACAAAGATACCAACTGGCATCATGTTGCGATTCATCAGCCATAATAGATGATACACTAAACTACAGTAAACACACAACAATTAAAATAAAACACAATTAAAACAAGATTAAAGTCAAAAGATTAATTGAATCACCAAAATAAAAGATGAAAAATTTTCCTCTCAAGTTTTGACAACAAAGACCAAATAAATTCAAACTTTTATTCTAACAAATGTGATTGGTTCAAATTTCTAAAAATCAACCAATCAGAACAGAGGAAAATTTTCCCTCTTCAAGTTTCCCTCTCAACATTAACTCCATCTATTGGAATTTTTTGTAAACATATTGTCTCTTTTTTTCTCTTCTTTTGAAAAAATTGAATCAATTTTAATTGTAAATTATAATTTATTAATTTTGAGGAATTTTGATTTTCTGTTTGAGATTAAAATTATAAAAACACCATTAATTGTGATCTCAATTTGTGATCTTTGTTTCACTTATTCCTTGGCTTTATCTCGGTCGATTACAGCTTGATCAAATTTAATCATGAAAGTGGTTCCTTTGTGCCAGTGAACTGTAACTTTAGCATTCTGTAATTAAATCAGTTATTTAATCAATTAGTTGATTCGAAATTGATTGGTTTTTGTTAACTTACGAAACCAGTTTCGTTTAAAACAGCTTCGATTATACCACCGATGAAAGAAGCACAATTTAAACTACCTTTATCTCTGTGGGAATAGGCAAGAGAAATTAAGTATTTTTTGGCAATTAAAATGGTTAATTGTTGTTAATAGAATGGAAATAAATTGTTACCTATTGTATGAAATATACTTGTTGACGATTGGATCACTTTCTATGATATAATCTATGTGGATGTGGAAGAGATGAAATTGATTAGATTGAATGAATTGTTTTTTTCTCTCAATTTTTAACTAACATGTTGTTGGATCATCATTTGAGTGCTCCAATTTATCAGCATCTTTGGCAAACAATGTTTTCCACAGGTTAGTTTTAATGAATATCAGCATGTTGATTAGTTTAGTTTCTCTTTTGAAATTTTTCTCTCGAAGAAATATTAAATCAACCATTCGTTGTCCAATATGATAACCCATCTCTGAAAGTCTAATGATGAAAGATACAAAGTATAACAATAAGAAAGCTCAATTTTCACATCCAACTTACTTTTTCTGTAACTCGGGAACTGTATACACTTTACTATGACAGTACTGAACCACTTCTGAGAATAAAAATGCAAATGCATTCACACTAATCTGCATAGAGAAGGAGAGAAACGAAAAAAAAAATTAAAGAGAAAATCAAATTGTGACAATTGTTATAAAATAGAAACAGTTAACTCATCAATCGTACCTCATATTTCACCTTCGGTAATGGCCGATCAAGTGGACCAATCTTTTGTTTTCCCGTGAAAACAGGAAATAAATCCATAGTTAAACGGAAAGACAATTAAATATAACAATTAAATTGACAAGATGATCACCAAATGTTAATCAATGAACAAAATGTAAACATTGAGAATTTTTTTCGCCGATTCCAGTGACATCTGTTGGTCGAAAAGAAAAGAAAACATTTCGTTTCTTTTTTTTTTAATTTCTTTTCAATTTTTAATTTGAATTCCCTTGTGAACTTAATTGTCATTCTAAATTGTTGCTGGTTAACACTGGGTATTTTCTTTTAGTTTTCTGATTTTCACCTTGACTTTGAAATTGTCGCATTACCGATACCTAATAAAATGGACTATTTTTACCAATATTACAATGATTGTGATCACCATTCAACCTTTTCCCCTTTAATTGCTGACCAATGTTATTGTCCATCATCAACGTTTCTTTTATCATTGAATATTATTTTATTGGCTATTCTCATCTATACCTTTACTATGGAAAAAATTACCATCACAATTAATCCAAAATCACCTTTTATTGCCTTGAGTGAAAATGTTTCACCTTTGTCACCAACCATTGGGTCATCATTATCATCACCAGGATCAATTTCAATGGGTAAAGGTGACATTGATTTACCTTCAGGATCATTGGAGTTATTGAGATTACCTTCAAAATCATCTTCAGAATCTTCCAAGGTCATGATGAAACCACAAATATCGACATTTAATTGTTTCCCGTCACCTTCCGATAGTTTATTTGGTCAACAGAATGATGAGAAATTGATTAACTTGGAATCAACCAACATATTCAATGAGCCTCTTTCAAGTCCAACTGATTCATTTGAATCATCAGCTTCCACGAGGAGGAAACTAATTAAGCCTGATTTTAGTTTGAGCTTTTTTGATTCCTCAATATCATCAACCTCTATTCCAACCGATGATGATAGTCGCATGTCAAAGGTCAGAGAAGACGAAGACGATAGTTTCAAAGATTTCAACGTTCTCATACACAGTGGCCAAGAAGAAGATTATTTTTGCCGATAATCAAATCACTGGAAAATACTTTTAATTATTTCAAAATCACTCATGATCCATAATCTTTGTTATCCCTTTTTTTTTAATTGTCGATTTTGTTAACCCTTCAACCTTTAATGAGCTGAGCTCATAATCAACTGATTATCTTCATGTAAATTTCATGTAAATCTAATCGCCAGCAATCAAATGAAATTGTGGCAAAACTTTTCATCGATGATCCAGATCCAAATGACATAGAACTGTTACTAAATTAAACAGTCTTTCAATTACAATCAACTAACAATATCAACGTGGAAGCAAAAAAAAAACAAAGTGATCTTGATTCGAGAATTGTGAAAGCGGGAAAATAAAAACAATTCTGATCAGTTCGAACCTGAGAAATCAGAGCCAGAAAATCAACAGAAAAAGTAAAATGCTGACAACAATTAACAACAACATGGAACCAGATTGACGTTGATTAAATGATCTAATCACTAGCAAGAGAACCATAAAAATCAACAATTAAACTGTAACAATCAAAAATAATAGTACACTAATTAAGTGAATGTATGTCCAGCTAAGGGTCAGTTAATTTGAGTAATAACAATCAGAATATAATGGATAATAATTAGATGGAAGAGAAAGTAAAAAAAAAGAGATTGGTCAATTTTAAACATTCCACTTTCTCCAGGAAGCAATTTAATCATCAGGTAACAAAATCTACAAAATGTTAATCAACTAATTAACTAAATAATCAAGCTAACGTTGCGTGAGAATTTAAATTATCGTTATGCTCCTTGAATCTTCCTTCTTCTTCAATTGTTAATTCTTACTTTCGAAAATGATTTGTTAATCATTCGAAATGATTATTAAACAGTGTATCTATTTAACTACAATTATATTAACAATATCATCGTCATCATATTGACCGGAAACTTAATTGATGAATACAAAGTGACCCGGAATCTGAAAAATATTATTTCCAAATAATGAGATGAGATAAATGACAGTGAAATCAATTAATTAACGACCATCAACAATCAACAAACAAAAAGTAAATTAAAAGATAATTGTAACAATTTAGCCTTTATTTTTTTCTCTCTCTCTCTTCTATTGGCCAATTAGGAAAATTAGATCAAATTAATTTAGTTTAACAGATACAAACAATGAGAGAGACATTAAAAGTAATCATTAAAATTGATCGACATTTAAAACAATATTTATAATGTATTCGTATTGTTGTTAACTGTTAAGTAGTTAATATATTTCAGGTATTATCTTAATCACTACAATTAACTTAAACAATATTTGGTAAACCATTTCAACAATTTATCTCTCCTCCTTTTCAGTTTAATATTTCCACCACAATTAAAACCACCCACCGAAGAGTAAGAAAAGTAACTTTCACTAATCACAATTAACACTTGATCTTCAATGGAGTAACAACAATAACAGAAAAGTTGGAAAAGTTTTTTTTTTCTCTATTCGAAAATGATTACTGGTCATTCTGTCCCATGGATGACCCAGTGAATTGATTAATTCACAATTGGGTTGAAGAATCGGTGTTTTCTCATATATAAATTGACGAAGATCAACCAACAATAACCGAAACAATTAAATTTAATCGCGTTCGACGAGCATTTTCTTCACTTTCACTTTTCTTCTTCTCTTCTTTTTTGCTTCGAGCCATTTTCTTTTTTTTTCTTCATCTTCTTTTCTGAAACTCTCACTTCGTGATTACTGTTTTCACTTTCATCTTTTTTTTCCTTCATCTTCTCTCTCTCTCTCTTTCTCTTTCTCACTTTCTCTCTTTCTACACCTTAGTCATCTTCAGTGTCATCAACATTTCATCATCATTATCATCTCTACCTTCACCATCATCGTCCGTTAATCATCCTCATCTCTAAACCACAACAACATCAACTGTGTGTTCGTGCCAAAGGGATTACAATTAACCATTGAAAATATTGATTCGATTTTTTTTCTTTCTTTTTTTTTCTCGTTTTCGATTTTTTCAACTTTTCAAATTTTTTTCTTCTCCATCATCTCCTCGTGTCACTCTTACCTGTGATGATTTACCTGATTACCTCCAATTCACTCAGCTAACGACCATTTTTTTGTTCTTATCCTTAATAACTTTTCCATTGGTGTTTTTTCATTGTCGTTTTCTCATCAATTGTGTGAAATGTTAAGGTTTTTAGATAATCTTTCTAGTCCAATGGTAACCGTATTATTATGACGGTAATTAAGGACAGTAATTATCAATTTACCTATTATTCTACCTACCCTCATCTTCATCTTCATCTTCATCTTCATCTTCATCCTAATCATCAACTAAATCATCACACTGAACAAAATGATCAATTTCCCTCTACAAAGGTTATCCTCAGTTCGTTATCCAATGTCCACAACTACATTTGGCTTAACGATTGTTTTAATTTTTCTATTTATTTTAATCAATCTGATTAGCTCATTAGAAAACAATCAACAAATTAACAATTCAACCGATAAAATAATCATAATTAAAACCATTGAGATGCAATCAAACTCATTGATAATCAGTGTTAACAATCAAAGTGACACTGAAAATTTAAAAATCAATAAAAAAAGTGTCAACAACAAAAATAAAACCAATCAACTAATACCAATAGCAAATGATGAAAATGTTAGTAATCAATTGATGATAAGCTCAAATGTTACTAGTAAATTGTTATTGGATGATAGTGATAATCATCATCACCAATTAACTAATAGTGTTCATCGTTCCCTTCGTGTTAAAAGAGGCTTAATTCAATTGGCTTCCATGATTAAATGTGTCTCTGGTTGTGAACCTTTTCAGTACAAAGGCTACGGGTGTTTCTGTGGCCTCTTTGGTTCCGGTAAACCCGTTGACCCCATTGACAGGTTAATTGAACCATTTAAATTATATCTCCTTTTCTTCCCACCTAATTAGTAAAACAATTGTGTCTCACCTGAAAACTGTACACTCTTAATTGTTACAACAATTAACTCTTTCTTTCTTTATTTCTCTAATTGTTTCAGATGTTGTCTTAAACATGATCATTGTTATGCTATGGCTCCTTGCCATCAATTGCTCCTTTATCTTATGCCATACAGTTGGGATTGTGTTGCTCCAGGTTATGCTAATTGTGGTGAGTGATTAATTTAATAATAGGTTAATCAATTAATAGAATCAAAATTTAATTCTCTTCACAATCATAACAATATTTGTACTTTTCATTTCACTTGGTTACTCTTTGTGTTGACCATTCAAATTTGTATCCAGTCTTGTGAATCTTCAAGTTATCATTTTAATCATTTGCTCACCTTAATTGTAATAATAATTGGAATTATCATTCCATTGATTTGATTATTATTATTAACTCATTTAACCTTTAGGTAGTTTACGTATTACTCAGCAATTAGTAATTTTTTCTTAATCACTTTTAATTGAGTGTTTTTTTTTTTGGACATTTACAAGCACTTCAACTGACCATTACTCTTGCATCATTGTTTATGTTTGAATATTGCAATTTATTGATTAATTAGACTGATTATTTATGGTCTTTAGTATTGGTTTCACTTTCACTTTACAATTTAAGGAATCTAATTAACACTCAGGTTAATCTTATCTTGTGCCAATCCGATTATCCTTTTAAATGTTAATGTTAATGTTAAAATTTAATCTGGTGTTAAGGAAAAGAGGTCAATCCAAAGAGATTACCATTAGATTGACCAATATACTGACCATTTTTTTTTCTGCCCGAAAAAAACTTTAATTGTTTCGAAAGTTTAATTTTACTTTTTCTCATCTAATTTAACCATATAGCTCTCGCTGATTATTCACAATCAAAGGATAAATGTGGTTTCTCATTATGTGAATGTGATCGGATCTTTGCTGAATGTATTAGTAAATATCCTTGTCCATCATCCAAAGCCAAATGTCCATACAAACCAATGGTACTGACCGTTTATGGTAAATAACAATTGACCCAAATAATCAACAGCCATCTTTTTTTTATCCATCACCTAATAAAACAAACACACACTGACCATTGTCCATTGTTAACAAAGAGTGGAATCTTTTTCTATCTCTATTACAATATCCTCTCTTTGCCATTAACTAAATTGTGTCATCTCTCATCTTCTCATCATCATCATCATCATCAATGGTTCATCTAATTTATTATCATCATATTTTTTTTGCTGGAAAAAATTACCTGTTGAAAATGTTCATCATCATCATTAACCGTTATCTTCATTAAGTTAATCATAAAACAAAATAAAATGATAAATTGTGCTCAAAACAAACAAACTAAATTATCTGATCAAGTTCATTGGCGATTGTTCAATTTTTTCATTCAGATGATTAGTAAATTGTTATAATAGTTTAAAGGTTACTCGGAAATGGACTCAGGGTCAAGGGAGAACTGAATTAACGATCTTTTTTTTTCTTCTTGATTATCGGTCAATTAGTAATCATCTTTATCCATCTACATTGGGTGAAAGTTTAACTATATTTCAAGATTTCAGGTCATGGCCTCAAAAACTGTATCAATTGCTAATCTAAATGATTAACAATTATCCCATCATAGTGATGATTATGATGATAATAATGATACAGATAAAAAAGACACAATTTTTTACCAATGCAAACAGTTAATTGTTATAATGATTAGTTGAATTTTCCAAGGTAAATAACGATTTTTACAGTTAATTGTGAGCAAAATGAAATTGAAAAAGTTTAACAATTTAAAGGGAGAGAGAAAGAAAAAAGTTAGATTATTATTAATTGATTGTGAGAGTTAATTGTTGATCAACTAAATCACCTTAGGCTTGATTGTTGATTGCGAAAAAAAAATGATGAGCTAAGGTTAACTTTTTAATTGAATTGTTTTCCGGGTCAATAGATTAATAAATTGTCCTTCAATCGTGTACAAGGTTGTTCATTAATTTCATCTTAATCATCGTAATATAAGGTAGTTAATTTACTAATTGTTGGTAATTGGCGAAAGTTACGAAATATGATAACTTTGATTAAGTCGGTAAGTATGCTAATCTAATTGTTAATTGTCAAGGAAATTAACGTCTAACAAAATGATTAACTATCAGCTGGAAAAGTTTATTAGCTAATTGTTACTACGATTAATCAATTAGTAACAAATTAAACTGGATGATTGTTAATCAATATAAGTTAATTGTTTATTTCCTAAATTATTTATGTTAAATATTTAACAAATTGTCAATAGATTAGAGGTAACAATTAAATGGTTGGTTAAATTGTTTGTAGTTAATCATGATTATATAATTATTACAACAAGATTTAAAATGATTAACTTAATCATGTAATTTTAATCTGTTAAATGTTGATTAAATCAATTTTAATTGTAAACCACAAAAAGCTTGTCATTGATTGTTATCAATATAATAATGATGATTAAACTAGAGGGTTAATCAATTGTAAATGTGATTAAAGTTGATTAGTGTTGATAATCATCCGGAAGAAACAAAATTTAACTAAGATGCTGATTTTGTTTATGTTACAATTAACAAACGTGATTAACTAAATCAATTGTTACAAAAAAAACTGATGGCGGTAATTTAGTTATGTATTGTTGTTGTATTAGTTTATCAGTTTAAACACTGAACTAAATTGTCACCAGTGAATTAACAACAATCAGGAACAAACTGAATTAAAAAGAAACTCACAATTTAAACATTCAATAAGATGATCTCCTTACCTTAATAATAAATAATACAATTTATCATTAACGTCAACAATCAACATCTTCAATAAACAATAAACAATCAACAATCAATAATATGAAAAAAAAAATTAACTACTTCCGATGAGTGTTGATTATATAAAATTTGATTGGAAATTAAAATTTTCTTGATTGTAACAAATTTTCAATTCTCACACAATATTGTCAGGTATCAACTTATTGATTGTTTAATTGATTGTTATTGATAATGAATAATAAAAATGATTAATTGAGTGAATTTCAATTTCCAATCATTAAATTGTTCATTATTCATTTATTGATTAATGTAAATTTTAAGTTGAGCATTTTTTTTCCGGATCCACTTTTACTCAATTAACTAATAGTTTGATATTGATTATGAATTAGTTGTTAGTCTCTTAATTGTTGTTAATTGTTTACTATCCTCCAGTAATCATGATCATGAAATTAACTTTTATTTAATTTCTTCTAAATGTATTTGTTACCGACAATTTAAAATGATCACCTTGATATGATCAGGAAGAAGATGATTAAATGGGAATATAAGTTGATGATTAGTTGATTATTGTAGTAAATTGTTTGAGAGAAAGGATAAATTTTTCTCACAATTTAAAGTAAATTAATCAGTCAACCATCAAATTGTTTCTTCTTTATCAATTGGGTTTCCCTTTCAAGAGTTAATCTTGATTTTTGAATACAAATTGTCATCTAATTAACAACCAATTAAACAATTAAACGACCTTTTTTTTACTGTTAATTCATTACCTGTTGTTAACTGATTGATTGTTGCAATTATTGGTATTATTGACATGATTACAAGATCCATTAATATCCATAATTGATTAGTGATTATTTTAATCACTATTTTGTACTAAATTGTCACATATCATTGACACAGTTTTTGTCTTAATTTGTTTCTTATTCTGATTGTTTGTTGTTTTTGATTTGATTCTTAATCATTTAACCTTTATCGTTGTTGTAATTTTAATTTAGATGTTGATTAACAATGATAATGATGATGATTGAGCACAATTAGACTCTCTCTTTCTAATTACTTGCTGAATGTATAAGTAAATATGATTGATCCTTAATGTTCATTACCAATGAAAGTACACAAATTAAATTGTGTGTACAGTTAATTGTTGTTGTTTTAACAAAGATTTTGTTTAGTTATTTAAACATAATTAAGAACTGGATCAAGAACAATAATTATTGGTAAGAAAACGTTTTTGTTTTTGATTTTGGAGATGTTGCCATTCAAATGGGCTTGGTAATTGATTAGAGAAATTGTGTACTTGTTAATTGTTGATGAGTAATTAATTGTACCCTTTGGATTGATTGTTCTCATATCTGTTGGTCACTTTTACGCGAATGGAAATCGACTCGATGTAATAATGATAATAGTAATTATATTGAGCCGAAAAATTGCTTCTTTACTTTGTACTTGTTGGATTTGCGGCGAATTTAATTAGATTATCATTCGCTTTAATCCATGATTGTGATGAGAAAATTAACACTCGACGACAAGGTAAATATTCTTGATCTCCTTCGTCCCAATCGCCTCCCATTGTATCTGAATCACATTGATTGGAAACGTCAAATTCATAACGATAATCGGCACATTCGTCAAATAATTCTTCCTCTGGATTAAGGAAGACAACATCTTCTTTATCTTGTTTCGATTTTTTCTCCTTCTTGTATCTTCTCTTGGGATATAATATTTTACAAATCAAAAGATAATAATCAAAATCCACTCGTGTTGATTTTAATTCACTGGAAATTTGGGCAAATGAAGGAACAGCTAATTGCCAACCCAAATTGACAAATCTCTCATTAACTATCCAAACTTTTGTCGATTCTCCTTTTAAAATTCCTTCAATTGCTGATTTTTTATCACCGGTAAGATTTTTGACAAAATAGTCCATCAATTGTCCATGCCAATCTTTACTTTTAGCATTTGCATCAGATAGATTGATGAAACTTATTATACCGAAAACATCATCTTCTTCACTTTCCTCTGAATCACTATCTTCTTCTTGGTTAATTTGCCTTATAATTGCTCCAATATCTTTCTGGTTCATCAGTGTTTCAGTCAATTGTGTAAGGTTAATATTCTCTTTAAGAAACAATTGTGCCAATAATCTTTTAATTCCATTCAAATCTTGTTCCAAAATGGGACAAGCTTCAAAGTCAATATTAATCTCCTAAATGATAAAAGCAGAAAGAGAAAAACAAAATGGAATTAGACACACAAAAAAGAAATCTAGAATAAAAACCATGTGAAAATAGAATAGAATAAAAATAAATTCTATTTGATTGTCTAGAAATTAAACTCACCTTATTACCTGCAGCTTCATCTTCAGAGTTAATTGAATCTTCTTCACTATCACTTGTTGTTCCTGAATCATTGTCGTCATTAGATTCTTCCATGTTAAGGTCAACCTCTTTCCGCTTATTGTCCATGATTAATAATTAAATAGCCAAAACAACAATTTAGATAAAATTAATTCTGTTTAACAGAGTAAATGTTTTCATCACTTGAGAATATTTATTTAAGCCTTTACGGTTGACATAGCTGAAGTACTTGGTTGTTACTCCGCTTGAGGTCTATGTCATCCACCTCTTTTAAATTAGTTACATCGAAATTTGATTTTGAGTTAGATTTACTTGTACAATTTGTTTTAGAATTTCTAAGTTTTCTTTTGATTTTTCAATTGAGTAGTTATTTTTTCTCCTCATTTCAGTTAACCCGTGTACCTTTTGTTCCATTATATTACATTCCATAAGTAAGTGATTCCATGAGTTGACTTTTCCACAGCATTTATTACCCAACGGATACTTCGTAAAGAATTTCAGTGTTGGATACATTTCTGTTTGATATTTTTTGTTTGGTAGTATTTGTTTTAAAACGGTTGTTGATGTTTTGTAAGCTTCATTTATCTTGACTTTTGTGTATCCATTTATCTCTCTTCTAATTGCTTGTTTCGTTGCACAGGTAATTTGTTCAACCGGAGATATTTGATCAACTTCTTCTTGTGACAGATTGATTTCCATTTCATTTTTATGCCACCACCAGATTTTGTTTAGATGAAGAGAAAGATTCGCTTTTATTTCCATGGCAAAGTTTGAGTTTCCCATCCAGTATTGGGCCGTTTTATCTGGAACTAGTATTTGACCACCAGATATATCACAGGTTTGCATTACATAATTAAGAGCAATGATTTCCACCTCATATTCATTCTTCGCCATTATTTGAATGACGTATTTTTCCATGTGTTGTTGTCTCCTGTCGTCAATTAATAGTGTCAGATACCATTTTTGCGGTGCTTCAATGATGCCAATATGAAATTTTTTCAGAGGATTTTGTAATTTGAACCACCGATTCCACATTTGATTATCATGAGCTGTTGAGTAGAATTGAATTTGCCCAAAGTCTCTTATACCAATATCCAGTGTATTATATTTCATCTTTAACTCTATGAGTTTCTTGAGCCAGTTTCTGATCGGATTTTTACATTTAGCTATTACCTCAAAGATCCACGGTGAGTCCGATGTCTTCCAGAAAAATTGATTATATAATGTGCCAGTTTGTTGTATTAGAAGTAGAGTAGCTTCCATAGTTTTTCCAAGTTTCCAGAAATTTTTACAGAAAGGGATGAAGAAGACTTTTGTTAGTTGAGGGTAGATTATTGTAAGAAAAATCAAATTCCTTGTCTTTACAGGTAGATGTTTCCATCCTCTGAATTTTGGCTTTATCTCCATTACTATTTGATTTCTCAGTGTCCTACAGATTTCTTTCCATCTTTTATCAGTCATTTTGAAGGTTGGGCATTGATAGCCTGTGATTTCTATTATATCCTTTGTGTGATGATGATATATTTTTGTTTTCGCTTTATTTAGATTAAGAGCTATCAGGGTTAGTAGGTTCTCAATGTGATCAATTATTGTCTTTGTACAGGATTTTTCACTCAGAATTATCATGTCATCAGCATATGACCAGATTTTAACTCCATGTTTCTTTAGCGCCCTAATTATTTGGTCAAGAGCCATAATGAAGAGAATACACCCAAAGGCTGTTCCTTGAGGGACTCCTTTTTCATCTCTCCGATAGTAATTTTCACCATTTATTCGGATTTTTAACCATCTATTGTTCATAATTGACATTATAAGTTGCATTGTTGATGAGCCAATTGTTTTCTCAAGTCTTTTTTCTATTATTTTGATGTTAACATTATCAAATGCCCCTGATACATCAATCGATATTATGTCATATTCCATAAATTTTTCATCAAAAATTATTGCAGCAACAAAGTCTTCTCTTGATTTGTTGCTTTGATATGCAAATTGAGTGTTTTTAAGGAGAAACTGAGGTAGAACATCCTGTAATCTGTTGCTTATTATTCTGTCAACAACTTTGAACAGAAAACAGGGTGATTTGACCATCCTAATGTTGACTCCATTTGCTTTAGGAATAAGCATACAACCTAAAGTTGTTAGCATGTTAGGAACATGTGATATCATGAAGATCGTTTCTAGAACTTCCATGATTTTCTCAAAGTTTCTCTGAAAGAATCTTGTCCAAGTAACAGGTGTAAAGTTATCTGCTTGAACCGAGGATGTCGTGAATTTAAATTTTGCGATCTGATACTTTTCTTTTATCGTTAATTTACCAGGTATAACTTTGGGATCATCCATATATTTTGGTTTGTGATTGGTAAAGGATTTGATTGTTTTCAGGAAATCTTGCTTTGTTTGTTCATTGTTATAATTCAGTTGAGGTGAGTTTTTTAAGAGAATGTGTTCATTGATGATTTTCCATATTTTCTTAGTCGATTTGTTGTTTCTTAGGATTCTGTTGATGTTGAAGCTTTTGATTTTTTTGCGTATTTGATTATTAAGCTTTTTAATATTTTTTTCATCACTTTTCGATTTAAATTTTTTCTTTAGTAGTCGTTTTCGTTTTTTTCTCAATCTTTGCAGTTGATTCTTCTTTTTTTTCTTTATTTTCCAGACACCATGATCATCAGGAAAGTGCTTGATCGCATGACATGCTTTTATGAGGGGATTATTTTTGTTCATTTGAGTTGATTGCCAATCTAAGTTCAGGTTCGGTAGGTCCCATGAGCCTAGTACCATGACTTGTTGTTGTTTTTCTTTTACTTTCTGAAGTGATCTGAAACTTGCCTCAAGGAGTAAATGATCTGTCCCTGGAACTAGTTCAGTTGATTTCTTTCGCAAATTCAACTTGTTATTGTATAAAATAGCATCAATGACACGATCAGCTGAATTTATTGTTGTCTGTAAGTTGGTGTGAGCAGCTTTTAGTCCATTGGCTTTAAATATTTGTTCAAAATTGGTTTTGAGAGTATGATTTCTCTCATAACAATTTCTTGTTGACCATAATGCTGACGTCCAGTTTAGATCACCACAAATTACCCATGGGTAGTTGTTGTATAAATTAAGAAATCTGTTGAATTCACTGATTTTCAGTGCAAGTTCCTGTGATATCCACGTCCTGAGATAAATGGCCATTGTGATTACGCTGTTGTCTTTATTCTTAAGAATCAGAACATCAGGTATATTGATCTTAATTTTTTCAGTTATTATGTCATTTGACGTTATTATGGCTACACTACCATTTACATAGATATTTATATCATTTGCACTTATGTAACTATTTTTAGGTGGTTCACAAATACAATAAATTGTTTTTTCTTCAGTCACTGATTTTTCAATCACTTGATTAAATAAAACGTTGTTTCTACGTATATTTAGATGTTTTATTATGAAATTCATGATTTTGAAAAAGTTCTTTTTATTTATTTTGTTTATTTTGTTTTATTTTTCTTTAATTTGAAAAAGAATTTTGATTTTTTTGTTTTCTTACAGCTCCATCTTTTGGTATCCATGAGAGTTGTTTCTGTTGCTAAGGAAGCTAATTTTGTTGTTAAGATTTATATTTTTCTTTTTATTTAGATTTTATCTATTATAAAATGGAGACTTTATTACAAAATGATGATTTAATGTCTAATTTTAACGGGTCTTATTTTTCTCTCAAGTCATGTTTTCTTCCATTACTTGATGGTGTCTTTTCTGAGAAAGTTAAGAAAGTTAAGATAAATGATATTTATTTTTTCCATTGTGTCTTGAATTTGAAAATTAGAACTTTTGAGTTCATTTGTGAATCAGTCTCTTCAGATTATAGTGTTTCACGTAATAAGTGCGCTTCTAAAATGTTGGAAAAAATTTTTGAGAGTGTTGTTATTAAGGTGAGTTATTTTTGATAAAAATAATTTCAGGGTAATGATTTTTGTTTCTCTGGTGATCTTAATTTTGAGTTAATCAGAGTTTTGTTGCTCTGGTGATCTTAATTTTGAGTTAATCAGAGTTTTGTTGCTCTGGTGATCTTAATTTTGAGTTAATCAGAGTTTTGTTTCTCTGGTGATCTTAACTTTAAGTTAATCAGTGATTTTGGATTTCTCCTTTATGTCTAATTACTTGATTTTTATTCTATTTTAATAGCCTCCATTCTTGATTGGTATTCCAAATCTACGTGGTCACTGTTATATGGTTTCAGTGTTGATCTCTCTATTCAACTGTCATAGTTTTGTTAGACTATTATGTCGTCTCTATAACGTATTGAACAAGAGTGTTCACCTGGGACTTTCCAAGAGACCCTACAAGAAGGACATAATAGATTCATGTGGAGCATCAAAGTTTATTTGGGTGGACGCTATTTTTTCAATCTATCGTCTCTATTACAAATTTAGTCGACGAGGTTTTTTGGACTGTCTCAATAAACATCCATTTCTTTCGGAGAGCAAGGAGTCAGCTGTTGTTGGTAGAAAAGATGATTTGTCAATTGATCGTCAATTGATGTTATTTTGTAGTTTGTTGTCCAGATTTAAAGATAATTCTTATGGTTCTCCAGGTGGACACGAATATATTTTCTTTACTGATCTGATGTCAAATTTTAGAAGTGAATCAGAAGATTGTTGGGAGAGATTCAATGTTCTGTACACTTTCAACTATTCTTGTGAGTCTTGTGGATTTGTCGATTCTGATTCTCCTGGATGTCTTTCAGTGGTTCCAGTTTTTGGTGATTTTTCAACTGAGACCAAATTGGATTTAAGTAAATATTTGCTGAATATTGAACATTGGATTTTGATGAGTGATTTGATTTGTTGTAATCGAGTCAATGGCAAACCTTGTGGGGTTAAAATTGTCAGAATCAGTGCTCCAAAAATTATCAATTTACCTGAGCTACTGGTATTTGCTTTACCTGTACCAAAAGCTTTTGGAAAGCTTAAGGTTTTGGCTCCAAAGGAGATGAATATTTCCTTTAAAGATACTAAGTTATCTTATCTAAAGAAAAGTTATACCTGTGATTACCTTTGTTACACCGATTCAAATGGTAAATCATATGGTGATGGATATCGTGTACCACTAAAAGACGATATTATCAATGGATGGCATTCAATTGTTCATTGTTTGACTAATTCTGGTTGGAGAGAGGTGAACAATGGTGTTGTGGGTGATTGTACACCTATTTTTAGAAAGGCTCATACACCTTATTGTATGTTGTTTTATGAGGTTGCAAAGTTTCCTCATTTACCATCAATATTCAATAGAGATTGATTGTTAAATAAAGATAAATTTAAAAGATTGTATCTTGTGAGTTAAATTTACATTAAAACGTACAATTAAAGTTTACCATTCTGATAGTAAAGCTCACTTTAGTCTAATTATCAGTCAATACTCTGGTGATATCAAATTTGAGGTAATCAGAGTTTTTTTGATGTGGTGACACTCAATTTAGTTTAATCACATTTATTTTCCAGGTGAACTTCACTTTAAGCTAATCTGGTTATAAATTTAAGATGGTCTCATTCTTTTAATGTGGTAACACTCAATTTAGTTTAATCATATTTAATCATATTTTTTCAATTCATGTAATTAAATTGAGGCTAATCTGAGTATATTTTTGTATATCTCAAATGGTTAAAGATAATGTTACTAGATGGCACCTCTTACATGTTTAAGCGGGCTTTGACAAAAAGCAAAAAATTTTTCATGTTACATATTTATTCGATTTGAACATTTTTTTTTTTTTTTTTTTTGGAGATATATTTCTGAGAGTGAATTATGTATGAATACGTGAAGTCTATTTCCGAAATAGCTGTTTTTATGGCCTTTCGGTAGGCTTCACATGTGAAAGTACCTGCAATGTGACCATCTTGGTTACAAGCTGGACATCTAAGGTGATCACTTTTACATTCACTGGTTTGATGATTTTCAGCACACTTAGAGCATCTCTCTTGGAGCGAACATTGTTTGTAACCATGACCATAGCATTTACATAACCGACATGATCTAACATCTATCTTGTCTACAATATCATGCGAGAATTGTCCACCAAAGATTTTTCCCTTTCGTTCATTTTGGATAATTGATCGAACTGAGGGTGAAATCTCAATTATTACAATTTCTGCAGCTTTGCGGCCAACAGTAAAAGATTCAATAAACTTGAAAGTTTGTTTTTTCTTGAAATTGTTTAGATTAGCAATTTCCTTGATTCGACTTTCCCAGGTTTGATCAGAGCTTTTGGTTAAACCTGCGACTTTAATTTGAGGAAGTTTCCACGCTGGTATCTCAACTTGCATCTCATTGAGGTTTTCTCGAAGATAACCAGTTATTTTGGCTCTGCTTTGTTCATTGTCAACCGTTATTTTTGTAAGGTTGTCAAAACAAAGAACTCTGATTACATTTCCAATGTTCAATTTGCTTTTGAGAAGAATCTGATTTATTAGATCAACAGTTCGTTGTTCTTTTTCACCTTTGATGATTATATTATAATCTCTGGTTTGTTCCGACCATGGAAGCCAATTTTTCGGGACCATTCGCTTGTGAGTCGGTATAATGTTCAGGGCAAATAATTTGGTTGGTTTTTCTGGCAATGAAGGTTGAGTGAAAGTTATTTCAACTTCTTCTGGTTGTTTTTGTTGACTCCTTGTTAGTCTTTTTTGTGGCTGCTCTTTCTGATTAGGTTCGATAATCTGGGTAATAACAGTGGTTTGTTTTTTCTTTATTTGATTTAGATCTATTTTTCTTTTCTTTGGTGGTTCAATCATTGTTTCTTCTTCCTCATCCGGATCAATACCTTCTATTGCTTTGGCAGTTAGACATTTAGTCAGGAGAGACATGTATTCTTCAATCATTGGAATCATCGATGGAAGGATATTGTTTATTTCTCTCATTTGAGAGTCTTCAATGATTTGAATTCCAATCTTTTCCATATTTACAAGAAAATCATGAGAGTACATTAGCAACGTGGTTTCCACGTTTTCTGATTTTTGTGGATTACCATATGCCTCCAGCATTGTTGTATAAAAGTTAGAGAATTCTTCTCGTTGTTGATTTTCAGACATTTTGATTGAAAAGCGATTGTAAAACGATTGAAATTCGATTGAATAGCGTTTATGGGGATATGGGATTTTATCTATAAGAGCACGTGGGATTTGGAAAAACTGTTTTTTCACTGTTTTAAATGATATTTACTCTTTTTTTTTTTTTTTTAAACTACTTTTGTGACGTTAGCACACTCAGGGTTGGAATTGTCACAAAATTTTTTGGGTCACTTTAGATAAAACACACTTTAAACACTTAATAATTTCAAAAACAGAAAATTTTCTCACATTTTCTTAAAACCGCCGGTAATTAAACCGCAGCCGAAAACGAAAACCAAAAAGAATTTGTTTTTACCGGTTAATGTGTTTTTCTGAAAACAAATGTTTTTAAAACATTTATTATTCTAGTTTTTACTTGGTTAATTGTTATTGTTTGTGATTTTTGATTTCCAATTGGTTTGTAATGAATCGTAATAAAAGGAAATTAGGTGATCTCTATCCGGAGAAACAATTTGATGGTGCCAATGATTCTGACTCTTCAAATAGTGAAAGTGAAGATGATTCGGTAAATTCTGATGAAGAAACTGCAATTGTAAGTTGATTAGCGTTTTTCTTTTTCTTTTTCTTTTTATCGATTTTTTTCTTAATGGTTTTTGTCTGTCTTTCGTTTTTAGGGGAAAAAGGTTCATTCTGAATCGGATGAAGGAAGTGATGATGGTCAAGAAGCTGAAAAAGCTCCTGATATAGAAGATGATGGTGACTCTGATGAAGCCGAAGCCGATGCCGATGCTGGTGGTGGTGGAGGTGATAGAGAAGAAGAGGGTGATGATGAAGAAGCGGAGGAAGAGGAAGATGACGAAGAAGAAGAGGAAGAGGAGGAAGAAGAAGAAGCAGAAGCAGAAGCAGAGGCAGAGGCAGATGCCGATGCCGATGCCGATGCCGATGCCGATGCCGATGCTGATGCTGATGTCGATGAAGATAAGGGTGCTCAGCCTGAAGATCATAGTGATCGAGAGGAAGAAGAAGAAGAGGAAGATGTTAAGCCAGGAATTGAAGCAAGTGATGATGAGAGAAGTGAAGAAGAGCAAGAAGAACTGAAGCCAAATATTTCTGCCAGTGAACACGGCGAAGATGAAGATGAAGATGAAGAAATTGCCGTTAAGAAGCCATTGGATACAGATAGTGACAGTAGTGATGATGGTGAAGGGAGGAAAATTGAACAAGCCGCTGATGCTAATGATGTTTTGGCAGATTTGGACTTGGACGATGATGATGATGAAGACGAAGATAAAGAAGAAAAAGTAGTGAAAGAAGAAATCTTTGGAAGAGATGATGATGATGAACGAGATGACAGAGAAGAAGAACAAGAAGAAATACCAATAACCCGAATTGAAGTTGAAATACCAAAGATTCCAACTGAACTTGGAAACGATATTCATTTTGTAAAATTACCAAACTTTTTAAGTGTTGATACTCATCCATATGACCCTTCATGGTATGAAGATGAAATAGATGAAGACGAAATTATGGACGAAGAAGGTAGACATCGATTAAAGTTAAAAGTCGAAAGTACCATTAGATGGAGAACCGTCGTCGATGAAACTGGTGAATCACAACGAGAAAGTAACGCTCGTATTGTCAAATGGTCTGACGGTAGTATGTCCCTTCATCTTGGATCGGAAATTTTTGATATCCACAAACAGAGTCTCATGGCAGGAGATAATAATCATCTCTTCATCCGACAAGGAACTGGACTTCAAGGTCAAGCCGTTTTTAAGACAAAATTAACCTTCCGACCTCATTCAACCGACAGTTTTACCCATCGAAAGATGACCCTCTCTTTGGCCGAAAGGAGTCACAAAACTCAAAAGATCAGAGTTTTACCCAATGTTGGTAAAGATCCTGAAGCTCATCGATCCGAGATGATAAAGAAAGAAGAAGATAAACTCAAAGCCTCCATACGAAGGGAAAATAAGATGAGACGAGTCAGAGAAAAGGCCCCATTCCGTGGACCAACCGCTTCTTACCTGGAACCCGATGCTTACGACGACGATGACGATGATAACAGTGTCTCTCTTTCCGCTATTAAAAAACGCTACAAAAAAGGTGGAGCGGGTTATAATATTTACACCGATAGCGATGATGACAGTGACCTGGAGAAAAAGAAAGGATCAAGTGAACGGAAAAGAACCGCTAAAGTTAATGATAGTGATGAAGACGAATGATAATCACAATCGACGAACATCAAAAATGAAACAATTAAACAGAAAAAAAATGTCTGTAAGTTCAATCTCTTAATCCACTCAAATTTTTCTTTAATCCAAAAATCAATCAATTCCAAATCCAAATCAATGTAAATAATTAAAAAACTCAACTGTACTTGATTCACAAATACAAAATGTACAAGTCATTAAATCTGTACTTTAATTGTTTAAAACTACTAAGTGTTGACTTATTATAGAAAATCTAATTTCGATCAAACTTTCCAATCGATAATTTAAATATCGATAAATAATGAACACTAATGATTTATTGTTGGAGTGGAAAATTTTATTGACAATTAGTTACACAAATTATAATCTAACCATTGGCCTGGTAACTTAATTTTCTTGGTTTAACCTGAATTGAGAAATCGGAATAAATTAAAATCATCATGAGGGAGATGATGATCATTTTGTAAAAACAATAACATAATGATGATGATGATGATGATAAGAGTGATGATATAAGCAACTTTGATCATTGTGTTGATTGTTTAGTATAACAGTAAACAGAAATGAAAATATTAACCATTGATTAACAATGACAATGCGTTTGATGTTTTCTCAGTCCGGAAGAAAATTGTTCATCATTTAATCATGATTGTTTTGTAACTTTGTAGTTAACTTTTCACTTTTACTTTCCTCCAATACAATCAAGCGACAATTAATTAGTGTGTTCAATTGACCATCTTAGATAATTTTAAGATGGTTGGAAAACAATCTGAATCAATGTTCATCATAGTTACTGTAAGTTGATCAATTTCCTAATTTAATTTGTGATCATTTTATATGTATCAGTTTTGTTATATTGTTTTCCTTTTAATTATTTTTTTTTTGGATTAGCTGATTGTTAGTTTAACTCTTCCAATTAATATTCGAGCTCAAAATCCACTTGGTTATCCATATCTTGGATTACAATATAATCCATATACAAGTCCACTTTTCGGCTATGGTATGGGTCCACAATATGGGACACTCTATGGGTCATTAGCGTCCAATTATTTATACGGTAATTCAGGTCCATACGGAGGTGTTCCTGCCTATGCTGGTAAGTAATTAAGTTAATTGTTTCCGTTGTTAAAATCTTTTGAGTGGCTCGAATTGTAGTAACACCAATATTATCCCCAATATAAATGAATCAACTTGTGCCAATGAGAAAATTACCGGAATGATTTGGTTAATTTAAAAGAAAATTATGATGATGATGAGATTATAATTCTTGGTGATTTTGATTGGATGATTTAATCAATTTATCCAATCGATGATTTTTAGGTTATCCTGGAGGTTATGGTGTATATGGTGGCTTTGGTGCTCTCGGCTATGGTACTCATGGAGTAGTGGGAAATTATAAACAATATTATGGTTATAATAATGGTTATGATCCATATGATTATAAGGCTCGATCAGCTTCTGATTCAACGAGTCAGGTCACTGGTCGGATATCGTCATCATCGTCATCATCATAATGAATATTACACATCCTTATGATACATTTGTAAATGTATTTTATCATATTTTTCAATAAACACGATTTCAATTACCAAATATAAGATATCTTGTGGTATTAATAATATTATTATACTATTATTGGAAAGATGATGATGATGAGAACTTGTAATCCGATGTTAGATTAGATTGCTAGTTAATCGTCGAGACCTTCGATTTCATCGTCAGGGCCACCAAGAGATCGCCAAAAGGCAAGAGTGATCTTCTCAGCGTAAAGTCGCCTCTCTTCCCCTGACAGGGTTTCTGCTTTTTCTGTGAACAATCAAGAAAATTTTTATTAGAATTACTTTAAGATTAACTCTTGTTGATATTCTTACTTTTTAAATCTTTGAATTTACCAAACAAATCGTCCAGTTCGACGTCCTGATTTTCACTGAGTTTCTCAAAGATTTCCTTGTCTTCTTCGAAAATGGAATCGATTCTTTGTCGAGTTGAGGAATTAATCTCTTCCTCATCATCAGCATCTTCCTTATGAGTAACATTTCTATCATCCAATTGACCATTTAAACCAATTCGAGAAGAGCTACTTTCAAATTCATTTCTTAAAAGATTTTCAAATTTAGGTGAAGGCTTATATTGAGGCGAATCTATTGTGGTGTAAGAAACAAATCAAACCAATTAGACCACTAATTCAATCACAATCTACGTTCGATTAATATGTAACTTGTATTCACCATGCATTTCCATGAAAGGCCAAGTATGAGCACTTAATGCTTGCATTATCCTCTTGGTGCCATTTGACTCAACAAAATCATTTTCATATTCGTCATCATCGCTTTCCACTTGCGCTTGTAATTCAATTAATTCAAATTCATGATTAATACACCATTTCATGCAAGCAGTTCGGTTGAATACTAAACAGAGAAGAAAAGAGAAAAATAAAATCAATAGAATAGAATAAAAAAAGTTGATATTCTGAGAATTAATTTACTCGAATCATCGTCATCTTTAGCTGTCTCCACAACGAGTAATCGTATCTCTGGATTATACTCTTCAATGAATGGTTTCCATGAGTGAAATTTTTGACAACATGATTCCTGTTGGAAAAGAGAGATTAATAAATGAGTGAAATTTTGGATTAAATAATGGAAATGATTAAATGTTACTGTAATTACATCGGAATTGTCAAGGTAAAGTATAACTGCTTGAATGGAATCAGCAAATTGTTCACAAATCAGATCACGATCAACAATCTCAATGAAGAAAACATCAGCATCATAATATTTTGTTGACAAGTGCCATGGATAACAGGATAGTAAATGATTTCCAAATTGATGTTTAACGTAATTAGATGAGTCATAAGAGTTTCCAATAATCTCTTCAACAAAGTGAATGAGAGCAAAACAAAACAATAACAAAACAGAAAAATTAGAGAACCGAATTGATTTAATCAATGGAATAACAATTAGAATTTAACTTACTTTCAATAATTTGAGAAGGAGTAAAAGATGAACATGATATTACACCGATTCCTTGAATCTCAATCTGATTAGATTCTGCCATGACAATTAAAATTAATCAACAGAAAACAAAGACAATCAGAAATGAAAACCAAATCAAAAGACCAAATAACAAATAAACAACAACAACAAAATACTTAAAACCTCAGAATCTCAATGATTAAACTGAATCAAAACAATGACAATAGTCAATCAAAAAGACTTTTAATCAAATCAATTAACTGAATCAGTCTCTTAATTGTTGTTAAACAAAACAAATCAACAACTGAATCAAAACAAAACAAATGATCATATGTTACCCAAAGGGGTTTTCTCATAATTTAGAAAGACAAATCAGTTAATTGTAATTGAAGAAAAACAAAATTAACTCAATTAATATGATGTTAGCAATTAGTCAACACCTGAATTGTCACCTAATTGCTTGATTACGATCTCATTGAAAGGAGAGAAATTAAATTTGGATTAACAATTAAAACGCGAGGAGAAAAAAAAATCAAACCAATAACTTAAACTCTTGAGAGCTGAAAAATTTTCCCCTTTAATTTGATTAGTAAGTTTGGTTTACTTTTAATTACATTGGAAATTAATTATCTATTTCTCTTTCCAGGTCAACAATTAACTCGCTAATTGTTGAGTTAATTTAATTATTCAGAATTCAAAAGACGCGGTTATCTAATTAAAGTGAATGAAACAATCACCTGTTCAATTTTGTAGCTTTTCAAGATTCTAATATTTGTGTTCACCATTTTTGACAATTAATTTTAATTCTTTTGTTACCAAGTGATTAAATTTTACTTTTTCTAATTAATCAACACTTTGGCAACTACTTTGTGATACTAATTGTCAATTAATCTGTGAGAATGTAGTTTGATTGTTTCTTCAATTTTAATCCAAAAGTAACAATTTTGGTTGAAAGTGTTTTGATTAACATACTTGTGGATTCATCATCTTTAACTTTAATTACTATATTACTTTATCTAAATCTAAATCTATTAATTATTTATAACTATTACTGGATTACGATTACAATTGATTTACCATCTAATTAACATGATGTTTAACATGTTTATTAATCATCAGTAGCCTTGATTAACTTTGATTAATCTTTTGTTTTTGTTTTTCCATAACTCATAAGCTTTGATACAAAGAGAAAACAATTTAACTCTTTTAACCTTTTGTTTATGTCTAATTGTAGTTGTATTTATATTACTATTTATTCAATAGAAAAGATAATTGTTAACAATTACTGATTAATTGTTTCGTGACAAGTGAATCTATTTTAACTCTTATTGAGTTATCATTTAGACAATAAGAGAGAGAGAGAGAGCAAAAAAAAAGAGATTCTCATTTATTACCTTGACTTAGATTCTTGATTGGTGCTTTTTGATTGTCAGATTGTTAGATTATTCTGTTTTGATTTCGATTATCTAATTATCTTGATTATAATTAGAAAAGGAAAAACATGAATAGTGAAAATCTAATTCCCTGGCATTACAGTTTTCGTATCATTTTAATTGGTGATTCTTGTGTTGGTAAATCAACTTTACTCAAAGTGTTCACCGAATCTAATTACACTGATGATGGAGGACCAACGGTGGGTGTTGATTTTTTTGCGACAATTGTTGATCTGTCCAATGGATTAAGAGTTAAATTACAAGCCTGGGACACGGCGGGACAAGAAAAATTCAGGTTAGTTAACTACCACTACTAATTGTCAACAATTAACCTCTTTGACTATGAATCCATCACCTCAAGATAAACATAAATCTCCGGGTAAATTGTTTCATTTAAATCTCAATTCAATTTACTTCCTGTTAGATTGTGTTGATTATAATTCTGGTTATTTCCCAACTAATCATATCTCTATATTAAATTAGTAGTAGTCTACAATTTGGCTAATCAATATCTAAATTGTCATCTCCTTTTTCCCAATCACTTCAATTGTTTTAGGTGTTTTTTAATTCACTGTCAAGTAATCAACTTTCGTACCAATTGACATGGTTAATTGATTGTTACGATAACAAACAGAAGCCTTAATATTATATATACATTTATCCTCATCTCTAATTTTCCATTAGCAGTTAATTGTGATAATTAAAAGTTAGATTATATATATGATTAGATGGTAAATAATAGTTTCCATATCAAAGTCTCATTGTAAAAGTTAATCAATGTTTATTAATTACTCTTCTTGGTGTCACATGTACTTAATTTTTTTTTCCTGTTTTCTATTGATGACTAATTACCAACAATCAAATTTATCTTTCTGTTAATTACTAAATCTTTTTGTTATCAGCTGATTTACAATTATCATTTAGTTTACCACAACTTGAGATTATGTTTACTTGTTAAAAGTTATTTAGTTAATTTTTGTTTTCATGTCAACAATTTACTCTACAAGTTTGGATGATTAAATCAACTACCAATCACTTAACAATATCGATTACTAATTATTGTTTATCAACAAACAATAATTGTAATTTATTTTCTAAATACACCTTGATCCCAATAAGAATTAACAATTAAGATGGAAACCTTGAATTCTGATCACTTATTCAATTGATTTATTTTACTAACAACCCTTAATTGTTTGATAATTGTTTCAATATCAATAACTGAGATTTCATAGTTAACTAATATTAGAAAATCTAATGCGATTTTTTTTTATTAATAATTGTTATCAAAACAATATTAAAATAATATTTCTGTTATAGTTGATGATTTAATCAATCATTTCCATTACAAATTCGAGGTGCAATTAGATAATCACCTTTAATTGTAAAGAGATGTTGATGTTCAATTTTGTATGTAATTGTGATTTTCTAGAATTAGAATTACGATGAATCATTAATTGTTCACTTTTAATTGTTTCTCTTTAGATCTATCACCAAATCATATTATCGTAATTCCGTTGGAGCTCTACTTCTTTTCGATGTGACTCGTCGAGCCTCTTTCGACCATTTAATTGATTGGCTATTTGATGTTCGTCGTCACATTGAACCAAGTAAAGCGGTTTACCAAATTGTCGGTTGTAAGATTGACCTGGAAAATGAGAGGGAAATCTCAACGGAAGAAGGTCAAGCATTTGCCGATTTTCATAGTATCAAGTACGTGGAAACATCGGCAAAGACACGACAAAATGTTGACCTCGCGTTTAAAATGATATCGGAACAAATTTACGCCAAATTGAGACGAGGTGAATTCACATTGAATCCCGATTGGGACGGAATCAAAACTGGATCTTTACACCTTTCAAGTATCGTCGACAGATCGACCACTGGTTCTTTCAGTTCGATAAGTGATTCAAATGGTTATCGAATATTAAATAATGACAATCGACGCAATAATCGAGGTGCAATTCGCAATGGATCAAGAAACAATAATCGTAATGGTTGTTGCTAATTAAATCTAATCAACAACAAAATTAACTTCCTTTTATTGATCATTTATCATGAAAAATACAATTTCACATGTTAATTATATTTACCCAGAAACAATTTGATCCAGTTGATGATTAACATGAAAATGGTGATTAAATCAATACTTTCAGTTGAAAGTTTCATTTCAATTGATTGTGAGATCTTCCTGATTGTTGATGGTGCTAAATCTCAATTTATATCTTCCTGTATGTTTAAATCATTTGAAACGACGAGAAAATGATAATTAACCAACACAATTACGATGTTAATTAATGTAAATACAACCTTTTTTTTTATACTAATCATCTTTCAATTGCTTTTAATTTAATATGAAAATCCATTTGAAACATTTTCAACAATTAAGATACATATACATGTAACTATTAATACTAATCATTTGTTAAAAGGTTGATAAACAATATCAAATATGATATATATAATTTATTGTGATTTAGATCAATATTTAAATTCATCTAAGCAATTAATAAGAAAATAATTAACTATCAACACTTTAATTGTTGAAGCCTTACTTATATTTATAATAATTTTATGATTACAATTAATATCAATGAATTGATCTAATTTAAATGATCTGAAAAGTACAAAAAGCAAACAAATTAACTCTTTAAATAAATGACCAACGATTATCAAATAAAATTGTCTCTCTAATGATAATTAAAATCTTGTAATTGTTGATTAAAATTGAGAAAAGAAACAAAAAATTAAATTCAAATTCTCATTGGAAATCAAATTCCCGCCTCAAGAGATTCTGATTTTCAGCTGATTGAAATGTTGATGATTGACTATTGGTTGATGATGATTGGAAGATGAACTTTAATTGTTACCCTTTAATTGTTGTCACCTTTCCAGTAAACAGTTTTTCTCTCCATTAGTCAGTTAATTAACCTTGTAACCAGTTGATTGTCATGATGGATCAACCATCATCTAGAGTAACCAATTTTATCTTTGGTCTTAATTATCTAGTTAATCACTCAGACAAATTACAGTGTTTGAAATGGGCTTTTCTCTCACGGATTCTTTGCCTAATTGTTTCGGTGAGTTAATTTCTATTTTCTATCACAATCACAATAGTGTCTTCCCTTTGTCCTGGTTGACCTTTTCATTCGAACAATTAAATTTAGTTTCATCTATTGGAAGAATTGTGAGATTACTCTTAATGATGGCGGTTGTTTTTTTCTATCAATATTTTGTTTTCTATTCTTTTCTATTTAATGTTGACTTTTTTTTTGTTCTATTCTCTTTTTTTTTTGATTTACTAATAGATTGCGGCCATAAATATTATTCCACCTCATGAAGCTGATGCTTTTGTTTTAGATAAATTTCTTCACAATCAGACAACAATCAATAAGATTGTCAATCATACGCTTGTTGGTTTCGCCCGTTGGGATTCATTACATTTCATTCAAATTGCTAAACGTGGTTACGGTCATGAATCTCAAATAGCCTTTTTCCCGTTTTATCCTGGTGTTGTTCGTGCTGTTAAATATACCCTTTTCCCCTGGACAACTGTCTCTCATGATGGTTTACTCATAATCTCCGGAGTTTTGGTTAATCTGATTCTCTTTATGATTTCATCAATGCTCATCCACCATTTGACTATTCTAATTTTCCGTAATCGTTCAATGGCAATGGAATCAGTTTTCCATTTCTGTTTTAATCCTGCTTCCATTTTTATGACCTCTTGTTATTCTGAAAATTTATTCCAATTTTTTACTCTTTCTGGACTTACATCAATTGAATTTGGCCGTTTATCTTTGGCCTCTGTTTTTTTCGCCTGTGCCAGTCTAACCCGATCCAATGGAATCATTTCCCTGGGATTTGTGGCCTATTGGCACGTTTCCCATATTTGTATCCTCAGTGGTCGCGTCCTCCGTTCAGCCCGATTAGTTGAACAATTTGGTATCTTTCTTAGCCACGCATTGATGATCGTGATTCCCTTTATCATGTTCCAATCTTATTCTTACTATTTCATCTGTTTTGAGCCCGATTTACCCGATCGAAAGGATTTCTGCGCTTCCATGATCAGTATTCCTTACACATTTGTCCAAAAGAAATACTGGTCCATTGGACTATTTAAATACTATCGATTGAAACAAATTCCCAACTTCTTAATTGCCTCACCAATGATCTACATCTGCTCTTGGATCGTTTGTAAATATCTCCAATTGAATGGGAAACAATTTCTCGATATAATTTTCAATTTTCGTTCTCGACGACGAGGACCAACCCTTTGGAATAACGGTCACGTCTTACCTTACATTGTTCACTTGGCATTTTTGACCTTTGTCTCTATTTTCTATATGCACGTTCAAGTGATCACCCGTTTCGTCCTAAGCTCAACACCGATCGTTTATTGGGCAATATCTTCATCACCGAACAACAAAAAATACTATTTCAAATTATATTTTCTATCTTACTTTTTCTTAGGTACAATTTTACATTCTACTTTTTATCCATGGACTTGAAACGAAAAACAAATATGATAGTCTATTAATTCAATTTATTATTATTCTTGTTCAATTGTTACCCCGTTGATTGTAAATAAAGAATCTTTACCATTAGAATAACAGAAAAATCCTAAATGGAAAATATTATTTTTGTTTTTCTCTTTCATGGTTAAGTAGCAATAAAAATGGAATCAGACAAAGAATCGTAATCAAGTAATTGATTAGTGAACGTAATTAAAAACATTGTTTTATTTGTTTCCACTTGAATGACTCATAATATAAAAGGAAAGTTTTTATAGATATTTACTTATTGTCTTCTTAAATTTTCGAGACGAGCTATTAAATCAGCGTCCGCATCATCGGCCGAAGCGGCGGCCGCTGTTGGTGTTTTACTTGATTGTGAAGTTCCACCCGAGGGAAGGGCAGTACTGATGGCTGGAATTTCACTTAATTGTTCATTAACTTGAATACCGAGTTCATCAAGCACTTGTTTAACAATTGTATTACTCTCCTCTTCGTAATCATCTTCGCCCAATGCATCGTCCATAACCTCACTCATCATCTCTTCCTTCATGTCCATGATTTCCGTTTGCTTTTCAAATTCGGCCATTATTTTCTGTATCTGGGGAAGGTTCATCTGTCTATTCATGGACATTAACGCTTTGGTAACACCCTTCATGGCGACAGCCATTGAATTTTGACTTCGAAGGGTTTGAATTTTAAGTGCAACCGCTTGAATGTTTGCCTTCATGAGAATAAATTTTTTAATATACCTTCTGGTTCGGACCAAATCTTTTGCCATCACTTTAACAGCGTCCATTTGATTATCTTTGGCCATTTTCTTTAAATCAATGATTATCTTTTTCTCTTGAGCCTCCATTTTGGTTCGCTCACGGTCTAAATCACGAACAGCTTTATTTAAAGCTCTTTGATTAGCTCTCAACATCTCCTCTGGAGTTTTCTTACGTCCGAACAGCCACTCCATTCTAATTACTTTTAACTTACGGTATTTTCCTTTTTTTTCTTAGGTAGAAAGGTAAAACAAAGCACAATTTAACTTCACAAGCAAAAAACAAATACAATTAGAATTAGAAAATTATAGAAATAAAATTGTCATCTTATTAAATGTCAAGTTGAAACCAGAAAAAAGTGTAAACAAAAACCAGAAAGAAAAACAGTCAATAACTTTTCTTGTGCCCAACAGATGGAAACACAATAGGCGAACAGAATTTCTATCAACTCAATAATCATTTCTAACTAAATATTGATTGGAAACAATTAACATTTAATTTAATTACGTAACCATTTGTTATTCTTTTTACAATCAATTTAATTTCAATAACTTAATAGAAATGTGATTGAGTTTGTGTTTTAAGAGAAAGAAAAACTTAATCGTCTAGTGGACAAAGGAAAAACCTTAAAGTGTTTACAGTGATCAACTGTTAGAAAAGAAAAACAATCTTAATAAATTGGAACAATTATCAAACTGATCAAAATTTATCAACATAATCAAAGGATAATCTCTAAATCACCATCTCAAGGAAAAGGATTTACACAAAAAAAGAGATACAATTTATCATATTATTTGGAACAAAAAAAAAGAAAGATTAAAAATGTTAACCTGATCAAAAGAGAAAGAAAAAAAAAGATAATCCGTTTTACTAATTCTAAAAAAAGCCAAAGGATTTGATAGGACAATCAAATTGACCACTAATCTGTTTAGAATTTCATAAATATATCTCATCATGGATTAACTTTTAAATGGATTAATTTATCTTCTTCAAACTGTTTAAATTTTCCTCTTATAAGACGCGCTCTTTCCAGAGGGAGCTCCAGTTTAACTTGTTCCGTTTCCGTGATCAGTCATTTTGTTTTTATTTTCAACAGAAGATTTTTTTTCAACACAATTAGTTAATTGTTTTTTTCGGTTTAATTAATAACTTTAATCATCATCTTTAAATATTTTTTGCTTCTTCTTAATCATCTCTACTCTCTACTCATCAAGTAATTCACATTATCAACTCTTCAAAATGGCTGCTGACAAAATTGATATGTCTCTGGATGATATAATTAAAATGGACGGAATCTCTGGTGTTAAAAGAGGACAAGGTGCTGGAGGTGCTGGTACTAGACGTGCTGGTAATACAGGCTCTGGTGGTAGAGGTAATTCTGGTACTGGTGGTGGTAACAGAAATAATAACAATAATAATAATAATTCAAATCGTGGTGCCATGAGAAACAAGATGAACCGTAATTTTAATCGAGCTGCTCCTTACTCAAGGGTTGGTTGAATTGAAAAAATTTTCTTTTTTCCTTTACTTGGACTCTAAGTGTTTCTTAACCTTGTGTGTTCCGTTCACAGTTGACTGAACCTGAGAGATTGTTATTCTTTTCTTTATATATCATTTATATATATATATTTACCATGATATGTATTAGTATATACATATTTTTCCAGTTCCTCAGAGTTTTGTTAACTCAACAATCATCAGTATCATATTGGAATGAAAAATTCAAGCCTGTGATTCAAGTCAAACAAAAACACACACTCACACACATTCACTCAATCATTCACACAAATACAACTACTCTATAAACCCCAATGTGCTTTATATATATTTATGAATATATATTTTTATATATTTTTCTCATGTTCTTGATAACTCATCCCCTGTTGATACTCTTGATATGATATATTGAAAGAAAAACAAAACAATCCGCAATAGAAAATATCCTAAAATCCTTTTTATAGGATTGTTGATACACACTGTTGTTACTCTGGTTCTCAATTCTTACCCTCTCATTTAACATTGGTTTCCTTCATACACAATAGGCCTCAAGGATACCTGATCAATGGCAACATGATATGTTTGATGGACCCTCACGTGGAGGGGCATCTGGATCCAATCATTTGCTGGTCTCAAATTTGGACTATGGTGTTTCTGATAAAGATATTCAAGATTTATTTGTTGAATTTGGATCACTTAAAAAAGCCGCTGTACACTATGATCGATCTGGTCGATCACTTGGTACCGCTGATGTAATTTTTGAAAAACGAGGCGATGCCGCTGCAGCCATGAAACAATACAATGGTGTCCTCCTTGATGGTAAGTAAAAATATATTCCAATTGTTTTTCTAATTGAAACTTTGTTGCATTTTTCAAAGCTTATTTACTTATTTACCCATATTTTTATTGTCTATTTTATAGGACGACCCATGAAAATTACAATTGTACCTTCATCAGGTGATAATCAAAGACGATCGGCACCCATTTCTCCTGGTGCAGGTAACTTCAGATCTCAAAAATTCGGTAATACCTCCAGAGGTGGTGGAACCGGATCTAGACAAAATCAACAACAACAACAACAACGTAATCGTAATCGTGGAAATGGTGGTGGTAATGGTACCGGTGGTATGTCCAATAATCGTGGTCCAAGACGAAATAATCAAAACCGAAAGCCAGTCACTGCTGAAGAATTGGACGCTGATTTGGATGCTTATGTCAATAAATGAAAATGTGACCTGAACGTTTTTTTTGGTTCTAAGCCTAACATTAAACACTATCCACAATACTATTTCAACAAACAAAAACTGTTATCCTCATCAACTTAATTTTGTCATCTATTTCATCAACTCTCTCTCTCTCTCTCTCACACCAATTCATCAACAAACCAAATTCACCACACACAAAAATCATCATTCAATAAACATCTCAACATTCTAATTAATTAATCTACTCTAAACAAAAACACTTATCTTTTTTTGATGTTATAACAAAAAGCTCCAAATGATCAAACATGATCGATCCTTTTAAAGAAAAATCAACAAAAAAAGAGAGACTCATCAAATCAATATCATCATCGTAATATTGTCCCTCTCATCCTGATCAACTACTTAAGATTAATTAAATCAATGAACAAATTTCTCTCTAACATAAAAACAAATCAGAGATGAAACAATTAAATTAAATCACTTTTTTTCACGTGAAAGTCTGAAGATTTTAAGCCGCGATTATAAATCAATTGCTAGAAAAAGCTCTTTTAACCTCTTCAACATAATCTACTTAATTGTCTATTAATCACTACAATTAACAAAAGGTTTTTTCACCCTAATAGCTTGAAGATTGATTAGTTTTAACAGTAACAATTAACTTGGAGAGTAAAATCTTAACCTAAAGGTAAAAGAGCAAAATATCAACTCGGTAACTCATCTTAATGGAAACATCTCCGAGTCTCGAGAATGGAAAAGGTTAAATCTATGATTAAGTTATGAATAATTAACGAAATTGAGTTCTTTTTTATTGTTAGATGATTTTTATAATGAAGATGATGAAGATGAAGATATTGGGAGAGGCTGAAAGCGATGATGAAAGATGAATGTGCAAATAAAATCAATGGTTTCGCTGTTGAAGTGAATAGGATTTCGGGCGAGTCTCCATTGGAATTGAGGTTTTATATTTTATTTATTATTTTTTCATCATTTTTTTTTTCTCTTCATCATGTTGATGAGAAGATGATGATAATTATGATGATAACAAAGGCAACGACGCCTCCTTTTATTACTTTGATAGTGATTCTCTTTTGATAGTTGACATAGAACAACAATTTACATTGGGCCGAACCCATAAATTCATTTCTCTTTTTCGTAGCCAAACCCATGATTTACTTTTATCATAACAATTTACTTTAATTCAGTTTAGGAATTTACATATTACTGTGAATTTGTTTTCCTATTTCCTTAATTTTTTACTCCATTTTAATTACGTTAATGTTTTCGCGTTTAAAATCAACTCGTACTCTCATCATCATCATTCATATGATTGCAATTGCTAATTACTCTCTGTAATTATAAGGGATGCGTTTGTTTTGTTAATTGTTCATGATTACTTGTAATCGATTATTAAATTAACTGTTAAATGGTCTAGAATATGTTAATCTGATTGGAATATCTTTTCTTTTCTCATTGGAAACTCTGATAATCAAATGTTTTTCTTATTCTGTAGAGATTTTCAGATTCATCTAATATTCAGTTACTCTTAATGATGATTAATTCTGTAGAGATGATTAAGAAAGTAGACGGAAAAGGTGATACTAAATGTTGGAAGGAGAAATAGGAAGAAAGAAGATAAAAGAGAGAGTGAGAGAAATTGACCCGGGTGGAGAAAGGAAAAAATCATGATGATACATGGAAAAAAAGATGATCAAGAGAGAGAAAAGAAAGTAAAAAAGATGATGAACAAAATTATGTAGCTAAGGGTTGAAATCTGTCATTCATGTTGGGTGTGGACTTTTACTCCGTGAGACCAATAATCAGATGAGAATAGGCCAGGTCCAGGTTATCATCATGATTCCTCGAATATTCACAAAGAAGAGAAAATGAAATGAGAGAGAGAGAGAGAAAGAAGGGAGATAAACAGAGTGAGAGAGTAATAGGAAGAGAGAAGGAGAAAGGAGAGTCTAACATGTAATTCATATCAAAAGGTACATGTGGTTGATACAGAAACAAAACTTACTCCAAACTGGGAGTGAAAGTTATTAGGAAGAAGATGATAACCCAAAGAGAGAGAGAGAGAGTCAAAGGGAGTTCATTGCATAATCATCTGTAGTATATTTTTTTTTTTAGGAGTCAGGGAGTGAGTAGGGATCCATTATTATTACACAGAATTGGCTTAAAAAATGAGAGAGAAGAAGCCGGAAGAAAGAGGAAAAGAAAGAGAGAAGTGGAAAGGAAAGTAAGAGACTCTGAGTGAATGGAAGACGAAGAAGATAAATGGAAGACAAATGGAGTGAGAGAGAAGATGATGTTTAGTCCTAAAATTATGTTAAGTAATTGCGTGTGTCCTCGGTCATAGGAATATAATGTACGCCCAATTCCTGAGAGTATAAATACAGAGGATTCAGTTTCCCTGTGGATCATTCATTCATCCGTGTAACTTTCATGAGAAAGAATATGGAAAGAAAAATAAAAAGAATATTATTTTTTTCCTTTTCTCTTTTATTACTTTTGATTATTTCCATTCCCTTCTTTTACCTGGACATTTGGATGTTGATTGTTAATTGTTTTCCGTTTCACTTTGTAATTAAGTTAATCATTATTCTTGTTATCATCTCATTCCCTGTTGTGCTCTTGAAAACACCAAACTACATTTTCTCTGTGTTCATATTCAACAATTAACACTCACTAACTGATTGTGTCTCTTTCTGTGTATTTGGATCATATTATCATCTCCATTTTGGACTAAATTTTTTCAGCTACTAATTAGTTGATCGGCAACAATTAACCGACCTGATCTCAACTCGATCCATTCGTTAACAAAACTCGTTATTTTCACAATCAATTCTAATTGTTGGTGGTTATCATTTTCTTTCCTTGATTTCTCATCCCTTTTCTCAATCCTTTCACAACAATTAGCATTCACCAACTGTTAATTCAATTCAATTAACTTAATTGTTTCAACAACATTAATGTTTTGTTCGTTTGGCTCGAGTCATGATCAAGGTTTAATTCATCATCGTCTTCATCATCAACGGTTTCGTCGTTTGAACAGTTAAAAGTCTTTAAGGATATTAAGCAAATCATCCTTTCGATCAGGTAAGTATCTTAATTGTTGACTAATCAGATGAAGTCCTTTTCTTTATTCAGTTTTACAATCGAAACAATTTAACCCACCGATCGTCTCCAATTTAATATAAGTAAATTGATTTACCGATCAACTTGATTATCTTTGGACATCATTTTCGGATTACCAATGGTCGTTCATTTGGAAATACTCACAACAATTAAGAATCTAATTAAAGATCGATTTGCATTCGGATGGACACATGAGTGGTCATTGGAATTTAAATCAAATTAAGATGATTAACTTTGTAACTTCAACAATCAAATGTAATTGGAATTAAATAAAGATTCGGTTTTCTGTCAAGAAAAATTAAAAATTTGGAGACAATTTTGATTTTTTTTTTGTATTTCTTTTTGTTTTTAATTCCTTTCGTATCAAAGATAACTTGATTTAAGGTTAATTTAGCTTCAGGCGATTTTGTGTTAATTGTTATCAAGTATTTAATATTAATCGAGATCACACAAGAATAGAGAAGAAAAAAAGTTAAATAGACAGAGAAAGAGAAAAGGGGAAAGTTTGAAATTACAATTTAAGAAATTCTGTTGAACAGAATTTGTTTGGACAGAAAGAAAAGAAAAAGTTTTACAAATTTAGCAATTAGTTAATTTCTGTTTCTCTGATTCGAATTTAGAATAGATTATAATCTTGGTTTCTTTTTGTACAGTTTTTCTGTTCTTCGTCTTATTTGGTGTTCAAGTTTCTATTATTTTTTTATAAATCTTAAAGCTAATTCAGTTTTAAATCTATTGATAATAATCCAAATTGAAAACTGGTAAAGATTATTTAACTTTTTTTGCCATTTCAATTAAAGTTTATAATATAAAATCATAAATGATTTTCCTTATTTTTCTTGTTTGATTGCTTTTTGGAAACGAGAGACGAGACAATTAAAGAGGATCATTGTAATGTTTTTGTGACTCTTTTGGAAAGGAATTGGTTGATCCTCTTTTCTTTGATTGTTTGTGGTGTCCATTCAATTTTTTTCTTCTATGATAATAATTCCTCTTCCTCTGATTTGATTGTTTCATCATGAAGATTTGAACCATCTAAATTATCGCAATTAGTAAACCAGGTACTGAACATATTTTGAAGCTCAAACTAAACATGTGAAAAAAGCAAAATAAATGGCAAACAAAATTAGTAAATTCAAGAACAAGTCAAATGCAGAAATACATTTAAAATTACAAATAATTAGTTAATTATCTACCTTAACTGTTGCTTGTATTTGGTTGACCATAGCATCATCGGAATAATAATTATTTTCAAGATCAGATGGTTCGGAAACCAAAGGAGATCTCATTTTTGAGTTGATATCTTCAAGTGTTTCCACTGTCCATTTGGCCCAGGCTTCTTGTGTTTCCGAGGGTAATTGGTCAAGGCAACTTTTGACCACAGTAACATCTTTAGTGGACAATATGTGATTAGCAATCTTAATGATATGTCCAAGGTAACTTGGCTTAGAAATTGATTTTTTATCTACTGATTGTTGGTAAGCATCGAGTATTTTCCCAATTAAATTGTATTCTACTAATAATTGGTAAACTAACGAGGTTACATTTTCATCATTATCAATCTCCTTGTGACAAGTTTTACTACTCGAATCACATGTATCACTCTCTTGTTTACCAACATTTTTACTGGGCGTGGATGTGGAATCACCACCATCGCTATTGTTACTCTCAACCAGTTCACCTTCAGTTTTAACATCAGCAACTTTTTCTTCAGTAACTTCCTTTTCCTTTGTATCCTCATTATCATCATCATCTAAACCACCAGTGGGACTGGTTATCGGTGAGGTAGATTTAGCGTTATCTAAAATACAATTAATACTTTGTTCCACTTGAGTATGGAGGAAATTGTTGAATGGATACTCAAAGAAAAGATCCTAGAGTAAAGACGAAAAAAAAAACATAAAAAAGAATAAATTAATTAATAAATTGTAAACATTTGGGTAGAGAAATATGAGCAAAAATTGCTTTCTTACCATTAGAACAGGTAATGTTTTCAGGGAAGTTAATTTTTTGTTAATTGTTGGATTATTGCTACTTAATAAAGCTCGTATTAGATGAACAACTTCCACTCGAGTGGCTCCGAAAGGTTTCTCAATTAAACCGATAATGGTTCGAATGGGTTGTTTAGTTGGTGGATTAATAAGTAAGGAATGAAAATCTTCTAGTCGAGGCACAATCGCTGCGTGAACCTGACGGACACTTTTGGTTAATCTTTCAATATCTAATGCGGTCATTGTATCAGGCAAAGCTGTATTGGTAACAGAAAATAATGGATAAGACATTTTATCTATATTATCAATACCATCAATCGTGTTAACTGCAGCATTTCCACTATTAGAATCAGCGTAAATATCAATGGGTGATTGTTTTGGCGGGAGGTTGGCGCTGTATTGGAAAGAGTGTCAAACGAAAAGTAAATTTTAAGAAACTTCATTAGTTCATCTTGTTGGTACAAATTCAAAACATTTAGATGGTGGTAAAGATAATCATGATAATCAAGTGATGGATTTAGCTTTTGATTGTAAGAAAACTCTAGGCAGTAGGTTCAATTCTTAATTCAGACCAATGACTTGTGAGCTTTTTCTTTACAACGAGAAAAATTAGTCAACTAAAAATTTGGCAACAATCTTAATCTTTCAGAAAGTAGTTCAGCTTTTTGACTTACAGTTGACAAAATGATCACAATCATATTGGATCACATTGTTAAAAGATTTCCAACAAAAACAAGGAAAAAGAATCTAAAAGAACCTTATTGTTATACTGTTATACTATTCACACGATTCTGAGCTTCCATTCCGAGAATGAGAAGTGTTTTCATTTATGATAGATACTTTTATGATGAATGTGAATAGTGTTAACTAGTTGTTTAGCTTAATTATAAGTGTAAGAAAAAAAAAGATATATCGAGCTTAATTAAATCTCAAGCCTACGGTTAATTAACAGTCATTTTATCCATTAGATTATAATTTATCTTATTCCTTATGAATACGAAAAGTAAACAAGATCTCTTACCGGTAACGCTGATACTCGAGAAGGGCTTGTAAAACTTGGATACCATTAACTAGACAAGATTCGGTTCTTGCTTCAAACATGTTGTTCAACAATTGAGTAATTGTTGACGTCCTATTGATGAGATAAATAAAGATAAATAGAACAGGTAATTAGGAAAATAATGTTAATAAGGATTTTAAAAGTTAACTTACGATTCTATTTCACTAAATAGTGGATTACATTCAATATTTTCTTGGTTACATGTTTGCTGTTCTCTACTGAATCTTATAATGTCACAAAGTAATTGGGATGAATTTGCTTGAGCTGATGGGTCAACATCTTCCTTGAAAAGTTCAATCAATTTCTTGACTAATCCTTGTTTATGATAAAACTGAAAGAGAGAAGAGGAGAAAAAAAAATCAAATTAAAGATCATTAATCTCTTGAAATTTAAGGGACATGGAATCCATACATTCATGTAGGTTGCTGAGACATCGGGTGTACCCTGACGGGCGAAAGATTTGAAAAGTAGGTCCATCACCGCTGAGGTGCCAATATGATTGATTAGAGAGGAGGCGAAACCTTCTCGATTTAAGTGGACATTATTGGTTGAATTTTGAGGTACACTGAATAATATTTTACATATAAAACTGGCCATAAGTGGATTCAATGGTTCACTAGACTGTAGCTTATCATATAGAATAGAAATCAGATCAGGATTAGAAGCAAAAGTTTCATTCATTAGACTCTTTTCACTTGATAACACCTCACAAGCCATATTAGCGTATCTGTATCTTAATTTTTCATTTTCATCCTCCGGAGGCTCAGTGGTAACCATCATGACTAATTGTTTAAGGATTTCCGGTTTACAAAGACTAAAAAAAGAAATAGAAAATCATTAATATGCAATAAGAAAGAAGGGGAGTTTTATATTGAATTATGAATATATAGAGAGAAATCAGAGAAAGAGACTAATCAATCAATTTGATTGAATAGAATAAGATGATTTATATTACTCACTATTCAATTAGCCTATCATTTCCCAATTTACATTCATGGAGAATATCTTCTTGTTCCAATAGACTTTCCAAAGATAAATTCTTGATAATGGTTGAGGAGGAAGAAGTTATTGGAGAAACAGCGAAGGAGAGAAAGAGAATTAAAATTGAAATTAATTTGAAACGAAACATTGATGAGGAGAAATTGAGAGAATTAAAGATAATCAACAAGAGAAAATTAAATGTTTAAATCTTACCTCAGAATCTTCAAGCAATGAATTGATGGGTGATACAAGAGCAGCATCAGTTGTCCAGAACATGTTTCCGTTTATGTCTACCAAACACACCAATAAGTAACAATTAAAGTGACACCAGAGTAACAAGAAAGACAATTTAACGAAACGATTAAAAATCCACCTTTTCAATTAACCATTAAAACTGTCTACTAACCAAGTAAAACAGTGTGACTTGACACCCAAGAGATAAAGAGACAAAATAGACAGAAAAAATATAGAGATGAGAAGAGAAAGACAGAAAAAAAGAGAGAAAATCTTTCACAATGTGTATTAATATGAAATAAACAGCAGAGTGAAAGATAAAGAAAGAGGAAAGAATAGAAAACAAAAGAGGTGATGTAAAGAAAAGAAGGAGAAAGACAAAGGATGAAGAATTTTAAAAACTCAGGTAATACACAATAATTAGAGATTAATTGTTAATCAACAATTAGAAGAGAAAAATTAACAACGAAGTGATTCCCTGGTTGTCTCTTTTATAATAATAATAATAAGCTCATGTTTGAATGAAAAGACACACAGACAGAGAGGAATAGAGAAAAAGAGAGTAAGAGAAAAAAGAGAAACACAAAGATCGGTTAAAGAGAAGAGAAAAAGAATATTAATTATTCTCTGGAATGGACAAGAGACAATTTAAGAGAATTAGTTAATTGTTTAGGTGATTAGGAAGGTTAATTAAAAAAAGTGGGATTTGAGAAGGAAAAGAAAGTTAATTTAAAGAGAATTATTTTGTTTTTCAAAACACATTCTTGTTACCAATGTAGAAGAAGATGAAGAAAAGTCATGTGATTGGAAGATGGAGCATGAAGAGAAGAGACGATTTTCATTGAATCATTTTTTCTCTCTCAAAATTTCATCTTCTAATCGATTAAAAACTTTAATTGTTCCATTGACAATGTTAATTAAAATACCTAACCAATTTAAAATCTCCAAAATCAATTGTTTACTCTCATGTGTTAAGATGATCTCTTAACATTCAATGTTTACCTTTGTCTCTCTATCTCTTTTTTTGATTTTTCTTTCCTATTAATTTCACTTTCTACTCACCTTAGTCTTCCAATTTATCGAAAGCTTCAATTTAATTAATTCAATCACTAAACAATAATTAAAAACAATTACAATTAGAAACAAAAACAAAAGAAAATGAAAACTAAATGTAATCAAACAAAAAGAAAAATTTTAATTCTCACACAATAGTTACAATAGAAAACACTAGATGTCGCTACAAACTCAACTTCTAAAATGTAAACAATCAATTTTAATTGTGAACAATTTAATCGCGAGATATTGAGTAATAAGATAATTTGAGGGTTGATTGGAGTAAATATCATAAAATATCAACAATTAGAAGAAGGTCAAATTATTTATATTTATGTCATTGTCTTTATCTGACTAACTGACTAATTGTGATGATCTGATTAACCTTTAAAAGTTAATTAAAAAAAACAGATGATCTTTACAACCAAATTAACTTTATTTACATTTATTTAGGGATTGAATTTATTGACCCATCAAGGTTAATCAATATTATCCCAATAAATTGTAATCAATATTTACTATTAAATAATTATGTAACCAGATTTTCTTAGAAAAATAGATTTGATTATCATCAATTGATCACAATTGAAAATCGTTACAATTAATTGTTGATTTAATTTGTGTCATCGATTAGCTGGAAAATTAAATTGTCTAATCAACTTTACTGATGTAAGAATTAACTAACGAAAATTGATCAATATTAAATTAACTTTTTTCTTCTTAAATTGTTGTAATTGATACAATGATTTAAATTGTTCAAGATTGATGTTAATTTGATGACATTTTCAATCAGTTTAATGGTTGAGACAATCAAAACAGACTTAAGGAAGATGATTAATAATAAATCAAAATGAAGAAAATGTTTTAATACAATTAGAGTAACATAAAAATCTAATTCAATTGTAATCGTTAATCAAAATTGACATTTAACGTCAACAATTAAAGGACAATCAATCAACAAACAACTAAGTACATGAACATGAAAGTCCAGAAAATTAATTGAACACAATCAACAAACAAATTGTGATTAATTAGAGTCCAACAATCACAAAATAAATGGCTACTTAACAATTAGTAATATTTTAATTACAATTAAATTGTAACAATTGGAACCATCAAAAAAAAATTAATCTCCAAACTGATTAAACTTTCATGACAATGATGATGATCCCAAACAATTAATTAACTTGATAGTACAAAATGAAAAGTTAATCATCATCTCTGATCCAAGTTAATCAACAATTTAATCCGATATCAAACAAATCATTTAACTAAATCTTTACCAGGATTAAATATTAATTGACATTTTATCCCATTGATTTATCATTAATTGTAAGTTTAATTAAAAAGTCAACTAACAATACAGAAAATGATTTAATCGAGTGAATTTAAATCAACCCAATCAATTGTGTAACAGTTAATTGTCAATCAATGTCTTTGACTTTCATGGCGTTTTTGTTAATAATCAAGTTAATTATTAAACTACACAGATGATTAAGTAAAAGTTAATCAATATTATCTCATGAGTAAACAATTAATTAATTGGATAATAATATTAATTTGCTTACCTTAAGATGTTAATCTAAATCCTTTGTGATTTAATGACAATTAGTAATTGAATAATGTGAAAACAGAAAATTTAATCATTATCAATCATTTCATCAATTAAATTACAAATTTCAAACAATTAACTAAAAATAGTAACAATATCATTACAATCAAGGACAATTGTCTAGGTTTTCAATGGTTAATATTGAAGAAAATTTAACAATTAAGTTAATCACTTGCAATTTTGATTGATCACAATTGATTATCATTCAGAATCCGTAGTAATAATATTTAATTTGATTCTTCAGACTGATCGATATTTGATCAACCCTCAGGGCAAATGTTAATCATATTAATAAATAATCAACGATTAACAGTTTGGTTAACCAATTCATCTGTTAATTGTTGCTTGACCATTTATCTCAATTGATTAAAATTAACTCGAAAATTGATAATCTTGATGTACTTTCCTTGACCTTAATCATCAATTAAATGTCTCTGAGATTTAAATTGTCAATATAATCATTATAATCTCATAATCTTAATCACTCTGTAATCCAATAGCAATTACAATTAACATGTTAAGATCCCGATCAAGCCTTGAAGTAAAATTGTATTATTTAAATTGTCTCAGATTCAATTGAACAACAATCAAAAAGTAAAAAAGTTAATTAACCAATTACAATGAGAATCATTGAGAGTAACAAATTTTTCAATTCTAAACAATTAACTAAAAATAGAGACAATCGTTAACAATCAAGGACACAATTGTGTCTCAGTCTATGTTGAAAAGTGATCATTGACAATTAATATTTCATCTAATTGTTGATTATAATTGAGACATAAATTGTTTACTAATATAAACCTTAAGGGTAAAAGGTTATTGATTAATACATGAGAATCAGTAAATTGTTGTTGATTAACCAACAATAGGAAAATACTGATTAATTTTTTCCCCAGATCAGATGATTAGGATTAATTACAATTCCTGATTCTCTTAATTAAATCCATAAAAAACTGGATCAACTGATAATTAACAAATGATCAACTAAAACTATTAATACATAAGCTATTAAGTAAACTATTAATTGTCGCCAATATTGATAAACCCTAATAATCAATTGATTAACATCAATCGAAGGGCAATTAAAACAGAAAACTTAATCCATGATAGTAATCAACTAATCAATGACACAGAACAACATATGATTAACTAATCATAATCAACATAAGAAAAGTCATAACCCAGACACAATTAAAACGTAATTAAATAAACAACAACAACAACAATCGAAATCAAATTAAATTATTGTCGCTCTTTTATTAATCAAGAAAAAAAGGGAAAAAGATTAAGTCAAATGTCACCAGAGATTTAGATTAAGGTATTAACATGAAAGGAAATTGTGTTAATTGAATCAGAATTTTCGACCGATTGAAATTGTGAACAATTCAAATTAAACCATTGATTGTCTTCCGTTGAGTTAATTTATCTCTCAGCGATTAAGGTAACAGTTAATTGCGATCATTTTAATCATCCAATTCAAATCTTCCATTATGTTTTTCTCAAATGAGCTACTCATTAAATCCCTTTATCCAGATTCCAATTTTATCTTCAATCTGATTCCTCATCATCTCCATGTAAGAGTTAACTTGATCTCTCTCATCACTTAGCAACAATATCGATTCTCATCATCATCTCTCTTCATCATCTTTACTGAACTTCTAATGCTCATGCTGAGTGTTTCTCTCTCTCTCTCTCTTCTTCTTCTTTTTCATCATCTATAGAAAATTCGATTCCAAGTTTTTCATTCGTAAGTTCAGTTCGATTGAGAAAAGGAACCTCTCGATTCTGAACAGTACAGAAAAAAAGAGTTCCTATTCTCATGGTTAGAACTTTTTTCTTCTTATTTTCTAACGATTACCTTTTGTTTTTGTTTTCCAATGGAAGAGAATAAAAAACAAATTCTATTTCTCTGTCTACCTGTTTTCTTTTTCACCAACAACCTTGTAATTTAATTGTTATCACCTTAATCAATTGTTAACTATTAACGTCTTTCATCAATTAACCAACAATCTACCAGAAACAATACACATAAAACTTTCATCAACTTTTAATTACAATCATTTTTTTTTCTTCCTCAATATTAACTTTACCTGGAAATTGAATTTATCTTCATAAGGTAAGTTGTCAATCTAATTAATTTTGTCAATTAGTTGAAATTTTTTAACAATTTACAACAATTGTAATCGTGGTTCTTATAATAGACAAATAATTGATTGTAATGATTAGTTGTGATTCGTGATTGTAATAGTTAAACTCTGGTTTCATTCATTGATTTTCATCCAATTTCACTTTCTCTCTCAATCTCTTACCTGTAATATTATTACCTGAGAATGATGATAATGTCGACAGAGAAAAAAGAAAGAGAAAAAATCATTTTGATCCTCAACTTGATCATTATCTTAATCCGTAACTCACTAATTACTGCATTTGAAAGTGAATTTAAATTATATCAAATGTGTCGTTGTCACAATTTAGTTAATTGTAGTAACTATTAATAGCCTATTAAGTCAACTACTTACTGACATAATTATGATAGGATTTGATTTATAATCAATTAAATTGATTTAGTTAATCATGAAAACTGTTATCATGATTTACTATTAATATCTGCGATTATAATTATTATTTATATTCAGGTTATTGTGATGAAACAATCAATTAATTGCTGGTATGATTTATCATGGTTTTAATTTTCATAGTTAATCATGTCAATTGTAATTAATTGTAGTTGATCAATTTATTTATAGTTTGTTATAATGTACATGTATTAATATCAATACAATAGACAATTTAATTGTTATGATTGAACAAATTGTTTACTTTGACAATTAAGTTTTATCTTGCACTTGAGAAGCAATTTAATTATAATTACGTTAATTCATATGTATTTTCTGATTAATTATTCTCTCATTGTTACAATTAAATGATTTTCTTTTCTTTTCTTCAAATTGTTTGCTGAAAATCACAATTAGACAACTAAGATAATCAGATTATAACAATTTACAATCAAAATCTTTTTCTCAAACAATTAGATTTCTCATTGAAGAAAACGATTTTCACCTCAAGGGATTTTCCAATATAAAGAAACAAGATCCAAATGATTAAAATTAATTTCAATCAAAATTAACAAAAAATCACCAAGAATATGATTAGCTGATCAACACACCAACAATGAAGTTAATCACCACCAATAATCAAATAATTAAACTAACAATTTACCTGTTGATTAACAAAACGCTCAGCAAAAAAAAAAGTTAACCAACAACCGATCATTACAATTGCCTGAAACAATTACTAAATTAACTCAAGCCCTTCCAGTCCATCCCTTAATTTCACAACAATAATCAAATAGACGAGGACAATTAATATGATCAAGATGATGTCCATTCAATGGACAAGTGAATCAATTAAGATTACAAAAACACTAAAGTGTTAACCCTCATAGACTTACCTGTATATTATTTACCTGTACTAATGATATACAGTTACCTGGGCAACAATTAAGAGCCAATATAAACAAGGAAACCATTTAAATGTTGCTAGTTATCATTATTATTAGAATCTAATCCAGTTTAGTTACCTTTTAACCAGACAAAAAATTGATGATTACCGTTAATAGTGATGATGAGATATGATTGCGAGATGAAAATGATGAAGAAAATTAATATTTCATCTTCAATCGGAATCTCATGTGTATATAAATTACATAGCTGATTAAGATGATTTCCAATTGGAGTTAACTGAGCCACAAGAATAATCAGTAAATTGTATTGATAATCAGAGATGAAAATTGTGCTTCCATAATCACAATTATCATCATCATTACTTTGGTTCATCTCTAATTCAGTTTGCTTATCTCTCGTTCATTCATTTGCTAGTTAATTTACTTGATTTGCTTGATAACATCATTCTAATCATCATCATCATCATCTTACAATTTAATACGAGTGAGTTGATCATTAACCATTTATATTATATTATCATCCTAATTAATGGGAAAATATTTAAATAACATTTCTGCAGGCGATAATTAAATGAGCGTCTATTAATAATGATGATAATCATGATGATGAATGATAATTTGGTAGATTGTGAGTTAACAATTAAAAGATATCTACACATGATAAAGTTAAACTTTCTTTTTTTCTTCTTAATGATTAACTGTAAATCTAATTTTCTATTTTCTTCATATTATATCAATTCTTTTTCTTCTTATTATTATTATCAAATTAACGAATTACAATTAGCTCTTGACACTATCAAGGAGTGAAAAGGAGACACAAACACAATTAACTGATTGTTAATTTGGTTCCTCATTTTTGGTTTGACTGATTAAACGAATGGATTTTGTGACTAATTTGATTTAAGAATTGGTGAGAAAACGAGTTGGGAAAAATTGTTTTGGAAACTTTTGTTCGAAGTGAATAAAACTTTCGCTATCGAAACCTTGTTCTATGCTTGGTTCTGGACGGAAGGCTCGACGATTCTCGAGTCTACGATTTACTAACGGAAAGGTAACCAATCGTTCAGTGTCACTTAATGAAGACTATCTTAATGATAACAATGCTTTCATTGTTATTGATGGTTCATCAATTACTTTAAGTGATGAAGGACAACAACATCAATCCCATCATCTTAATCAACAACACGAATATCATCAATTAAATCAGCGACATCAATCCCACCATCATCATCATAACAATAATCAAGTGTTTCAATCATCAAGTGTAAAAGAAATGAATTATATTAAAAGTGAACCCAATTCGCACCCTGGATCCCCACCGGTCATCACGGTTCGGGAAAGTTCATCGGCAACGGTCAATGAGAAAGATGATATCAGTCTTTATGGTACACCGAAGGAGGAAATGGCCCCAGGGTTTGCTGAGGCCAAAGCCTCGTTCATGCGACATCAGATCGAAGCGCTTTTCCAACCCTCCGATAATAAATTAGCGATGAAACTTTTTGGTTCTAAAAAAGCTCTAATGAAGGAGCGACTTCGGCAAAAAGAGTCCGGTCATTGGATAATTCACCCTTGCAGTAATTTCAGGTAATTAATGAACAACTAATTAACAATTAAACAACTAAACTATCACAGTAATAATTAACTATTAAATTAACGAAGCAGAGACAAAAAAAAGTTAATCAAGAAAACTTTTCATCAATGAAAATTGAAACCTACAAATCAACTTAATGATCAATCATTTAATTACATGATACACTACAAATTTGATTGCAAACTGGTTAATTACATGATAAGTGATCATGATTATCGTTAAATTTTAATAGTAACCAGTTAATTATTACCAAAAAAACACTATTAATAACACATAGTATTTAAATTGTCAACCTTTCAAGTCACCAAGTTGTATTTTTTTTGTTATTATTTCTCAGTCTGATTAACGATTAACAATCATAATCAGTGTGAGACGATAATGATAATGTTCATGATATAATTTTGAAACATTTCCATTGGAATAACAATATTTACATGTAACTATTGTAATGATTACATTGAGAATAGAAAAATGTAAAAATAGTTTCCAAGGTGAAAAAAAATGTGATAAATAAATTTTATCATGGGAATGAAAATAAAAATACTAAATGAGATTCAGAATGTAAATGAAAATGTTTCTTACCTTGCATATTATTATTAGTTCTTGATTGTTGAACAACAATTTGATTCAAATACACACACACACAGAGTAAATGAATACCCTCCTCATACCCCCTACCACCATCACCTCCTTCAGTTGAAAGTATTTTCAAGTTTCACCTCAGGTAATATCAACATCTCTCTCTCCCTCTCTCTCTCTCACTCTCACTCTGCATGATGCCAGATAATATTCATGAATATATATCATCACCATGGGAAAATATTCACATAAATGGATATCTTATCTGGTACCATGTTCACTGAATATCTATCAATATATAAAGAAAAGTTCAGGGAAGACTGAATATTGATGGAAAAAATTGAAATTTGTTATTGAAAGTTTTTCTCCAAACTTTCATCATCAACCAGGTAGATGGAAAAGTTCAGTCCCTGTAAGGTAAATGCTCCGAGACAAAGTCTACGATAACGTTTGGATATTTGCAGAACTTTTTCTCTCTCGTTCATCTTACCTTTTTCATCCTCATCCTTCCTGAAGATTTGTGTTCCTTGTGGTTACCTGATGATGATAGAAACGGATAAGATGTTGATAAAAGATTAGAGAGAAAAATTTTGATTCGATTTAGGAAACTAACTTATTACATTGATTTTAATCTTCTTCTCAAAGTTTCTCATCTTGTTACCTGAACTTTTTTCCTCCTCATCTTTTCCTCTTCCTCCAATGATAAATTTCCTCTTATTGGAGATTCAGTGTCAAAGGTTATCTTCTCATTTGATGAGATGAACATTTTGTAACCTTGACAAGTTAATAGAATAAAAATTCACAACTTGATTTCCCTTTGATTGTTTTCCCAACAATTAAACTTTTCAATCGCTGAAAATTTCATTCACTGATTATCACTAATTGTCTAATCGTTCAACTAATTTCCACTTCAATTGTTAATTTAACTGAGTCTCTGAGTGTAGGTTTTCATCCTACTAATAGTAATGGACCAAAGTAATTTATAAATTGGATGATAGAAAAATAAAATTATCGAAAAATTTTGAAAAACAATTAACCAGAAAAAAATAAAGCTCCATCAAGGAAATGATCAGTTTTCACCTTATCTTTCAGGTAAAACAATTCATTTACAGTTATTTTATCATCCATTGAATTTAAGTCCTCAGGCTAATGGAAGATCAATACAAAGATGACAAAAAAATGACTCTGAAAGAGGTGGGAGTGAGTGAGTGGAAATCAGATCAAAGTTAAGATGAAATCAATATGAACCAAGTAATATAACCAAATTTATATTAATACGTTACCTCAAATTGTAATTGACAATCAATAAAATTGGTTGACATTAATTTGATAATGAAACAAAAATCTTCTTTGATTACAATTAGTTGAATGGTCGTGAGATGAAAAAACAATTTGCTTGACCATCAATGACCATAAAGGTAAACAACAAGAGTGAGAGAGAAAAAAAGTTTCTCCTTTAATTGTTCACTTATTTGAATATGTGATTATAATTTTTACTGTTGATGATTAGACTCATTCATTTATTAGATGAGTATAATTTACACATTGGTCAAGTGGTCATTGACTTATTGACCTGTAAACTAATCAACTTGAATGCAAATGGTGATATTTTGAGGATAATAAACTGACCATTGTCCATCAATGGTAACCTGACATCGACTGGACATATGATATCATGAGAAAGTGAGAGAAAGTTGATAAATCCAATGAGAACATTAGAATCCATTAACCATCCTGATCATCGAAATCTCTCTCTGAGTATTTCCAATACTGAATTTGAGATTCTGTATGAATAGAACTTTTTCTTTTCCTTGGTTCGAATAATGTTTTACCTATTTGTTTACCTTTTTTTCTTCTAAATCCAAGATTCGTCGAGAAAATCGAAAAGAAAATATCTTTCCCACTCTTCTCATCTTTTAACCCACCACAATTTTCTATCACTTATTTCACCGAATTCTTGGCATTTCATCTAAAGGATTACAGAACAAATAGATAGACAAACAGAGAGAAAGAAAAGTAGATAGAAGAGTTGACAGAATAAAAAACAAAAATTGGAATACAAGTTTCACGAAGAGAAAAATTTTCTTCTTCTTCCACTAATGAAACAATCTTCGAAGGTGAAAAGCCACAAATTCTGAAGAAGATGATGAAATGAAGAAAAAGTCACTTCCCTTTCTCGAACATGAGATAGAAAAGTGACAATTTCCTATTGCACTCGAAAAAAAGAGAAACAATATAGTCAAGAAAACGACAAAAACACAAACACGAAAGAAAAATTTTCCAAGCGAAAAATAAGTTGAAATATTTTTTTCGAGCAAATAAAGTTCTCAATATTTTTCATCTTCTTAGTTCGTTGACTTAACAACAACACCTCCAATTACAGTTATCAAATCATAAATCTAAATCATTGTCACTTTTTCATCTTCATTAATCAAATTTCTGGGAAAATAATGAATTTAAACATTTCACTTAGTGTGTTCAGAGATTCTTGATTGGCATTCACATCCCCAACACTTTACCTAGTTTGTTATATTTCTGTTATAAATTCATAACATCAAAATGTAACAATCATGATGATAATCAACCAACAAGTTTCCATTCAATGGTGTTGACAATTATTCAGGTCCAAATGAGATGCATTTGTCGTAATATGTGTTTACAATTGTGAGTGTTAAATGTTAATCGTAATCGAGGTAACAGAAAAAAATGATTCCAATGAATTCTGATGCAAATTGATTGTGATTAACTAGATTTTCAGTTGCCACTTGACAAAATGTTCAACTCTTTTTGAATGTTTTGTTAAAATGTGAAATTGTTTAACATGCTCATCGTTTTTTTCATCATCATTCTGTCATCAGAACTTTTTTCCCATTATCATGTAAATTAATTCCGTTTGCCTGTTCCATTAGTTTCCATGATTCAAGCCATTCAATTAATCCAGTTAACGATATTATTATTAACAGTTAAGATAATCATCATCATCGATTATAAAATTTTCATCGCAATTCTTTGGGTGGTAGTAGGTGTTAATTGTCATTCCAATGAGACCTTCAACTTTTTCCTTCTTGATAATTAATCATCTTCCATGTTATTGAATTAATCAGTAAACAATCAACAATTAGATCTAATTGTTTCTCTGTTTTTTCTTGCTTGATCACCTTTAAATCTCACATGTTTCTCCATTGATTCAAACCTGTAATTGAAATGAAAATAAGGTTAATCAAAGTATCGACTTTATAACAATCAAAGATCCGAATGAAAAAGTTCAAATTAGCTCAACAATTAAAATAAACAATATTCCTCTTCTCATCATTATGATTGTTAATGTTTATTATGCAAATGATCAACAATTGAAACGATAAAATTTACGCAAATTAATCAATAACAATTAGTGATTTTTTGATTGTTTTCACACTGATTTCAATCAAACCTATTTTCATGGTTCAACAATATTTTCCCATTAATCAAATTGCTCTGAAAAATAATATTCATTTACAACTTGAAACTGATTCACATATTGTTTAATAACAATGTTATTAATACATTAATCAAATTGTTAATCGGTTAATCATTGATAAATCAGGCAAATCAAATTAATCAAAAAAATATGATAATAACTTGATAATTGTGTATATATAAAATTAATTAATCATCAAATGATGAACACGAGAAAACCAATAGAAAAATAATCTTGTCAAATGTAATGGTTAACAATTTAATTTAAATCTGAGGCAAATTTTATGGTGATTGTATTTACAACAATCATCATGAAAACTAACAAACATGAAACATGATATATGTTATTATTATGATTACAGTGATTTTCTTGTGTCATCTTATCAAAATAATATCATCATGAAAAGTTTTGATATAAATTCAACTGATTTACCAGGAACAATAATGTTGATAGGGATTCAGAGCCTAAGGATGTGTTTACATAGGGAAAATTTTATGTATATAAACTCCTTTGAATATAAAGACAATTTATTTTGGGTGGTATTCAGAGGAGGGTATTCAAGAATATGGAAAAGTATATCAAATGCTTGACTGGGAATTTGTTTTTATTCTGATGAGAATCATGAAAATATATAAATAAGAACAATCAATGTCAGTTATTTATGTTTTTCACCATCGATTTCATTCAAAGTGGAAACATTTAGTAGCTTTTAACTGAATAGGAATGAAAATTTTCATTCAAAATCAATCAAATGAGATGAAATAATAACATGATGATTAAATTAACTTCATTTGATTTACATGAACATCAGTAAATTATTGAACAAGTTTCAATTTAATCTCTTGTTTACTGATCAGTAGGATTAATGTTTTCTTCCTCTTCAAGTTGATTAAGATTAAAGGGAAAGAAAATTAATCTCTTTCACTCCAATCAATAATCATAATGTGAATTAATGATTAATTAAGATTCGTTAAGGATAATCATTCTAATTACTGGGAGAATGAAAAAAAAACAAAATTAAACTTAACTTTCAGAGTTAATGGTTAGTATATGTTTGAAGTGGATGGAGAAGGTAAAAAATTAAGGATAAATTTTATGTGACACAATTAACTGTTAATTAAATTACATTTTCTCTCATTCATTAACTACTAAATTCAATTAATGACACTAAACAAATATATATAATGGTGATGATGGTTAATAATGATAACGGTGATGAAAAAAACTCTAAGCTATAGTTAATGTTACTCATTGATGCTAAATCATGAATTTCAAATTTGATTGCTACAGGTAATTTTTGCTCATTTCCAGTTCCTGTTTATTATTATTCTGGTTATCAACATTTAGCATCAATAAGATATTATTTCATAATTGATTTTATCATTAGACTCAGTTCACTGGACTCATCATGGTAACAACAATTTGTTTTTGTTGATATTTTCAGTTGTGATCATCTCATATTGATGACTGTTGATATCATCATTATCATCGTCATTGTATATTATTGATTTAGTTGTTTAATGATCTATTGTGATGGATTATTGGTTAGTTAAAGTTAATCATCAACTTACATTGGAATTTTAATCATGGTTATCAAAAGATGATGTTGAATAATATATTAATCAGGGCGAACATGAATCCATTTCTTTAACGTTATTAGTTAAATTAATCAAATGAATCGTTGATTACCATCAATCATAATCATCATTATAAATGGTAAACTATTCAATCCAACTACAGTCAGTTAATTGATCCCAATCAAATCATTTCGTCATCTATGGTAATACATGTACATCCAAGTTGATTGTAACAGTTAATTGTTCAACTATCAATATTGATCATCAAGAGATTCAAATATATTAACTTTAATCACCAGTATCAGTTGATTGTAACCAAGAAGCCAATTATTTCCGATTCCTCCACAATTCTGGCTCTTTAATTGTTGTTGTTTTTTCCTATGTAAATATTAAAAAAACATGTAAACATTTAATTAGATGATGAAGGTTAAATTGTTAAACAATCAACACGTTACAGCCAAACACACAAACTGTGTATTAACTGCAAGTAGTCACATAATTAAATTGATTGAGTAGAAAAGGGATGAAAAATTGTTGCCTATCAATTTGATTATACGTTTAGATTATCATTAACCAAGAAAACCTAAATCACATAATCAAATTGTAATCATGGGATAGATTAATAGTTATATGATGATAATAGAAAGGAAATTAACATACCCTTAAAGCTTAACCTTTCATTATGAGAATGAATTAATGTAAGAATCAGTGTGAAAATGTCTTAATCTAAAGATAAATTTTCATGTTAATTGACAATTAATCATGAAAACCCTTCAGGGCAAAAAGGAGTAGAGGTAAACAATAATCTCTTTTTTATATATGCTATTATTATTTCTCATTCTTCCGATAGAGGAAGCAGAAATTGTTCTCAACTGAGAACTGAGTTAGAATAGAAAAGATATCATAATAATATCAAAGTTTTTCTTTTACCTGATGGGCTCATATGAGACATTTAATTGTGAAACTTTAATTCCTTTCACCTTATTGGCAAGAAAACAATTCCAATTAATGATTGGTGAACATGATACCAATAGGTTGAGGTTAACCTGCAGAACGGAAAAGGAAAAGGTTATTAATAAGATTATTCAATCATTCGCCCTGGTTAATATACATGTAACTGTAATTGTAATTGTAATTGTAAGATTGTGATAATTTAGTGAGCATTAAGATTAGACTTGGATAAGGATAATAAATGGGATATGATGAGGATACAATTATCATTGATAATAATAAATTATTGGATTTAAACATAACAAGAGATCATCAGATGGAAAAGTATAAGTTACTCAATTGTTATATCTGATTAGTTGAATGTCTCAATGAATTTAGTATATTGAGTAAAAAACAAGGTTGATTATACGATATTTATATCATGTATTACATTTAAATACATTTATATATAAATATAATTCATATTTTTGTTGTTATTATTATTGCTGTTTCCATGATTATTATGTTATGATTATCAAGAGTGATTGGTCAGTTTGTATATCTTTCTCTCTGGTCAGTTATTTGAGTGATAACAAAAAGTTCTTAAGATGGAAGCTCTTAAATGGGAAATGACAAGAGGGAGAAATGGAAAGGTTGATCATTAAACCGGAAATCATTGATTCGATGGACACAATTGGTAAAAAGCTTTGAAAATGTGAAAGAATCAAGAGAAAAAGAAAGAAGATGAAGATTTAGAGATGAAGAGAAAGATGAAAAGAAGATGATAGAATAGGATAACATTTAGATGAAAGTGGATCAGACACTTCAACGACAGTGACGTTTCAGGATGGGCGAAAGATAGAAGTTGATGATTGCATACTTTAAAAGGATTTTGGATAATGTATGACAAAGAAGAGAGAGAGAAAAGATTATGAAGGAGAAGGTGGAAGAGGAAGTAAAAAAGCAGAAACGAAACATTAATGGCCTTCAAACATCAAACCATCCAAGGAGAAAACAAACAACATTGATACGAATGGTTCTCATATTTTCCAAGTTGGTCAACATTTCACTTTTGTTGTTATATTTTCGTCAAACCAAAAGACATTCATTCATATAATAAATAGTTGGTTCAAGTGGTTAGAGCAGCCTGAGAATTGGTAACATTAGACAGAACTTTACATGATTTCATCTTTTGTCAAATATTCCATAGATTTTGATAATTAATTTCTCTCTCTGTGTATAGTAGATGATCGCTTTTAAAACTTTTTCCTTGTTGATTCTATCGCACATCATGGTAACAGGAGCTCGTCTCTGATGACAATAATGAATTTTTACCTATACATTGAATTTCATCACGAATTCTGAAAAGAAAGAAGACAAAAGGATGAAATGAATGATAAGCTTTTTGACTTGAATGTTGAAAAAAGCGAAGAAAGTTTAGACTAAGTAATAGTTAGATTGAATCTGGTTACCTTGATACTTATTAAAGTAAATCTTGTATTTTAACAGGATAAATTACAAGGAATAATGAAAGATATGGAATTAGAATCCATAATCTCTTCAAGCATAAAGAAATAATCATGAGGTTATCTTTAAACGATCAATTAGAAAAAGGAAGGAAAATTCAAGGAATACAGGTAACAATGGAAACTGTTAACAAGGAGATGGAAAAAACATATAAAAACGTGAAGAAAAAGAAAAATTATCACAATCTTATTACAATTCTGGTGAAATATGTTGAGTAAAATTTGAAGAATTAGCAAATTATCTGGATAATTGGAACAAATCAACAGCTTTACTGTTATATCAGCGATAGAGAGTTAATAGGATGCTAAATGAACAACAGCAAGATACAGAAGATGAAGCAAATGAAGACTAGATAATAATTGTTACTTTGTCAAGCAAAATATTAATAAGCCTCTAGTAGCATATTTATAAGATTAAGGATGAAACCTTTTTCTCTTAGTGGATTGAGATAATTGAATTTGTAGCTAGTTAAGAGTTTGAATTTAAGGAGTAAATTTGATTCAATGACACCGGCAAGAATTCTGCTAGAAATTGGAGAGTAGTATTTGTATTCTTGGGTAGAGTTAACTGAATGTAAACAATAAAAGAGTTAAAATGAATGACCAATTGAATTTACAGAATAGTTACCACAAGGGAAGTAAAAGAATTGAAAGATAAAATTCTAAAAGAATAGAAAAAGGGATGAAAAGACGAGAGAGAGAGAGAGAGAGAGAGAGAGAGAGAGAGAGAGAGAGAGATGATGACGATGAAAACATTGCACACATCAGGATAATCTCATAGTCATACTATTGCTTTTACCTTGAGACTAAATTGATTTGCTTACCTTACATTTCCAATGAACCAGAACATTCATAGACTTTTCAATGGTACTTGACTCTCTCATCTTCCAATTAATTTCTTGTCTTGTATCACAATTACCAACTAAATTCTATTGCCTCATGATTTCTATGGTATGGATGATAAACTTCTAGCTGAGCAGCTCGTTAGCCCACCTTCTTTGCATTTACATCTTCTCTTTCTTTCTCTCTCTCTCTTTTAGTTTTTTTCTCTTTATCCATGAACATTACCATCGTCATCATGTCCTCTTGGTCCATCTCCTACCAACATATAACATCTGTTTACCTTCCTGTCCACCCTTCGAGTGTCTAAATATATTATTACAAGATTATTCCCAATTCCTTTGCTGAGTTTTATATATTTACCTCCATCGATACCATGTTAATTTAGTGTAACCAATTGTTGTTAAATTGTTGATTAGGTGTATTGACAGTGGAGACGATGTGATGGAAAGACTAAAAGATATCCCCAATAGAATTACCAAGTTAACTGTAAGTTATCACTCTTAGAATCCAAGTTATTAGGAATATTAGCTTAAGGAGGTAGAAAGTGGATGTAATATATAGAAAATAACAGGTAGATATAAAAAGAAACGATGAAATACAAACAGCAATCATATGGATGATTAGAAGATCACTAACAAGCTGATCAGTTATAAACAGCAACAAGTTCATCAGAGAAAACTGATCGTTAATATCATCGAATGTCTTTAACAAGTGATTCTTTTGGAAGAAATAATCTATGTGATAAAAAAGAGAAAAAAGAAAACCGAAAAAACTGGTTAACAGATAATATTAAAAGTGGATCAATAGTTACATCAATGAACCGCACAAATAAATGAGAAGTTAATCAATAGCTATAGAGAAAAATTAGAAAATAAATTGACAATAAAGAGAAGTGGAAAAGTGAATGGTTACCATTGGAGAGTAAAAGAAGGAAAAAATTATAACGATGAAATTGTAAAGAGATACAAGAGAAAATCCATTGATCAACAGCAAATTAGAATGTGATCAATTCGAGGAACAATTTGATTTGAAGAGAGACAGAGAATTGGTTACATTGAATCAATATCTCACTGGGACTGTGGAATCGGAATCCTGTTGTTAAAAAAAGAGAGAGAAAGTGAGAGAGTGAGAAAAAAAGAATCAGTGACATTTACCTTCGATTAAATGATTTAATTTTATGGTTCATTAGTTGATGAGAGAGAATTGAAACGTGACTTACCCAGAATGGAGATGAAAATTTGGAATTGTTATCATCACTATCTCTTCCTCTCTCTCTTAGTGAATAATAGACTCAGAGAGGAAAGAGATTAATCAATCAGTTGATGGCGAAGCGAGAGAGAAAATCTTTACCTCTAATTGGTCCAAACTAATCCTTCTTTTAATGAGATAAGCTAATTTAGGAAGAAAAGAGGAATCAAAATTAATAATTAACCTAATTGTTGGAAAAGAAAAAGATACAAGCAGAGATTTAATTTACTTTTACCTTAACATTAATCCAACAGCAAGAATAGTTTCAACCTTGGAGATATTTTTTTTTATATAATTTCTATTTCTAAATGATACTAACCAGAAAGAGTGAAAGAGTTGACTGAACAATGTTACAATTAAAGCAATTAGTAATTGATATTCTATTCAGTGCATTGAATAAAATAGCAACACCACAAAAGGGATGAAAATAGGCATCAGCATTCACAGAATTTTTCACAAGGCAAGAATTGAAACAAATCATCACATTGATTCAATACCAGTTTCTATGGAGATTGAGGTTAAAAGATGAGGGTAGAAAAGGTAAATCCAAAGGCTGAAGAACAAAAAAAATCACTTTTGATTCGTTTTAATTAACCAGGTAATGTAACTATGAGAGTAAATTACTTGAAGAATATAACAAAAGCCTCATGTGTATATCACCAACAATTAGAGGTATTTCCATCAACATCAATTAATAATGTTAATCTTTTTACTTTGGTTGGTTGGGTTATTGTTGTTTCTGTCAACTAATCCAAAGATGGCTTACCCTGGATAGAGAGAGAGAAAAAAAGAAAAGAGTGAAAAGAAACGAATCAGATTATATTCTTTCTCTAAACCATATTTATTCTGATTAGACAAATGACATTACCTTTGAGAGAGAGAGAGAAAAAGGGAGATGAGGTTAAGGTGAAAGGATAATGTTTCCTTTTTCCTAAATAACAGTAGTAGATGAACATTTTCGCCAGCAACACATAAATACATCATTACCTGTAGTAGTCAACGAATGAACCAGAACACAAAATGAAGATCTGATGATGATTATAAGGAGAGAAGAAAAAAAAGAGAAAAAGAAACGGATTTCATGTTAAGTAATTTCTTCGTCTGTTATTCCAACACCAGAGAGAAAACAATTTGAAAGGTGAACAATCAATAATTAACGAAAAATAGAAATAAAAAGAGAAACAATTTGTTGATTAAATTAAAAGAAGGAAAAATAATTACATTGGAGATTTGGAGAAGAGATTGAGGTTTTTTAAATTCTTTTCTAAAAAGCGAAAGAGAACAAAAAAACTCTTTCTTTTTTTCTCTCTCTCTTTTGGGGGAAAAAAAGAAAAATTTGATTAATCATTTTCTTCTTCTGACAAATCTAATTTAATTGTGGTTATTTTCTTTCGCCAATTTAACTTGTTAATTTAGTTGTTTTCTCTAATTGTGTCAACCTTAAGGTCATCAACAAATTAACTGTTTCTAAATCAACGAATTAATTGTGATCAGTTGATTGTTTCTCTCCCATAAGAAGAAGCCATTTTGTTTGCTTTTGACTTTTCCTTTCATTTTTGGCTTTTTTTTCAATTTGTGCATTTAATTGACTCATCATCACATCATTTTTATCATCATTTTGTCGTGTAAAGAGCAAAAATAAGCCTCATCATTTGATTTTCAAGAAGAAGAACCAAAGAAAAAAGGTAATGTTGAAGATTCCATTTCCATTGTCCTGTTAATAGAAGTGGTCATCTCTCTACAAGTATCTATCTTTCTCCATCTATATGTAATGTAATTCTTATTTTATCCTTTCCCTTTTTTTCTTTAATACTACTTATTCACCTCATCCCGAGACAATTTGATCCACTATTATCATCACCATCATCTGACTTGAAACAGTTTTACTTATACATACAAATAGCTAGTGAAAAGTACAGGTAAGAGAGATAGAAATTTAAAGATATATGGAATGAGAAAAAAATACACCGTGTTTCAACGGGTCCCCCCAACTTTTTTCGATGATAACTTTTGAACCACTCGAGATGTTGGAACAAAACTTCATTTTTAGCCTATTTAGTTCAAAGGAAATTAGTTGCAAATATTTTTAAATTTTGAAGTTCGACCAAAGTTACAGAGTGCCTAAGAAACACTGAAAACAGACAGATTTTGTTAGCAATGTAGTGATTTCAATAACTCTAAATTATGAGAAATTTGACCAACTATTTAGTATCATTTAGGTGCTGAGGGGTAATGAGCTGGCCCACAGCCGATTAAAAAAATTAAACCTCATCAAAATGACTTTTCAAGTTACAGACTGTAAAAATAAGCGACCTCGCAATTGAAGTTTTATCGATCCTCTGTAACTTGAAAAAAGAGTCCAAGATCTGAAAATATTCAAAACTAATTTCCTTTGAACCGTTTGAGCTAAATATGAGATTTGAATAAAATATCTTCACCCATTCAAAAGTTATTAGCAAATAAAGTTGGGGGGACCCGTTGAAACACGGTGTAGTTGTTTTACTATTCTATCTTATCGTATCTGTTAAATTCCCTTTCCCCAAGAATGGATAAAGACTATTAGTATTCTTTACTGGACATTCTAAACATGACACAACCATTCAATCAGTTCTGATGATCCCTCAGGGGATAAGAGTTACAATATATTTATAATAACATTCCAGGTAGTCCAGTGTTAACCTCATCTTTTCATATTATTTATATATAAATATACACTTTCTCTCCATGAAAGATATAATTTATCAACACTAATTCTACTGTCTCATCATGATTATTATTACCTTTTTCTCACTCTTGGTTACTTTTTTTCCTCTTTCATCTACAACCATTAACTTCCCAGTAATTAAAAGTTATAATACCAGTTCAGGATCCTGAATCCATCCAGAGTAAAAAAAAATGTTCCACAGGATAAAAAAAGACTCCATGATCGTAACTTTAATAATAATGATGATCTTATGATGGTGATGATTATAATGATTATGTTACCGATGTTTCTGGTGTATGGAAAAAAAAAGTGGAAAAATGTTGAAAATCCTTCGTTTCTTCAATCATTCATCCTCCTCATCTTCTTTCATTCCTGTTGATGTTTGAATTGTGTAATAATGATTATGGTGGTAAAGAAAATGGCTAACCAACGGTTCACATTAACATGGAAGTAAGATTGTCATGGAAATGTTATATTAACTCAAGTTTACCTTATATTTTACATCAACAACCAGAAAGGAACCTAGAAAAAAATGGCTTATACTTTTACTCCACTTTCAGTCTGTGTGAAATGTTGAAGTTTAAAGGTAAACCGAGAAGGAATAAATTGTCAACTCAAGGTAATAACATCATTTCCATGGGAATATTTTTGCTGACCACCAAGTCACCTGACCGAAATCACTCTGGGTTTTTTCCCTTCCAATTCATCTTTCCAGTTTCTGTTACTCGAGTTAACTGACCAAACAAATGACCAGGAGATATTGATGAAATGGTTGAAATATGATTCATATTTTATGGTGGAAATGATTTTCAATCAAATCTTCAAATTATCATGAGAAAAAAAAGAGAATCAGACAGAAACATTGATCCATATAATATGACAAATTTTCCGTCTATGATTCTGACCCAATTGATTGTAAATTATCATCCATACAAATATAATTGTGCACAGATAACTGATCATCATTATCTCATGACCATCATCATCATCATCATCATCATGGTTACACTGATCAATTGAACAAATGATGGAAAAATAATCAAAGCGTAAAAATGTATTATCATTGTGAAAATAATGATAATTCATAAATATTATTATCATTATGATAATATTTATCTTTTGTCTTACTCAATTTTGTCCTTGTGTAAACTGTGATTACAATCATTCCCCAGGTATTGACCATGAGACGATAATGAAAAGTTTTCTATTCCAAAATGATGATCATGATAATTGACCTAGAAAAAAAAAATTAATTTACTTTGGTTATAATTAGAAAATTGAATTGAGCGATATTTCTTAATGGTCAAGCCGATCGGTCAAGAAGGAGGTTGATTCAATTTGATAACATCTATTGTTACATCATCAAAATAATATACTTGTGGTCATCCAAGTCCATTGATTTATCATTATCACTTATTGAGTTCTTATCATCATCATCGTCAACCATTAATGATTAAAATTGTTTCACCATTTATTCAGCCCCGAAATACAATCATATTGATTGTGTTTAACTTTCCAACAATTTATCTAATCATTTTTTGTTTATTTCTAAAACAATTGACCAATCAATTGATTTCTCTAATCAAATTAACTCCTTTTCCAATGATAAAACAACACCAAAGTCAATGAGATACAACAATTAACTTAAAGGCTTCAGTTAACATTTACCTTTTAACATGATCATAAATGATGTGATTTACTCATCATTATAATTATGTATACACACAGACACAGAGTTTCATTAATTTAGTTAATTATTAGCCTGGAAAAAAAAGTAATTATCTTTTTTTTCAACTATTCTGTTTAAGGTCAAATTAATATCCAAATGTAATGTGAAACAATTACAATTAAATGTTATTCATCATCCTCATATTCACCGCCACCCACTCACTCACTTATACTCCCCTGAAAATTGATATTCATGACAAAATGAATATTTTGATTGTTCGTAATCATAATTTAATCATAGATTTGATTGCGACTCATTTTGAACACAATCAAATCCAATGAAAAGCAAAGTTACCAAGGTGATTCAAGTTATTATCGATAAAATTGATTAATAGATTTACTTTAATATTGTATCACATATTAATTAAAGTTGAACAATTAATTAGAAAGTCAAGTTGAATATAAAGCAACTTGATTAATTAAATTAAATTTTACTCAACAATCTAATTGCAACTGATTCTCAATAGTCAACTAATCAATTTGTTTAACTATATTAATAAATCTGTGTCATTATGATTTATTAACTATAGTAAATATTAATAATACTCATTATTATTAATGAAAGTGTAAAAACATTCAAGTTAAACTGGAGAGTTGATAATTAATCAATTCGAATACAGATATTGAAAAGTTAATTGTTTCAATCGATTCTGATATTAACTGTTAAGTTAATCAACTGTCATGAAAGAGTCAAAAATTATATTAAGATCGCTATTGATGATGAATAAACTGTCAACGATATCTCAACACCCCGGTGGGAGCGAGAGTGTGATGAAAGGGATTGGGAGTGAGAAGAAAGATGATGAAAAGAGAAGGTACTTACCTGAGATTCTCTCTCTCTCTCTCTCTGTCTCTCTCGCACTCAACGTTCTCTATATTTTTTTCATCATTTTCTTAGTTAGAAGATGATGAAAAAAAGGAAACTCAGAAAATCAATCAACTATTTTCAGGTAATTGCGTCTAAAGAGAAACTATTTAAAGCTTAACCTTCGGTTACTTGATGATTATTCCGATGATAAAACGAGTGAATCGTGATAATGTACAGAGAAAGAGATCCAATCGATGGAAGACAGAATTCATCAGAATAACAATAAGCTAATGATTCTGATAATTCTGATAAGAATCACAAGGAATCATGAAGAAAAGTAAAAAGTTTCTTTATATTTATCCAATTTTTTCTTCTTCAATCCCCTCAGAACTTTTTTCTTCTTAGTGAATTTATTATCTTTGTAACTTTACGACTGTAATTGTGTTTAGAACAATTTAATTTCAATTCTAATTGTGACAGAAAAGAAAAATTTTCATCAAAAATCAACATGAATTGATTTCGCTCTCAATGAAATTCATGGTGGGAGGATGAACAGGTATGGGTGGAGTTGGATAATAATTGAATTGATCAATAGATTAACGGTTTAACTTTTCAATTGAAACGATTACTATTCATTGATTATGATTAACTTTGATTTGGTTGTTGAAATTTGAAGCAGACAAAATTGTTAATATCAATTGAAAAATATCACTGACAATTGATTTAAATAATAAATCAATTAAATGTAAATTTTATTAACCGAGTAAATTGTTGTCAAAAGAAAACCATTTCAAAGTCTTAATCATGACGTTTCAATGATTAATCAATTCAATGAAATAGTGAAATTCAATCTAAATATCAAATTTTAATCTACTATTAGCTAATCAATGGTAAATGTGATAATTATTGCATCAGTTAAACTGATCAATTAACTGATTAGTTATCATGTTCTCATAACTATTTAATCAGTATGTTAATATTTCTGAGCATTTTATATTCAGAAATTTGACAAAGTAAATGTTGATAGTCAGAACATTTTCCTCTTGCTTTATCCAGAATTCTGAATCAATTCATATCATTGAATCACCATGAACACAACTAATATTTTAGATTGACATTATCATAAATATTCAAATGTAATTATTTTTTTTTCTTGCTCCAATTCGCCCTCAGGGGATTTTCATGTTACCATGCTATTCATTTTGTTTGAGAAGGAAGAGAAAAAAGGAAATCCAAATACATGTATAAACAGTTATTTCCAATGATTCAGAATTGATCATGATAGTGATCAGATGAATTCAATATTAATTATTTGATGTTCTCTGTTGAATTCTGGTTATCATGAAACGCAGAGTTTGAAAAAAAAAGTTTCAATAAAATTGAGAATGAAAAAGAAAAGTTTTTTCATTGAGAATTCAAATACATTCACCTGATACATGAAGAGAATCATGAAAATTTCATGATAAACTATCGTCCTGAATGAAAAAGTTACATTGATAATCAAAAGGTAATCATTAAAATTGAAACATTTTCATGATGTTTTATTAATCAGGTGTAAAAAAAAAGGTAAACAATTTATTTCAATTAGTTGATTGATAAAGTAACACAAATATTATTAATATAATTTCATGATAACCACACCCCATGATTCAGATTAAAGATTCAATTGAAACAGTTTCATAATCATAATTAAATGTGATAATAATTATGATAAAATCCATTGAATGAAATATGAACTCAGTATATTACATATGTACTTTTATCTGATATGATATTTCATGGGAAGAGGGTGAAAGTGTTACATCATCTTCTTAATCAAAGAATGATGATAATAATCACCTTAATATAAGAGAGAAGGTAAAGAAAAATATTCCATTAGTGTCAATCATGAATTGTTATTGAAAACAATCATGAAAAACATGATGGAAAATGATAATCATCTTCAGGTGAACATCATGAACTCTAACCCTGAAGATCAAGCCTAATCTTCATAGGATCATCTTTATCCTCATTCCCTTTTCATCAAGTTAATCAATAAGCCTTTTTTTAGATCAGGTTAATTGTTATTTTTAATTGTTTCCAATTCCGATTTATTATCTCATTGGAAACTTGAAGCTTTCCACTTATTCATTTCTCACTAATCCTGATCTAAGAACCAATAATATTTATGAATTAATTGAGGAAAATGTTTCGCCAAAATTAATTACTGTTTTAAACATTAGTAGATTAATTGTCGAGTTTTAATCGACAATTAACTAACAAACAATCAGAAACAAAGTGTAACATGTAATTATTATTGATCCAAATAAGTGTAATAACTTATGCAAATAATATTGTTAATCAAGTTTTATTTTGTCATCAAGTTTATTAACTAATTGTTTTCCTTAATTATTCATCAACAGGTTCTATTGGGATCTTTGTATGTTACTCTTATTAGTCGCTAATCTAATTGTCCTTCCAGTTGCAATATCTTTTTTTAATGATGATTTATCAACCCGTTGGATAGCATTTAATTGTCTATCAGATACAATCTTTATCCTGGACATTGTTGTTAATTTTAGAACAGGTAAGTTTACCTACAGAAAAGATTATCTTATTTGTTTTGATAATTCGATAAAAAATATTATTTATTTATTTATCTCTCTCTCTCTCTCTTTCTTCTTGAATTTTAGGCATCATGAATCCCGATTTACCTGAACAAGTGATATTAGATCCAAAGCAAATTGCTCGACAATATATTCGAAGTTGGTTTTTTCTCGATCTGATTAGTTCGATACCTTTAGATTATATCTTCCTTATATTTAATCAAGAATATAGTTTTCACCTTCTCCAAGCGGGAAGGGCACTTAGAATCTTTCGTTTCGCCAAAATGTTAAGCTTATTAAGGTTACTGCGACTGTCGAGATTGGTTCGATACGTTAGCCAGTGGGAGGAAGTATATGTAAGTATATGTCAATTTCCGTCGCCTATTAAACCCTCTCTTTCTCATTCTTTTAATTGTTACCTTCTAATTGTTTATCAGCTTCGTTGATTTATAATTATTATTATTATTATCGTTTTGATTTCTTCCACCCTACTCCCTCCCTCCCTCTCTCTTTCTCTCTCTCTCTCTATCATTCCCACCTCTTTATTTTATCAGTTTATCTATTGATTGCTAAGGTCCTACCATAGCTGAGATTACAAATTAGTTTTGATCGAATTTAATTTATGTTGATAATTTCCAAGAGATTTGGTTAACTTAAAGTTTGATTAGACATCCATTTGCATGGATTAACAAGTTGATTGTTGAGTGTTTATCAATTTTTATTCACTGGGAATTTATGTTTCGATAAATAAAAGATATTTTATTTTATTTTATGTTTAATAAGCTGTTAGTCTTTCAAGATCTTTGCTCTGAGTTCATGGTGTTGAAAGCTCTGAATGGATTCAGTGAGATTAATGATGATGGTGAAAAACAAGGGTCTCTCTCTCTCTCTCTCTCTCTCTCTCTCTCTCTCTCATGATGATTATGAGAAAAACATTTTGTAATAATTTGAAGGTGAAAAAGCAAATGATTCAATGTTATGTATTAATGAATTGCCTGGAAACAGTTTGAAATGAGAGCTGAACTTTTTTGAACTTTTTTCCTTTAGTTTCTAATATCATTATCTAACCCAACTCCCACATTCATTAACAGATTTACATGAAAAAAAACATAATTCATTATTCATGAGGATTCAGTTGTTAAGTTTATGAGTTTGAAGGGAGAGAAAACTATAGTTAAATTTGATTGCAATTAAATCACCTGGTGTGGTTTGTATTATATTAAAAATTAACTAAATGATTTACTAATGATTGAAGTTTATGACATGAGTATTGGTTTTTGAGTTTAATTGCTGGTAATCGATAAATTGATTGTTTATTGAATCAGTGAAAAGTTAAATCAATCAATTGAAAAGTTTTCCTTTTTGTTTTGTACTTGACAAGTTGAGACAATTTAATAACAATTGAAACTTTTAACTTGATTAAATCATATTCTGATCACGAATCAATCTAATTGAATACCAGTCAGAGCTAATTTGCTGATTGTAAATCAATCATATCGACAATTGAAAAATTGTGAATTTCGATCATGATCAATAAAGAAAAAACATAAAAAATAAAAACAAAGGTAAAGTTTCACATTTGAATTCTCGAACCATTTGATATTTTAATGATCAACAATTAACTTATTATTTTATCAAAGAAAACAAATTAAACAAAACCTTCCCTCCTACGATTGTAACAATTTATCATAATACGATAATAATAACTGTAAATAATGAATTGTTTTCGAAAAGAAAAACTTTCCCTTAGAACTTTTTTTCTCTCGATCGAAACAACCAACTCGATTCTTCCAGTTCCCAGCTTCAAGTTGTAATAAGTTTCGAGAATCATATTCATTTGCTCATCCACCTTATCATCCTCATCTCTCATCTTCTCCATCACCATCACCATCATCATCATTTCCAGAGTAAAATATTATTGTTAGAACTTGAAAAAGTCGAAAAGTGAAAAGTAAAAAGTTCGTAAATTAAGGGTAACAGATACTCAGAACTTTTTTTGTTTCCATGAAAAAAGAAAAACAAATTTCATTCCAACATTCACTTACTTTACCAAAACTCTATCCTGAAAGTTCAATATAATATACAGGTGAAAAAAGCTCATATATTACATGATATTTGAAGAAAAAGTTCTGATAAAAAACTCTATCAAAAAAAAAGTTATCTTTGAATTGGAACTTTTTTTCAATAAGAAACAACCTTTTACTTTAGATTAACCTTTCACCACCTTATCATCTGAATCTTTATCATGAACTTTGATCATTCATGGAAATCACATTTTACTTTTGTCATAAATTTATCGACAAAGAATAAGTTGATTTAATCAGAATTTTATTTATAAATATATTTTAATCTTAGAACTTTTTTCTTCCTTTCGAACAAGATAAAAAAAGGAAATTCGATTTTTAGATCATTTTAGATTTGATTATTCAGCGATTCTCTTGATTCATCTCATGATAATAATACAAAGTTAATAATCTATTGACTTTCATGTGACTTTTATTGAACTTTATTCAGATATTCAGATAATTAGCCGATTACTTAGCTTTTAATTAAGGTTTTCGCTTTCTCGTCAAGTTTGTATCATTATGTTTACGATATAATTGTTGATTCAGTTAATCATCAGGGGAATTGGAAACAAAGTGTCAACATCCAAGTCTAAGATTAACCTTTAAACTTTGATGGTGAGAAAAGATGATGGATCCATTTTGTTTCATTCGATATCAATTCAGTAATCGTGATCATGATCGGTGATTATTATCATGGTTTATCCTTCCAACCTTAACTATTTTTTTTCTTCTGGTCAATTGTTTCCCAATTCTCTGGATGATTACATGATAGGGAGAATCTCTCTCATGATGATAACTTTGAATTCATCAATCATGAGTAGAGAAAATGAGAATGACAGATAATAATAAACACGATAATTTAGAAATTGTAATGAGCATTCATTGGACTTGGAATTATTATTTTTAATATTATTAGTTAATTACTTTCAATTGATTAACTATCAACAAATGTAATCTCATGAAAATTTCAGATGAATCTGAAAGGTTATTCAGCTCATTTATCATGAGATAAAAATAACTATCAACAGATACACAGCATTTTTCATCCAGAAATTCAACTGAATCACTGAATCCATGTGAACGGAAAAAAAGATGAAATTTTCTGATGTTTTCATTTTCTGAGAAAAAAATTTCTCATGAATTTTCAGACAGACTTATTATAGTGATAATAGTTACCATGAAAACTGTTGTATATCATGTTGCTATATACTTTTTACTCAATTCCAATTCAGTTAATACACCTTGTTCAGAGTCATGATGATGATGATGATGGTGAAGGTAATAAAAAATATCCTGAAAGTAATGTCAATAATGATAATAAAAATATCATTTTTTGTTTGTTTGATAAATCTTAATGATAACATGATGAATACTCAGTGATTCATAATATCCTGAATTTTGTTGTTCTCATGAATGGTTATCATGAAAATATTACATGGATTTGCTTTCATTCCTGTTTTATATCACGATGATGATTCTGATGTCCATGGGAAGGGGGGAGAGGAAATGATGATGATGATGTTATAATCATAACTGTAATTTATGATTACCTGTAATCATCATGATGTTAGAGTAGATTTTCATTATCAGAATTTTTTTTTCTTCTCAAAATTGTCAAAAGTTATGAAATTTTCTGCTGTTATTTATTGATCTTTAAGATGTTATTCCGTGGGCAGAATGATGATAACTTGGTGATAATTATTATGAATTGTTGCTCAGTTTGAGATGAGCCATCTCGATTCTGGAACTTGAATTCTGAGTCTCTGAATGGAAATTTTTTCCATGTCGGAATTTTTTCTTATATAATTTCAATTGATCCAATCAAACATTTCATGGTGATGATACTTTTTACCATGAGTTTTGAGTCTAATTCGCATCAGGGGGAGTCTAACAATCAGCAGGTTAGTTGATGAAATTCATCATGGAAAAGGACTTGCTCATGATGATCGTTACTTGGGCCACTCACGATAATTTGATTCTCACAATTTGTCACGAATGGGAATGAACTTTTTTCTTGATAAAAATTTTCTCTCTTCTTTTTTTATTCCAATTCAATATTTCACCTCCATGAAATTTCATCAACTTTTCAGTCTTGTGCAAATGTGATCAATTCCATATTCTAAACGATAAAATGTCCATAGGTTATTCAAATTGTCTCAATTTCCTTATTAATTGTTACCTAATCATATTAACTGGACAGACTAAAGAGAAGAAGGAAAAAAAGAAATTGAATTGGAAAAAAATATTGTTCCTCTTTGGAATCAACTTTTCTCTGTCCATTTCCGTTTCCTCAGAACTTTCTATCTAATTCCAATCATTGTTGTTGTGATAAAAGGTCATTGGGCTATTAGAAAGATAATTAAATGAATTATAATTCATTGAAAGTATACTTTCAATGTGAATTCATGATGTAAACTTATTATCGTTGAATTGTCATTGAAATAACTTTACCTTTCTCATTAATGGTGATGATTTTTTGTTGATGAGAAAAAACCACCTTCAAATGATAACAATAATTGTTATGTGAACAATTTATATCATCGTTTCCATGATTTACTCAGAATCATCATCATCATTTAACCAGGACAACGACAGGGAACAAAAAAGTTATCCTTTATTTTGAAATGATTTATAAAATTGATGAAGTTGAATTGATTGTAATGATGATAACAAAACTTGTGATAACAATTTATCATGACACAGATTCACAAGAACATCATGAAAACTTGAAAATCACCTACAACAACAACAACACAATCATCATCATCATCGAGTGATAATAATGTCCAGGTAGTAAAATAGCCTGTGGGTGAAAAAAGTAATAGAAGAAAAAAAGAAAAAAAATTCGAAAATTTCAACTTCTAACTGAATAGTTTCTCCTTGATAGTTTATCATTTATTGTACCTTTTCGTATCTTCCTATTATTATTTTTTTGTCTTCATCATGTTCATCACCATGTTCATCATCATCATGACCATTATCATCATCATCATCATGTTCATTTTTCATTCTATTCACAATCTCAACTTAAAAGAGCAAAATTTCAAACATTTTGTCAAAAGAAAATGATAATTTCAGTTAATCCATTTGAAAGTTATTCTTGAGATTTACACTTGTAATCAGTTGATTGTTACGTTTACAGATTGTTGTTTAATTGTTGTAGTAATTGGTTGAGTTGGTTGAGTTGGTTGATTGTCTTATTGGTGACAATTAATTGATTGATTAACTTGGTTATGTTTTTAATTACTCACATAAACCACACCCTTAGTTTTTGCACACTTGCGATTCACCTGCTTGTTAATTGCTACTTAATTGTTACCTAATTGTCTTGATATTCTGATTGTTGTATACGAAAAACACTAAACTACTCTTTAATTAATCACAATTTAAATTTGCATGTTAATTCAAGTACCTTTGACTTTCATTAATCAACCTTTAATCTTAAATCACTTTTGATTAACATTGAAATTAATTATTATTCATTGGATTGTTTTTCCTAAACTTTAATTCATGTTTAAAGTTGACAATTTATTTTAATTTGATTTGTTTTTCCTGTTTGTTTGTAAATTAAATGTAACAATTACATTAATTTTTCTGTACCATAAATTTGCATTTAATTATCCACAATCAATTAATTTCCTCTTTTTAATTATCCTCCAATGCGTATTGTGATCCTTGTTAATTGTGTATCTGTTTCAATTTGTCATCTCTTAAATGTTGATTGTTATTATTATCTAATTGTTATTGTCAACAAAAAACATATTTAGTTGTTTAATCATCATTTATAATTACCTTGAAATCCTTAAATCAATTGAAATTTGTTAATTGTTTCAACAAATTGACCAATGACCCTAAAAGATAATAATAACATTGATTGTTAACTATATTCTGATTAATTGATTGTTCATGTTGATTAGTTAATTGATCATTAATATTTGTGTGTCCTACAAAATGGTAAATAGCTTTTTCTGTCCTAGTGATTAGTTAATTGTTAGAATGATGAAACGGCCAAATTGAACCCAATCGTTATCAAGGTTTTACAATACGCATATTAGATTAAAATGATAATAATAATAATAATTACATCTAAATCACAATTAGAAATTAATTGTGATGAAAAGAAAAACTTTTCCTAAATTATTTTCGATGAAAATTAAAACGAAAAATATTCCAATATTGTTTCAATCGAATTCAATTCTCAGAATTTTCTTTCTTTCTTTTCCTATTGCTTTTATCTTTTATCTCTTCTTGGATTTGATTTGGCCAATATCGTTAATCTGTTAATTGTTAATTGTCATCAATTGAATATTAATTATTAATCGTAATCAATTCCTGTGGTCAGATGCAAAGTTTGGCCTCAATGAGGGTCACCAGTGGTATTTTCGCTTATATTAATCGCCTATGTGGTGATTCCGACATTCACAAGGTACTCACACAATTAATTAATCTGTAATTAAAAGAAAAACAAAGAGCACAATTAATAAAATTAGCATGAAATTAACAGCTTATTAACAAACTGATAGCAATTTGCTTGTTACATCAACATTGTATTTGATTTTTGTGTTAATTGTTGCATGTTGATCATTTGATTTTGTTTGAAATTGTCTGTTGATTTATTAATAGTTATTAAGATTTGGTCTGTGAATCTGAATGAAAAACACCAATGTATGAGAGTGTTGAAGACAATTAATCACAATCACTAATTGTTGTTGGTATAAATTTACCTATCCTTGATTCCTTGATTACATTTGCTTCAACCAGTAATGATGATTAGTAATTATCAGTTTAATCTTAATTATCTGACATCATCTTTATCATGATTAACCTTTTTCATACAATAAATCATCAAACTCAAAGATCCAATAGCTTTTTATCAACCTGATCAACTGTTCAGTTGATTAGTTGATTAGTTAGATTTGCTTTTGTTTATAGCATAACAATTAACTTAACCAAATTATTAACAATTAATACCATCACCAAATAACCAAATTCTAAATGTATTCTTACCTTTACAAACTGTTCCAACTCTTGATTCTCTTTTTTTGTGATCAATCTTAATTCAAGTGATTCGTCACCAAAGAGGTAGACACAATACTCTCAATTTCATGGTAATATTGAATCTCAATCTCCTCCACCTACACTCCTTTCATCTTCGTCATCATCATGATATTAGTAAAGAAAATACCATAATCTGAGTGTATCTGGAATAGGAAAAAAAAACAGATAATCAGATTGTCAGAATTTCCAACTCAAGTACTGTTGACATATTATAATCTCTGGAAACGAATCACTTGAAATAATATCACCATCAAGTAGAATCATCATCAGGCTGCTTATGTTTAAACACATATTCCATCCATATATTTAATGACAATGTTTTCTATCCCCAAATATCCGTATGAATATTGATTGTCAAAGAAGAGAAATTAATAAATAAATAATTTCTAATTAAACATTAACCTTAACGAAAAGAGAAAACAAAAACAAAATCAAAATCTCACCTTTGAACATCCGAAAATCCAAAATCCAATCAACATCCAAATCTCTGGTCATTTACTTTTCATCTCTAACCCAAATAATCACTAACAATTAACTAACAATTAATAGAATCAATTAGAAAACAAGAGAATTGGAATAATAAAAAACAATTTTTTTTTCTTTTCTCTGGTTGCTAAGCAAAAACAGAGAAAAAAAGAGCGGGCTTTCCATCAGCTGTTTTCTTTTTTAATTTTCTCTTTTTGTCTCTTTTTGTCTCTTTTTTGTTTTTCTTTTTTGATTGTTGATCTGTTGGTTTTTTTTTGTCTTTCTATTAAAATGATTACTAATCATAATTATCGTTTATTCTTGGTGACAGTTCCTCAACATGGCAAGTGTCTTTATGAAGATATTCAATCTCATTTGTATGATGTTATTGATTGGCCATTGGAGTGGTTGTCTTCAATTTCTGGTCCCAATGCTTCAAGGTTTCCCATCTAATTCATGGGTGGCAATCAATGAATTAAAGGTAATTACAATTAAATCTCAATTCTTTTAGTAGTTGCCCTTAATCCTTTCCGTTTAGCCGACAAATTGTTACTCTATCAAATGTTGGATATTATTACAAAGATTGTTGCACTTTTTTTATTCGTAAGGCTTAACTGTAAATGTATTTTGGTTTTGTAGGTTTTATTAGTATCACTGATTATTGTGTGTCTAATTTGGTGATTTATTTTGATTACTTCAAATTGATATATTTATTTGGTTGGATTATTCAAAGCGTAACAAAAAGGTGAACTGAGAGAGAGAGAGAGAGTGAGAAAAATAAGTCAACAGTGATAAATATTAATATTACCCAACAATCAGTGTGTTGGTTTTGTATTGATTTTTATGCTATTACAATATTTACATGAAGAGAAATTGAAGAAAGAGAAGATTTTATCTTTCTTTTTCTTTCTTCATGGTAATTTTGGTGAAAATGAGAGTAAACTTGAAGATTTTGTCAGCATTTGAATATAAAAGATATGAAATGAAAAGAGATCATGATTATCCAATGAAGAGGTTACTTTAACGATCTCTTTAATCGTAATATTTATTGATATAAATGATGAATTCCAAGAGAGAGAGAGAGAGAGAGAGAGAGAGATAGTAATCAAATTGCTGAGAATTGAGTAGTAATGTAAATTTGAATAGAAAATGCGATTTAATGTAAATTCTCAATCTATTTACCATAATATTTCCTGTGGAAATGTTATCACAATTAAAATATTCTTCGAGTTTTCAAAATGATAGTAAACTAATTGATTCGTTTTTTATTTCATTCCCTTATTCAGGATGTTTGGTGGATGGAACAATATTCATGGTCACTTTTCAAAGCGATGTCTCATATGCTATGTATTGGTTATGGTCGTTTTCCACCGCAAAGTTTAACCGATATGTGGTTAACACTGTTAAGTATGATTAGTGGTGCTACTTGTTATGCTCTGTTCCTTGGACACACAACCAATTTAATACAATCATTAGATTCTTCGAGGCGACAATATCGTGAAAAGGTGAGTCTCGATTAGCGAAGATACGATCTGATTTTAATTGGAACATTTTCTTCTATCAATTTATCTTCCTTTTTGTTTCAGTTAAAACAAGTTGAAGAGTATATGGCCTATCGGAAACTTCCGCGTGACCTGAGAGCACGAATCTGTGACTATTTTGAGCATCGGTATCAGGGTAAATTTTTCGATGAAGATGCAATCTTAGATGAACTTTCAGAGAAACTGAGAGAGGTAAGAATATACAAAATAATAATACCAACAATCGTAATTGTTTCCATTTTCGGCATCATCATTTGTTCACTTTTCTATTCTTAGGATGTAATTAATTATAACTGCCGGTCATTAGTGGCCTCTGTACCATTTTTTGCCAAAGCTGATATTGATTTTGTGAACGCTGTTGTTACCAAATTGAAATATGAAGTCTTCCAGCCTGGAGATATAATAATTAAAGAGGGAACCATTGGGAATAAAATGTATTTCATTCAGGAAGGAATCGTTGATATTGTCATGTTCAACGGTGAAGTTGCTACCAGTCTATCTGATGGTTCATATTTTGGCGGTTAGTCGATTCTGAAAATTGATAAAATAACAAATCGAATGAGCAAATTGATCATTTTATTGATAATATTTTTCATCTTTTCTTTTCTTTTTAACCAGAGATCTGTTTGTTAACCAATGCCCGACGAACGGCTTCAGTTAGAGCGGAAACTTATTGCAATCTATTTTCATTATCGGTTGAACATTTTAACGCGGTTCTTGACCAATATCCCGTTATGAGACGAACAATGGAATCAATTGCTGCCGAAAGATTGAACAAAATTGGTAAAAATCCTTCATTGGTCAGTCAACGGGAAGATTTACAAACTGACCTAAAAGCGGTCAACGAATTGATCACCTTATCAACAATGTCAGCTCAAAGTCTTGATGAAGACTCAGATTCGGATAAAAATTTAATGTTAACAATTAAAAAAGCCTTACCTAGACCCAAATCTGAAACATGTTTCAAATTAGGACCAGTTTATAATAACAATACCACTGATCCATCAAACAACAACACCAACACACCAGCAACAACTTCAACACAAGAAAATAATAATACTTACAACACAAGCAATACTTATGATGGTAATAATAGTAACAATCGATCACCACCTCATGATCGACCACGAACTCATTCAACATTTGGTTTAAAACCATAGAAAATCAAGAGAAACAAAAATACAACAATTAACAAATCACTAAACGCTAATACATATAATCAACTTTTCTTAATTAAAACGATAATAAAAACAAACTTAAACATTAAATTGTTTCTTCACACTTGATCAATTCTTTGTAATCGATTGAGAAAGTTTAAATTACGATCAAACTTAGAGCTAAATTGTGAGACAATATATAATAACAATCAGTGGATTTTCAATTGATTAGAAATCATTAATTAACTAACAATGTTATTCGGAATCAAATCTTAATTATATTGATCAACCAAAAGAAACTCTTTGCCATTTTTTGGATAAAATCAGCCGAATACAGTCAATCAATGGTAATTTAGTTCGATTATCAATTAAAGATAAACCTCTAGCTTATATTAATATAATTTTTAGTTCTTGTTCAATTCTTGTTCCAGATTAATTGATTGAAACAATTAAAATTTCGAACTTTTTTTCTGAGGTAAAAATCAAGAAAGAAAATTAAATTAGCTTGCTAACTTTGATTTTCACAATTAGAATTGAAGAAAAGTGTCTGTTGAACAATTTATTCTAGTTGTTGTTGAAAGAATCACTTTAATTGTGCAAAAAATTAGAAATTTAATTAATTGAATCAGATGATTTTCTTTGTTGGATTCGAAAATCGCGCCAAAAATTAAAATTCTATTCTTATTGGTTTATGTTGTTTGGGATTTAGAGTCTTCGGTTTTCACCTTATGAGAATCACCATCACTTTAAATTGTTTAATTAGCAAATTATTCACTTGTGACAGTTAAATTTGTTTTAATTTTCTAATTAATCAACTTGATTAAATTGATTGTCAAAGGTGAGTAACAACAATCTATGTTTACTTTTAAATTAATCGAGTTTAAATATATTTGTGGCCAACGCCCAAGTATAAATGTAATTTTTTCTTCCTCGATAATCAAAGTGTTTACTTATTTTTTAATTTCTTTTTCTTTTCTTAATTTGGAATTTTTCAATCTTCTTTTTTCTTTTTTTATTTAATTATAGATTTGATTGGATTATATTATTTTTTTTTCTTTGTTCTTTGTTGTTAAAAGATTTTGGATCATCGTTGAGAGAAGGGTGAAAGATGTCGGTTGATCCAATTGAAGTTAATCAAGATGAGGCCATCATTGCCCAGCAAAGGCAGATTGAAAAAGAAATCGCTGACAGTATTAAGCTTGTTGGTGATAGAATGGATTTATCATTTTTATTGAGTGAATATCCTGATGAAGATGATCTTATCAGAAATAAAATAAAGGTAAGTTTAGTATTCCTTTTGTTTATATTAACATGTTATTCTTTATTATTTAATAATCTTCTCGTGACATCTTTTTGTATAGTCTTTGGTGAAAAAATATCATCTCCTACGGAGGACAAGACCTGATGGAAATTGTTTCTTCCGTGGATTTACTTACGCATACTTTGAATACCTAATAACCGATGAACAAGAATTGGATAGGTTCATTGGTGTTTCCAACAAAAGTAAAGATGATTTAATTGCTTTAGGTTTTCCCTCTTTTACCATTGAAGATATTAATGAAAACGTAAGCTTATCCTTATGATAATACTATTCAACATTTTCTATATATAAATGATTGTCTCTAATTTGTGTGTTTCAATTGTCATTACAGTTTATGCATGCCTTAAACCTACTGAAAACCAAGGAGGTGTCAAATGAACAACAATTGCTTAACCTTTTCAATGAACAAGGTACATCTGATTATTTGGTTGTTTTCATGCGACTCTTAACATCCGGATATTTACAAATGAACCAAGAGTTTTATTCTAGTTTCCTTGATAGTGGATTAACAATGAAAAATTTTTGCTCCCATGAGGTCGAACCATTAAATAAGGAAAGTGATCATATTCACATTATCGCATTAACTTCAGCTATTGGAGTTGGTGTGTGTATTAATTACCTGGACCGTGCTCAAGGTGACCAAGTAACTGTTCATTATTTTCCAGATAATTGTGATCCAAAAATTCATCTTCTTTATCGTCCCGGTCATTATGATATACTCTACCTACGGACAGAGAAAGTTCAATGAGATTAAAACTCAATTAAACAAAGCAAAACAAACAGTCAACAAAAAGGTAGAGGTTACGGTGAACAAGAAATAATATCCATTTTCAAGGGACGGAAAGAAATTTAATGAAAACAAAGAGAAACAAAACAAAAATCTAATTACTAAATCAAATATTAAGCTATTCAGTGTGATCCAATCACCTCTGAAAATCAATCACTGATCAACGAGAAGGAGACAAATCAAAAAATCAATTTTTCATATCACTCTCTTTTCTCAAACTAATTTGTCCAATAGCTTTAATGATTTGAATAAAGTTGCAATGTTTGCAATCTTAATCAGTGTTTCCATTAAAATTTACCGTGCTGGTTAATTCAAACGTGACAATTTATTGATCATGATTGAATGTTTGTAATATAATGTACATTATGGGCTGAAAGGAAATTTAAAAATAAGCCAATTGGATTACATTTATGATTGATTTTTTTTCAATTTCTATGAATCTGAAAATGGTTTTTAGTGATGAAAAAAAGATGAACATTTATAAAAAAAAGAGTAATTGATGCAATGATAATTGTATGGATTTAATTGATTATCGTTAATCAATGATGATTGTTCAACGATCTCCCTTAGCGAAACGAGTAACTGTTGAGCAGCCGTCGATGAATTTTGTCCTGAACAAAACGTTAGCGTTATTGAACATATCATCTTTCAACGAAACAATAATAAACTATTTAGAGAGAAAGAGAAAAGAGAAATTTATCAATTAACTGATTAGATTGATTGTTTAATCATTTATATTTACTAAATTACCTGAGAATTGGTGAAGTGTTTCTTGATCATAGTTCCAATATTCGTGGTGTGACTTTGATCTAAAGCGGCATCAACTTCATCGAGAATATAAATCGGAGCGGGATTGTACAAGAGAAGAGCGAGAATAAGAGACAGAGCAACAAGTGACCTTTGTCCACCACTTAGTTCGGTGAGCGATTCCTTCCAAACATCACCGAATGAAACCTTAACCTCAAGACCTTCCATGATGGTTTTACCCTCCGGCGGCATGAGCTTCGCATTGGCACCAGGTAGAAGGGTGGAAAATATGTTACCAAAGTCAACGTTGATCTTTTCCCAAGCATCTTGAAGAGCGTCTTTCTTTTTTATCAACATCTTCCATGTAACCAAGAAGCTTTTTCTTATCGTTCTCGATGATTTGTCTCTTCTTGTTCAACTCTTCCGCTTCCTTTTCCTTGTCACCCAACATTACATTGGCTCTCATGTTGACCGTTTTCGACAATTTATTCTTATCATCCATCAATCTTTTAATTCGATCATCAAGTTCAACTGGATTGAAATCGGCTCTTTTGAATCCATAGCCAGCCGATTCCTCTCCAAACAAATGCTTCTCCTCTTCAATCCATGGAAATTTCTTAATCAGCTGTTGATCCCTTTACCTGCATCTTTACCTTCACTTTCAATTTGTGTGATTTCATGTTGATACTTTTTGATTGACAATTTCATCTCTTCACCTTCACGGATTAAATTTTCCTTCTGCTTGTTTAGTTTAGCAATTTCTGAACTGTGCTCGTTGATTAGACGTTTCAATTTTTTCATCTCCTCTTGAACATTTGACACTTTTTCTTTTGCCTCTTCGACGGCTTTACCCGCTTCATCCACTTCTTCTTGGTGTTTTTCTATTCGTCCATCAACCTCAGCTAATTGTGACGTGTAATTATCAAGTGATTTCTTTAATTCATCAATCTCCATTTTAAGAAATGAAACTGATTGTTCTCTCTCCGATGCTGCTTTCTTTGATTTCTCGAAATTTTTCTTCGCATTTTCCAGTGCTTTCTCTGCCTCGGCCAACTCTTTCTCTCGAATCGAAGCCGTATTTTTCATCTTATGCTCCAATTCTTTCACCTTCTTTTCAGCGGCTTTCTTTCTTTCGACCATCTCTTGTAACGATGTTTCATTCTCGATGATTGTTGACTTTAAATTTTCAATCTCTTCCAATAGAAGATGTTGATTAGTTGTCTTTAAACGTTCTCGAAGTAATTCAATCTCGTGGTACCTTAAATCGTATTGTTGCTTTAATTGGGTAAATTGTTGCCTCGAATTGTGCATAGAATCAAGTTTATTTTCAATCTCCATGAGTCGCGATTTAACTTTACCAAAGTTCGATCTTTTTTTCATCAATTGGTCAACAGCTGAAAGAGCAGCACCTTTACCACCGATAGCACCTCCAGTAAGAGTACCTGATGGATCGAAAACTTCACCATCCAAGGTGACAGTTCGAAGTTGAACATTCTTTGCAAAGGTAACCTTTTTGGCACATTCCATGTTGGGACAGATAAGTGTATCCCCGAAAACATATTTCATCGCTTCCGTTAAAGATGGATCAAATTCAATTAAATCTAATGCCGGGAAAACGTTGTCTCTACCAACGATTGATTGAGCGTTTTTCAATGCTCGAGGGTCAACATCACGACCACGAATCTTATCCAAAGGTAAAAGTGTACATCGTTTCTCGGGGCGACCTTTTTCCAAGATAAGTTTAGCTGTTTCTTCATCGGAAACAATTATATTATACAATCTTCCACCAGCGGCAACTTCCAGTGCAGTATAATTGCGAGGATCTTTAACTTTGAACAATGTACAAACGGCTCCTTTTACTCTGCGTGAATCAAAATCAGCAGTTGGTTTACGATAATTAAAGGAAATTTGTGGTAATTTGTTTTCCAATGAGTTCACATCATATCGTAATTGATCATATTCTTTTCGTAAGGTTTCACGTTCTGTCAACATACTTTCACTTGACACCTCATCGAATCCAATTGAATCGAGTTCATGTTTTAACTTTGACACTTCACTTTCCATCCGTTCAACTAATTTAAGGTCATTATCGTAGCTTCCCTTTTTCTTTGAGGCTTCACTTTCCTTTTTAACCAACTCTGATTTACAATGTTGAACTTTCATCTTGGATTTAGCGGTTTCTGTGTCCAAATTGGCAATCTCACGTTTTGATTGCATCAGTTGATCGGCAAGAGTGGCCGCTGCTTCACCATCATCACCACGACTTGCACCAGAAGCGATAACCTCCAAATCTTTTGAAGCCTTTTCCAGTTCAGCTTCATCTTGTCTTCGAGCCTCCTCAAATTGACTAAACGCTTGATTCAACTTTTCAAATTCTTTCTCTTTAACTGATTTCACCTTTGATTCTTCCTTAATTTGTTTAACTAAATTACTTTTCGTTTTTAAAACTTCATTGAGATTATCTTTCTTTAAATTCATTTCACTTAAAACTTTGGTTTCCTCCATTTGTACTTCTTTCAATTGGTCTTCCAAAGCAGCGAGTTTAGGTCGGAAAACTGAATCTTTTTGACTTTGCTTAATTTGCTCTTGGATTTGGTCAACTGAATCGTTGATTGATTCAATCTTTTCCTCTGCTTCCGTGATTTTATTTTGCTGATCTTTAATTCTGGCATCCGTTTGTTGCGAAAGGCTAACCAAGTTAGTAAAAGTCCAAGCAGTATGAATCTTTTTCAAGTTTTCCAAATCAATACAAACTTTCTGATAAGCTAGAAGACTTGACTGTTCCTTTGTTAATTGTTCCAATTTGGTTAAAATGGTTTCATTAATCAGAATATCAATACTATTTAAGGCCAAGTCTTTTTTAACTAAAGTTGATTGTGTTGTCTTCTTTTTAGACTCATATAAACTTAAACCAGTCGCTTCTTCAACCATAGATAAAATCTAACCAAGAAAGAGAACAAACCAAATTAATCCAGAGTAATAGATGATTAAAGAAGTAAAACTAAAAGTAACAAAATATTGATAGAAAATGAGAACTTACTTCATTAGGTTTCATATTAAGAACCTTAGTAATTCTTCCTTGCATAATTAGAAAATGAGGATTACTAATATTTAATGAGACACTTTGAAACAAATCTAAGACTTGATTGTTTTGCGCAGTAAAACCATTAATAAAGTATCTTGTTCGGTTTTCCATCGTAACCTGAGAATGAACAATTAGATAGAAAGAAAAACAATTAGCAAGATGATCTTTAAAGAACAAGAAAACAAAAACAAAAAGAAAAGAGAATTTACTTTTTTTTCTTCTTTTCTCTTTTACTTACCTCGCGTCTAATTGTGACTTCATCGTAATTTTCATAACCGGGTGGAGATTGTCTCTTGTTTGAATTGTTAAATGTTATTGAAACCGATGCTTTGGTTAGTCCAGTTTGTCCATTTTTATAAATTAACTCACGAAGATGAGAGACCCGAGCAAGACTTGCATTGGCCAGGCCAAGGACGAAACAAATGGAATCCAAAAGATTAGATTTACCCGATCCATTCAATCCGGTGATCGCATTGAAAGATTGGTCTAAACCGTTGATCTCTGTTCGTTTACCATAAGTTTTAAATCCATCGATGGTTATACTTTTAATGTACATTATTGTTGACAATTAAACAAAACGTTCATTAGGGAATTTAGATAAAACAATTGATTAGATTAAGATGACATTTGAATGGAAACACAAAAAAAAACGGTCTCCAGCTGATCGGCTGAGGCGGGAAACCGAAAAAAGAAAAACAAGTAACTCCATCTATCGAATTGGAAAATAGTCGAAATAATTTTTAGAAAAAAAATTTAATCGAATTGATTGTTTCAATTAATTTTCTTATATCATCTTGATTTAAATTGTTTTCTTTTGTCAAATGGTTTAATCTTTAAATGATTAATATTCTAATCAAGTTTAATTATCCTTATTGTTGGTTTTTCTTTTTCTTTGAAAATTTGCTTTGGTTTTGTTTGATGACGAATCCAATCTTAGTTGATTAACTAATTTGACTCTTTAACATTATTGTTTCATTAATTTAGTTAATTAATAATTGATTGTTTCAGGTTTTTTTGCTGTATTTCGTTAAGTGATTCCCGAAGGTATAATTATGATGATTATACTTTCTGGTGGTAGTTTAGTGATGAAATTTTTCACAATCGCTTTCATTTTATTTTGGTCATCATGTTCCTGTCAAATTTTAAACAATTTACCAGTTGATTGTGAAAAATTTGGTAATTGTGATAACAAATTAGATAATGATTATATTAATGAAAAACTTATAGAATTTAAATCACAATCATTATTGGATAATGTTGACCAAGAATCGGAAAATCTATCATACAATTGTATTGATGGAAATTGTTTGACTAATGATAAGGAGAGTCCCGATAATAAAAAGGACAATGGAAAATTATTTAAATCATTGTCTAAATTACAGGGAGAACCAAATTTACAGAATATCGTCAATCTTAATCAGCCTTCGAATCTTCTGTTCAATTTTATGCAGGAAAATAATACTACTACTAATGCTCCTAACGGAACAACGACCATTGGCCCATCAACTTCAAACGGTACGACAACTGATCTACCGTTTACAACGGTTACTACAATGAACGAGACAACAGCGTTTCCAACTGACAGCACTCCTGGTACTTCAACTATTATTATTACAACTGAAGAATCTGAAGAACCAACTTTTGAACCGGACGAAGATATAACAGATCCTCCGATCCCTCCGATGCCTCCGACAACTACAACTACAACAACTACAACAACAACTACACCTAGAACTACAACTACATCAACTCCGATGCCTCCCACAACCCCTGCACCTTCAACGACAATACCTACTACAACTCCAGAGGTAAGTTGATTCAAATGATTCCATTGACCAATTTCAATCTAATCTCGTTACTATTGTTGTTTTTCCCCACTTTCCATGTTAAGCCTCCAACAAATGGTACTGATAGTTCTGGATCGACATCAACCCAAACAATGATTTTCGGAGGTGTTGGTGGACTTTTATTCCTTTTATTGGTCTTTGTATGTTGTTGTCGAAATTCAGGACCAACGGCCGACGTTGAATCAGGTTTACCTCAGGATACAAACCAGGACCAAATTAATGAAAAATCACCCGACGATGGTACTCCACCTGATTCAATTGATGTTGTAAAAGCCAAATCAGCTGAAAAAACAGGACTGATAACCGGTAAATCGAGTACAGGTGAAAGTATCTTCGGTAAACGTAAAAGTGCAGAGAAAGTTAAAAGTTTGGAGAAGGTCAAAAGTTTGGAAAAGGTTAAAAGTCTCCTGGGTAAAAGCTTAACGGGGAAGAGTAACATTTCCCTTGGAGGTAAAACGAAAAGCATTGAATTATCGGGTAAGAGTAGCGGTGAGAATCTCGGTTTAGCCAAAGTTAAAAGTTCCGAGTCAAAGTCCAAGAGTCTCCTGAAAATTGGTAGTAAAACAAAGTCAAAGGAGAGTCTTAAAGGTAAAATCAAATCAACGAGCCTCGAAAAAATTAAATCCAATGAAAAGGTTGCAAGTAGTGAGAAGATGAAAAGTATCGAGAAAATTGCAAGTTCAGAGAAAATGATAAAAAGTAAGACATCAATGTCACCAAAGAAAAAGTCAAGTCTCTCAAGAGCGAAAAGCGTTGACAGGACCAAGAGTATTTCCAAAGGAGTCAAATTTTCATCTAAACTCGCCGCAAAATCCAAGAGTCATTTAAAAATCGATAGTGTCGAACCAATGACCAGTGCAATGTCATTAGAGAAAAGTAAAAGTCGTGAATTAACAAGTAAATTATCAAGTTCCGATGGTGGAAAATCAAATTTAACAATAACAAGTTCCATCGTTTCCAGACCAAGTAAAAGCAAAAGCTCAGACTTAGGATTCAAAAGTAAAGACAAATGAATCAATTCCAACAACGAAACAACATCCAAACCGATCAACCAAAAAAGCCAATAAGAAAAAATTCTCCAATCAATCCAATTAATTGGGAGAAAAGAAAAACAAAATTAATCACAATTGAAAAAGAAACGAAAAAAAAAATATTCCAATTATTATGTAAACAGTTTTTCCATTTAATTTTCGATCAATCGTTTAATCGTATCGATAGTTTTTCTCTAACCAAGAGAACAGAAAATCTTGGATCAGATATTTGATATTCTCATCATGTTATCTTTCATTTAAATGTCAACATTGTTTTGTTTGTTTCGTTTTCCTTTTTCTTAACAACAAACAATTAAATTAAATTCTATTCATTAACATTAACAAATTAGTCAACAAAATATCGATAAACAATTAATTCGATTACAAAAAAATCTTTTCCTTCTTAAAGTGTTTTTCCATTTTATATTTTATTCTCTTTCTCTCTCCATTGCTTCATCTCCATTTCTATTACCTGTGTGTGTGTTTCTCTTTCTCTCTTTTGTTTTTTTTTCTATTACTCTTTCTTTTTCCCCTTTCCCTTTTATTCTCTTCTTCTTCTTATTCTTTTTCTCTTTTCTCCTAAACACTTGTAAGAAGAAACAAAATGGACTATATTGGTAAATTTATTTCGAATTTTAAAGGATTTTACAACGAAATTAATCCTGCTACTCTAACTGGTGCCATCGATGTGATTATTGTTGAAAATTTGGACGGTTCATATTCTTGTTCACCATTTCATGTGAGATTTGGTAAAATGGGTGTTCTGCGTAGTAGGAAAAAGAATGTAAGTATAATTCTTATGCTTTTCCTCCATCTTTCCCCATGGTTTTTTCTATCATTCATGCTTTTCTCTCCTTCTTTCTATACTCATCGTGATAATCTTTCTATTGGTTTACCCCCTTTGTTTAATTGTAATAATTAATAATCTTCTCTCTCTCTCTCCTTTCCTCTTTCTTTCTTTGTCTTTTGCCTTTTTTCTCTCTTTCTATTGGTTTTACTTATTAATCCCAATTCTAATAGGTTGATATTGAAATAAATGGTAAACCTGTTGATATCCAGATGAAACTTGGTGACTCTGGGGACGCTTTTTTTGTCGCAGACGAGGATAGAGATGAATTTGATGATGAAGAAGATAGTATTGTAGTTAGTAACAGTTCAGTTGATAGTTTAGTTGATAATTTAGTTGGACTAGTTGTTAGCGAGACAAATAATGAAGATAATGGTAATATTACCAAAGAAAATGTCCCTGTGAATGATGGTGATGATAAAATCACCATTCAAGTAAATCAAGTTATCGATGGTTTCAATGAGAAAGATAATATCAATCTTAATGAACAACTTGTTATTGAACAACTTATTAATGAACAACAGCAACAACAACAACAACAACTGGTCAATGAACAACAACAACAACTAGTTAATGAACAACCAGAATTACCAAAAGCGCAATCACAACTAGTTAATGAACAACAAGAAATTGTAAATGAGCAACAATTAGTCAATAATAACGCCGAGATAATTGTAAACAATAATACTGGTGATATTGGCTGTGTAGAATTTGAAAATGAATCAATTCTCTCAAGTGAAGGTGAAAATTTTCTTTCCGGAGGGGAAGAGGATGATCGTCAAAGAAGAAATTCCCGTCGAAGGTTTCACCGTAAAAACAGTGCAACCCAATACACTAAAGTGCTTCAAATGACCTCCCAACAAATCGCTTCATTGGACCTTCGAAAAGGACGAAACGAAGCCATTTTCTCAGTTACAACTGCCTACCAGGGAACCGCCAGATGTGAATGTTCAATTTACCTTTGGAATCATGATGATAAAATTGTTGTCTCCGATATTGATGGTACAATTACTAGATCAGATATTTTAGGTCATATATTACCCGTTATTGGTAAAGACTGGGCTCAATCGGGAGTCGCAAATTTATTTAACAAAATAGTCGACAATGGATATAAAATATTATACCTTTCAGCTCGAGCCATTGGACAAGCTAAAATAACTCGAGAATATTTAAAATCGGTTCGTCAAGGTGACTTTTACCTTCCCGATGGGCCATTACTACTTTCACCTACTTCCCTCATCTCAGCACTTCGTAGGTTAGTGATTCATTTATTTCTCTTCATCTTCATCATCCACAATTCAACACCCTAATCAGTCCAATGATTACCTATTATCATCATCATAACACCAATCAAATCAAAAGGCTAAAAATTGGTCTTTTTTCAAAACATTTCAAAATTGTTTGTTTACACAATTTGATCAAAACAAAGCAAAAAAACAAGCGCCAACTTGAAAATTTTATTTAATTGGTATTATGATAATTGATGGGTTTATTTACTTTCTCTCTCTCTCTCTCTCTCTTTCTCTCTTTCTCTGTTACGCTAACTAATAATTAACACTGATCTATTTTAATTGTTATCTTCACCAATAGAGAGGTAATCGAGAAGAAACCTGAAGAGTTCAAGATTAAATGTTTGGAAGATATTCAAGTTTTATTTCCAACTAATCCTTTTTACGCTGGATTTGGAAATAAAATTAATGTAAGTGTTGAATTGTTTTCAACTAATCAAAACCAATTAACAATCAACAAATATCATCTTGTTCCTCTTATTTCAGGATACTTGGGCTTATCGTGCAATAAACATTCCCTCATTTCGGATATTTACAATTAACCATTTAGGTGAAGTTAAATTGGTTCCTTTATATAGTTGGAACTCATCGTAAGTACAAAATAATCATCACCTTGATGATTAGTAGTATTATTATCATTATATTTTTTTCCATCAGCCTAACTAATTGTTGAATCTTTTCTGTTTCCCCTTTTTAGATACACTAAGTTAAGTGATCTAGTTGATCAAATGTTCCCTCCTTTACAATCATCCCAAGATAATAAAAACGGTGATTTCCTATCGGAATATAGTTCATTTAATTACTGGCGTGATCCTTTGGACTGTCCATTTCCAGAGAATGATTAATTAAATGAATAACCTGAAACTGTGTATTTATATCAAGTGAAAATGAAGAGAAGGATAAAAAAGTTAACTGGATTTAAAGTAATCGTAACAGGAAAAGCAAATTACATAACAACAATTGAAACTATTGTCCAGTCAAAACTTGCAATCACCTCGGAGGTCAGTCATGTGTTATAACCTATGGAAGGGACAACAACAACAACCATCAATAATTAAATCAACAAAGCAATCAACAAACAACAACAAAAGCAAAATATTTGTGATAACTTAAGGAAGAAAACAAAAAATATTCATTATTAAATATTATTAATCATATTTTTTTATTAAAATAATCGAATGATAAAAAAAGGTTATTATTAATTGTTCAAACAAAAATCATACTAAAAGACTCAATTTACAAAGAAAAAAACAAATCAACAATTTAAATCAAAGTTAAATCATCTCAATTAATCCAAGTCAAATCCATTGAGAGATTTTAAATCATCAAATCAACCAAATGCATCCCAAATAAATCAATAACAATGAAACCTTTTCTTTTTGTTTTCTCCTCACAATTAATTTACTTTTTATGGATAATTTACTTTGATTGTAATTCTAAAAACTTTTTTTTAATTGATTCCAAAGAAATTGTAATTAATCAGTTTGGAATAATTAATTTTCTCATTTCTCAATTAGCCTTATTATCATCATCTGTCCAAGTTAATTACAAACTGTTGATTATTGTTTCTGAAAGACTTGATTAGATGATTAATAATCAATGTTTTCCTCATAATCTAATCTAATTTTTTGTTAATCAATTTGTTATTATTAGTTAATCAAAGTCCAATGGAAAAGAGTAAGATTTTAATTGTCTCACTTTCTCTCAACTCTTCAGTTAATCAAATCCAATTACATTTGGAGTTGTTTGTCTTTCCAATCAACTAAACATGTATTTTATTACTAATTAGTCTTTCCAATTGAATAGTTGATTAATTATTCTTAATCATCTCAAATGAGACAATCAAATTAGAAAGAAAAAAAAATTTTCGATTTATCGTTAAATCATCGATGTGATGTATCTCTTATATTGGAAAACAACTGATCTCATATCGGATATTTGGTGAGAATTGAGTTGATTTAAATTGATTGTGGACAATTAATTTTCGCAGTCTAATTGTGATCAACTAATTACTCTGAATACAAGAGATTAGTTAGTCTTTGATGATACAAAGAAAAGCATTAAGATCGTTTAACTTTGGAAAGTTAATAACTTTGAATGGATAAGAATTTGATTTGAAGCAATTAGAGAATTGAAGTTAATTGTTTTCACAATAGACTTTTAATTCTCAAGGTAATTAACTTTTTCTTTTCTTTACTAACTGATTACTAATTGTAATTCATAATCAAAATAATTACAATTTGAAATTTTCGTTTTTTTTTGTTTAATCTACTGAATTAGAAATTAATTTTCTGGTGGATTTAAGTTAATTGCTTTCTTCTGATTCCGTTCAGTTGATTTAATTTTGTTTACTTTGTTGCATTGTAACCAAAACCTAAAAGAGGTAAACAATTAAACTGAATTGCAATTAAATTAAATTGTTGATGCTAAACAAAAACAACCAAGACAAAAACCTAATCACCAATTTAAATTTGCAAAAGTTTGCAATTTGTTAATTAATATTTAAATACTAATGATAAAGTTATAATTGTCCTTCAAATGATAACAATTAGTAAATTTTTAACAATTAAAAATAATAATTCAGCAAATCAATTGCCAATTAACTGTGTTGAATATTTTGTTTTCAACTAATCAACAAACTTTCAATATCAAATCAAGTTAATCACAATTGAAATGTTAAATTGTTAACGTTGTATAAGAAAAGTTTTCATATGAAAACCGTTGATATTAATTAGCTTGAGGCTAATTGAATATGATTAAGATGATGATCAACAGTTTGACAATTAAAAACTCACTTTGTGATTGTTAATTGGTACATCAAACTAATAATAAACTCAACACAATTAATCAAAAATCAACAATCAAGTATTTATGGAAATTAAATCCGAGGGAAAGTCCGGATTGTTGGTAAACAATTAAAAATAGGAAAGAAACAATTAATTCACTTAATTCTTACAGTTGAAATCAACAGAATTACGTTTGTGTTAATCACAATTAACAATGGACAGAGAAAATGAATCAATCAAGATAATTAGAATTGCTTGAGAATTGAATTAATCTAAAACAAAGGAAAAAGTAAAAAGTTAATTTTCCAACGAAAGAATAACAATTAATTTCATTTCTAATTCTTTATTCATAGTGAACTTTTTTTCGAACTTTTTTTATTTATTCTTTTTCTTCATCTTCTCTCCCTCTTTCTCTCTCTCTCTCTCATCTTTTATCATCCTCATCATCTTCATCTTCCTCATCACCATCACTAAGCAACAATATCGACCCAATTGCTCCTTGAGTTTCTGCTCATGAATTTCATGAATGGAACAAGAAAATTCAATCCCATGGAAAATTATTTTCTTCTGATTATTTCGTTAATTCAGTTAATTGTGATAACACCAATTCGAATGAAAAAAAAAATTTAATCAGTAATTTCTCAATTGTTTGTTAAGTTTACAAAGAAAAAAACAAAGTTAATCAAAGATCAAATCAACAATTAAAACACCAACAAGTTAATCATTGAATCAATTGTGTGACTATTTAAAATATTAGAGTAAAATTTAACTAATTGAAATTTAATTCAAAATTTTGATTGTTGAAAGGTTTCATCCTGCAATTAGTGAACAATTTGTTTCAAAACTTTGAACCAACACTAATTAGTTGATCAACTATTACAATTAGTAATTAAAAAGTGATGATAAAGTAATTAACCAAAATTGATTTATTTTTAGAGATTTTCAATTATCAATATTTGATTGAAGAGCAATAAAAACAAATTAATTAACCAGCAACCTGCAATTTAATTAACCACAATTAGTTTAACGAGTTGATTGAAATAGTAATGAACTTTTTTTCCCCAATTAGTATAAATCTAGAATGTTAAGTTGAGTTAATTAGTTTGAAAGTAAAACTTGTTCATGAAACAATCAACAAATTGAAAGTTTACAATCACAACAATTAAGAAAATTGTTCCAACAAGTCAATGTCCAGTGTATTAACAATTTACCTGTTATGATTACTGCTGGACAATCAACTGGATCAAATATTAAATTAGCCAATGGAAATGAAACTTCATCCTCATCACATCCAGATAATCAAGCTAATTGTCAGGATATAATTGTTACAACAATTCAGCCAACAACAAGTAATTTAAATCAATGTAATCATGAAACATTTCAACAATTGAATAAGATTAATGTTAATCAAGTTTATTCATCATCTTCAAGTGTCAATGAGATGAAATCTTGTCAACCTTTTAACAATCCCTTGGCCTCATCAGTTGACCACAGGTCAATAAAGGAAAGTTCATGTTCAGCCCCTCCCTTTGGTCATCATCATCGTAATGATAATCAACTTAGTGATGATCGGGTTAATGGTCAAGGAGGGTCATCACCTCAGTCCAAGGAGGAGGTTGTGGTCAACCCTGGTTCTGGTGAGGTGAAAACTTCATTCATGATGAGACATCAAATTGAAGCTTTATTTCAACCCACTGATAATAAACTAGCAATTAAATTGTTTGGCTCAAAGGGGAAACATAATCAAAATGGTGATAATAATAATAACAACAATCAACAATCCCAATCAGTTAATAACAATTTAAATCAAATCGCTTCGACGACCAATAAATCAACTGAATCAAATCATCATCGTCATCGTTGTATTTTTCATCTTTGCAATAATTTCAGGTAAATTTCATCTAATCACTTTATCAACATTTAATTGTTACAATTATGATTCATTGAGATTTAACAAATTGTCACAATTTAATTCATCTTAAATTAAAATCGTATGACTGATTGATTTAAGGTGATCATGATCAGCGTTGTTGATTGAATTGATTACTTTGATTACTTAGACTTTCACTTTTAATTTTTCGCAATCAAAAGTAATTGATTATTGATTAAATTGTTTGACATTCGAGAAAAATTTATTCCCATCATTTATATTCATTGATATAAATTGAAAGTACAAAATGAAATTTATATTATCAGTGATTACAATCAATTTAAATCAATTATTATGATGATCAGTTGATTATAATAATCCAACAATTGTAACAATTTAAATTAACATGACAATAGATTTTCAATTTGCATTAATTACCTGAACAGGTAACAATCAGATGAAAATGAAAATGTCAATTAAATGTGAATCCGGTTTCCTTTTTCCGGTAAAATTAGTTAATTTTTAACAATTAAATCATAATCTATTATGAATAGTAATACAGTTGATTAACATAAAGTAAATTGCAATTGTTTACTTAATTGTTAAATTAATTTTTCTTCAACTATTAATAAGTATTACTAAGGATACACCAGGAAGTTGATCAGAAATGACAATTTGATTCAATTTTTAACAATTAAATAACTTTTAATAACAATTATCAATTTATGATTGATAACCAATTGAAACAAAATCGCAATTTAATATATAAATTGTTTCATCAAATCAATTAACCTCAAGGTTAACCAAGTTAATTGTGTGATTTACTTGAAGCGTTAGACAATCAATTGCGATGATTGTTACAATCAAGTCCATTGATAATCAATTTGTCTGATTGTGAATATGAATACAATACAATACTCAAGGTTACAATTAACTTTAATCATGATAATAATCAACACTCTTGATATTAATAACTAATCAAAAGAAAATGAGTTAATTGTTAGTCTAAAATTGAGATATAAACGGTCAGTTATATAAAAATGTATTCACTTGATTGGTCAACTGATTGTAGATAATCAATTGATTGTAAAACTGATTAAGACCAGTGAGAAAATAAGAAAATAAGAAAAAAAAAGTCAGATTCGAATCGAAATCGAAATCGAAATAATAAAAAGAAGAAAAAAAAAGTTCTAACCAATAGATCGATGACCAAAATAATAAACATATAATTTTGATTAATAGTAATCAAGGTCCACAATTAACTGGACAATAATAATCAATTGCCAATCAATTTAATCCAGTTAAACAGTTTCAACAACTTATATATTACTTGTTGGAAATTGATTGGGAAAAAAATTTGACCAACATTTCAAATAGTCTTATAAAATTAATGGTCAGTGAAACATTGTTGCAACCAGAATATTATACTGGTCAGTATGAGACACGTTGACCATTATATATGATCCAGAATCGAGGTTAGAATTGGAAATGAGAATCAATCGAGACGATTAATCAGAATGGATTGATTAACTTATCAAATGTATTAGATGAACAAAAAGAGAGAGAGAAAAAAAAGTTCAATGATTAACAATTTAACTATTTAATCAACTTAATCTAATTGAAAATACTTAATTGTTTTCCCTTTACAGTTTAACAACATGTTTAAAGGTTAAAAAAGGTGAACGAGGTTACAAAACAATCATAATTAGCCTTATTCTAATCATAATCATATTGATATCATTACAATCGTACAGTAAGTTGATTAAAAAGTTTGTAATAAAAGTGTTTAATCAAACAATTTAGCTATTTAATTGTTTTTACTTGTCTTTTACCTGCAGTGATCATAATCACAGCCAAACAATCACAAATTGTATCAACAATTAAAAACCTTTGCCTGACCCCAGGTTGTATTAAAGCAGCTTCATCCCTCTTATCCCGTATGGACATTAATGTTGACCCTTGCCACGATTTTTACTCCTTTGCCTGTGGGTCATTTGTCCAGATGAAAACTGTCCCCGATTCCCTTGTAACTTATGATATGTTACAACAAATGGAAGAGGTTTCAACCCTTGAGATGAGGAAACTGCTCGAGGCCAATATAACGGATTCCGATGGAATTGCGATTTCAAAAGCTAAAATCTTTTACTCTTCTTGTATTGATGATAAATCAAATTCAAATGAAAGTGAAAATGTCGCCGCTCTAATTGATTCCATTGTCCATCCAACTGGACCTTGGCCATTGTTACATTCAATTCTTAACTCACCTCATCTCTTACCTTCACCTTCACTTGAAGATCGCATTTTGGACACTTTTATTTACCAAGTTCAATCGATATTTCGAATAACCATTTTGCCTGAGATTTTACCAAATGCCACGAGAAATGATCTTTGTGTAAGTTAATAACAAAGAAGACTAATTGTTACAATTAATCATTTCTCTTTCATTTTGTCGATTACAAACTTTAAGATCTCAATTGGACGAACAGTAATTGAAGATGAATATCTTGTTAATCCAAATCGTTCAGCTAAATATGATGAATATAAATCTTTTTACAAAGAATATCATGTTAATATGATGGAACGATTGTCCAGTCTGTTGACCGGTACAGAGATTAAATTACAACCTCACCATTTATCCGAGATTGATGAGGTTATTGATTTTGAGATGGAATTTGGAAAGGTAATTAATTACTTTTGATTAATTAATGAGTTAACTTACGTCTCCTTTTGTTTCAGTTAACAGCTCAAGATTATTCAGAATCAAGTTCATCATCTGAAACAAACAATTCAACTACTACTATTGACCCTTTAAGGTCAACATCACCACCCTCACCTCGACCTTTGATAACTGTTGGTGAACTTTCATCAAATTTTACAGCCATCCAATGGATTAAAATATTTGCCAAATTATCAACCATTTCCGGGGTTAATATAAGTGACCTGTGTACCGAGAAAGAGGATTACCTGGTCAAACTGAATGAACTTATACCAAGATACTCACCTCGAACCATAGATAATTACCTTTGCTGGGCGATTCTTGCTCAATATACAGAATCGTTGGGTCCATCTTTCCGTCGGCTTCAAGGTGAATTTCGTCGACGTGTCCCAGAGATTCGGGCAACTGAACCTAATCGAATTTTCTTCTCACGGTGGAAAGAGTGTGTCTACATTACCACCCGAATACTACCAATACCCTCCTCACATCTTTACCTGACCCATAAACCGAATCACGTTTCACTGGCCAATGGTCAAGTAAATGTAATGCTTAATGAAATAAAAGAGGCAATGTATTCAATTCTAGACTCACAGGAATGGTTAAATCAACCGAAAGGTGACCAATACAATCAGATGACCAATGAAAGTCAATCCAATGAATTTGATGTTCGACTTATTTTGAAAAATCGTATCGCCGATTCAACTCTACTCGTTGGTCTACCTGATTATCTGCTTAATCGTTCCCAACTTGATGAACAATATAAACATCTAATTGTCTCCAGTGATCAAGTTTTCATCAACAATTGGCTGAATTTAACTAAACACGAGAAAATCCTTGAATTAACTCGAATCGGATTAACGGTTGAAAAAAATCTCTATTTTAATCCACCAACCGAGGCAAATGCTTTCTACGATTGGAATATCAAAATGATAAGTATGACCAATTAATTAACTATTTAATTCATGCGAATACAAATATTAACTAATATATAGAAAATTTAATTACAATCATCAACAATTTATTGATGCAAAATGATTCAAATGTTTCTCACTGAAAATCATGAGTAAATCTATGGGAGTTTAGGTGAACTTTTTTTTTCCCGAAAAACAAAATCTCCATGTGAATTAAACTCAAACAATTACAATGATGAATAGGATATCATTTGATAGACAATTGAATTAATTATATTGTGAGAGAGGAAAAAATAATCTCATCATTGAGTTTGAGGTCATCTAGAAGTCATTTCATTTGAACTCTCCTGATTCTGAATATCTAATTAGTTATTAACTGAATAAATATTTATATTTTAATTCATTGGGAATTCATTTTTTAATGAGAATCAGTGAAAGTTTATCAACAAAAATATAAGATAATTTGTTCACTCGCCTATGTAATTATCATTTAGGATTCTGTAGTTGAAAGAGTGTAACATTTATACTAATTGGAATTAAGTTTTCAGCATAAAATTAACATGAAATTGCAAAGATTAGTTGACAATTAAAAGTTCAAGAGTATTGATCACAACGGTGATAATAAATTTCGACCTTTAATTCAGTTGGATAAATTGAATTGTTATCGATTTGTGTTTGAAATCGTTGGTCCAATCAACGAACTTGATGTAAAATTTTGTTCGTTTTAATTATCAGAGATGATCAGTTGATTACTGTTAATTTAATTAGAGAAAATTAAACTAATTTAGATGAAACTTTTCTTCTATTCAATCAATTTCTAGCTCTTCCTCTTGGTATACTTCATGAGCCAATAATCAGTGAAGGTAGACCAAGGTAAGTTATTATCTTCTCATTGATTGTAACATTTAACAAATTATTTCGACAATTAATTGATTGAAAATTTATCATTGAGATTGTTTATTGATACAGTAGAGCAATTAAAAGCTTTGTAATCCTTAATTGTAAGGTATTACCTTTGAAGATTATCAATTGTGATTATGTTTCATTCACAATTACGAGACTTAATTAATTGCTGGAGGTGATAGACTTTTACTTGATGAAGGGAAAGTTAGTTAACTGGGATGAACATGAGACTGATTAGTTAATTGTGTTTAGATTCCAGTTGACAATCAACTAGATTAAGTAAATGGTGATAGAGTTAATTGGATAGAGGAATTAGAGAGAGAAACTTGGATTTATATTCCAGAGTTAATATTAATTGTTTCTCATTCACTTTCTCAGGAGATTTTGATGATGAAAATGATGATTAGACTGATGATGACTCTCACTAATCATCATTAGTAAATTGTAACAATTTGTTTTAATTCCGTTGATTACCTTTGCCTTGTGTTTATATGTACATAAGTGTTTGTTGTATTGAAAAAACTTTCTCATCTTTATCGTTAACTAAACATTAATCACTAATTAAGTTAATCACAGTTGACTAAATAGTTTTACATTTGGTGCATAATTTGTGAATCAAATTGACGATTACAATAAAAAGTTAACAATCAACAATCAAACCAGTGATTAGGTTAATTAAAACACATCTCAACAAGAATAGACAATAAAATGATTCCGATTATCATAATGAAGTAATTAAACTGAAGATAAACAATCAAATTTAATCTGATTATTTTACCTTCGCGTTTGGTTGTTCATCCAAATTAGATTTCTTGATTATTCAACCTTAGGGCATATTCTTGGACATGAGATTAGCCATTCACTGGACAAAGATCCGGACACCGATAATACAACAGGAATCAATTGGTGGCCCAATCAATTGAAATCTGAATATGAATCTCGAGCTCGTTGTTTTGCTGAACAATATTCAACCTACAAGATTGATTTAATCAATGAATATGTAAGTAGAAACAACTACAATCAGTGAACAATTAGTTTACTAATCAAATTGGTTCTAACTAATTGAATATTTTTGTTACAAAATTATCATTTTTCTTGACCGTCGATAGTTTTATAAGAACAGAAAACTTTTATATCAAACAATTATCGATGATGATTATGATGATTTACTTTTATTTGGTTAATATAATTTTCTCTATTGACAATCAATTGATCAATTTAATTGATATCGGTTGATTTAATTGTCTAAATACAGGTAAATGGTAACAATACTTTAACTGAAAATATCTGTGACTTTGTTGGTCTTCAACAAGCTTATTTGGCCTGGACTCGAAGTACAATTGATAAATTAACTCAATTACCTGGTTTAACTAATTACTCAAGTGATCAATTATTTTTCCTTCAATTTGGTCAAGTAAGAAGCCAATGTTTTAATTGTCTAACCTAATTAATCAATTTCCCATCTCTCTTTCTCATTCATCTAACATAAATTAACCAGGAAAATTACCTTATACATGTATATTAAACAGAAACATTAGATTACAATTAAAGGTAAACAAATAATAGAAAATCAATAGCAATTAAGATCAACAATTAAGCTTTCAGACAAATTGATCAATTAGTCAATTTGATTGTTTACAATTTGGCAATATGATTTTCGTTTTATCAATTTACAGTTCATTTGTTTCACAATCAATTCAGATTCAGAAACATTGATCAATGAACTTTAATAACATTCGAGTTAATTTGGTAAAGAGAAAGAAAATTTTTCTCTGTCAAAAGTTCTGATTCTTGATTCTGAATCTCATGAATTTCAGGTTTTCTGTGAGGTGGCGACTCCTGATGGTTACCTGAAGAACCTATTAACTGACCCTCACTCTCCAGGTAAATATCGGGCCAACGGTGTGTTGGTTAATACACCACAATTTAGCCGAGCGTTTAATTGTCCACTGGGATCACCAATGAATCCAATTGACAAATGTAAACTTTGGTCAATCGAAGGATAAACGACAATTAACTTAATCATCTCTAAATATACATAAATCGAAAAGTTTTTTCTTCTTCTTTCTCTGTTTCTCACTTTAGTTAATCAGTTAATCAAATCTAATTGTTAATTGTTATGTTTGTCTGTTTTATAATATAATCCATAATCTATACATACAAAGTAATCATCAAATTGATTGATTGTCATGGGGAAATATCAAAACAATTATCATCATCATCATTGTATCAATTGTAATGTCACCTCAATTTAATATCATTGATTTAATTTAAAAATTAAATTCCAATTCAAGTAAATTAATTACGAAACAATTTAAAGTTAATTGTTATCGTCGTCATAGTTTTTAATCAAACCTTTCTTGATGTTTAATAAATTATACAATTGTATTTAAAGTTTTTCGCCTCATTTATAATGGTTGGTTAAAATGTATTATTGTTGATTGAAACAATTAAAAAGACAATTAAAGATGGAGGTTTACAATTTAGAGTTAATTAAATGCAATAAATCACTTTGCTTTATCACTATTAAGTTAATTGTTTGAAAGGACAAAGTAAAACAAATCAATCAAAATGTTTTGTAAATCATCAAGTAAATTATAATTTTGGCTTTGATTCTTGACTGAAAGTTAATTAATCAACAAATTAGTTGACATAATTAAACAATGATCATGATAAATAATAATTTCATTCATTAATTTTCAAAATAATGAACGATAATAATAAATTTATAGTAATCGTTATAATGATGATTACTATTAATTGTCAGTAATTAGTTGATTATTATTTACACATACAATTGACACAACCCATAAGTTATATAATTTTTTTTTCCTAATTGTTATCAATCTGATCATATTTAAATTGATTAGTTATTAACTCAAAATTCACACAGAAAAAAAAAATTAAAAACAAGAAAAATAAAAATTGACATAATCAAGATGATCAGAGATTAACAATTAAAAAAATCACAATTGGCACATTGAAAATAATTGAATCAAAATGTAAGTTGAGTGATAATAATAAACAATTAGCAGGTTAATTACAATTCATGATATTCATTGAAAACCTTAATTGTTGATACAGTAAATTAAATTGTTCCATCAGCAGGAGAAAAGTAATCAAGTTGATAGTTTGAATTGTTGCAGAAAAAAAATGTTACTGTTTCACAAAATGATGAAGAAAATGATGAGAAAGGAGTAGAAAGAAGATGAAATTTTGTTCGTTGAGATTTCTCATCATCTGAGAATCATGATCATGATGGAACCAGAAGAGATGGGAAGAGAAAAAAAGAATTTTTTTACAAGATGATGAGGATGAAAATCATATGATAATGAGAGAGAGATAAAGATGAATAAGTCTTTCACCGAATCGAATTTTTTTTTCTCGATCAATAAATGATGATAATAAGATGATATTGATGGTGAAACATTGGAAAAATCTAACAAGTTCATGATCCTAAATCGATTGCATTCAAAATTTAATGGGTTTGGTGAGATCGTCTCACCATTAGCCACGCAATTCACTGGATCAACATCCAATGTCAATTAATTATAATTATAATCATAATCATCATCATTACAAAGGATCCACACTTGAAAATTATATTAACCATAACAATATAATAATATCAGAGGCAAATATGATCACGCACATGGTTAGTATTTTGTTTTTCTTGTACTGTCATCAACTTGATCCTATTGTTGTTGTTGTTGGTGTTGATGGAGATGATGATGAAATTGTATCACACAAAAAAAACACAGAATTATCATAAACTGTAGTGACAATCAAGAAAAAACAGTAATTAAAACATTGGATGATCAAGTTATTACATATGAAACACACTTGAAAATAAAGGTTAATCTCCTTTCTGATTAAATCTCAAAGGATTTTGGTTAACCTTATATTTTTTACATCATATTAATATAAATTGATTTGTTAATGGTCAAGCTAATACTTAGAATGGTCAACATTATCTTCATTATCATTTCGATCATAATTCACCAGTTTTCATCTTTAATGTTAACTTTCAGGAAGATCTAATTAGTTTCGTTGATTCCATTTAGTGTATAAAGTGAATTAAAATAATGTGACTTTTTCCAATTGATTGGTTAATCTTTCATCTTTCCAATTGCTTTGATTAAGTTCAGATGAACAGTAGAATCAAGGAAAAGAGAGAAAACATCCTTGAAAGATTCTAAATTCTGAATTTTCTCATTCGATCTTTTCTTCCATTTAGATTATCGTCCATAGAGAAACAATTACTAAATCAGGCTTCTTATTGATTCTTTTTTTCACTTTGATTCTTTAAGTTATTTGTTCATGATGGTTATTCAGTTGGTGTGATGAAGATGAAGATGAAGATGACAAGATGATGATGATGAAAGTGGATCAATCGTTTTCGTCCTTCAAATGAATATCCTGAATGAATGGATTGAGTTGATTCTAAATAATTATCCCTTCATTTGTTATCCTTCATATCCTTCATATCCTTTAGATTTAGATTTTGCTTTTCCTCTGAGATATTATTTAGATTAATTGTTATCTAAATTATCCTAATAGTTAACTGAAAAAAAAATCTTAATCAAATGTTTGCCATTTAGATTTGGGTATATCCGATCCACCATTTAATTTAGTTTTATGAGACTTGTTGATAGATTGTTGAATTGATGGTTGGTAATTTGTTGCCACTTTCAGCCTATCCTTTGGTATTGTTAACTCAATTTGTTGATTACCAACACAATTTAAATCATTTCCATTAGTTTGATTCATGTTAACCATTGAATTGTTACCAACATCTTCCTGAGGGTAAGGATCCTTTTCCAGTGAGCTGTTTTTAATACCATAACCAAAATACATGATGAAACCTTTAAAAAAAACGAAAATAAATTAATCATTTACTACAATTAATCAACTAATTAAACTTACCTATAGTCATCCAAATTGAAAATCTAACTAATGTCAATATTGAGAGCCTAAAGATCAGGTAAATGTTAATTACGATGGCTAAAGCAGGCACAAAAGGGACTCCAGGAGCTTTGAATTTTAAATCGCATCTAAATTGTAAACAGAAAATTATAATTAATAAATCAACAAAACAATTTAAGTGTAAACAAAAAAATGATTGTCAACAAAAACAGTTAATCCAATTGATCAATAATTGCAATTAAAGGGTAAGATTAAAACTCTTAATCCTTAAAATAATATTAGTTTTCTGATGATGAACAAAAAAACAATGAGATTAATAAGATTTTTACACTTAAATAATTACAACAATTAAGTAATTACAGTATTAAGCTCAATGATTACTTATTATTATTTATTCATGATAATATTTGTTACTTATTAATATTTACAAATGGTTATTATTGTTGATCATTAAATTTATATTTATCAAGATAATTACAGTTACATTTAATTGTTATCATTAATCATTGACAAAATGAAGACTATTAAAATAAGCATACAATAAATAATATATGTAATAATAACGTTATAATTATCGTTATTTTTTCATGGGTAATTATCATGATTATCTAAATCATCTGAATGATTAAGTGTTAATAATCAGCTTGGAGGCAAAAGTTTGACTTTCACTTAACCTACACAAGTTTGACTATTAATATTTCAAGATATTATTAAATTACCTTACACCTTAATAGTAATCAAGTTTCATCTTCATGTTTTTATCATCATCAACTTTTTCATTATAACATTCTCACTGGGATTGTAATAATAATAACAATGATCAAGGTAACGGTAAACCCTAAAGGTAAATGAATTCATCCCTTTAGTTTTTTTTTGAATACTTTTCATAAAATTATTCACAACATAAAAGTAATAGACTATCTTGTAGTCATTTGTACAAATAGAAACTTGAAAATCTAAATATTATTACAACATTGATCATCAACAATCTGAATGACATTGGGATTAATGACATTGGCAAGTTTGATTTATTTTTTAGATTGATCTGTTGAATGAATCAATCAACATTCAGAGTAATTCATTGATAATATATTGAAATGGATTGGATTACATTTTCAATGGATTCATGATCATCATTGTTTTTATTGATCTTTCTCTTCCCTGTTCATCGAGTGAGATAGAAACGATTATACAGAAAGGAAATCAGGGAGAGAGAGAGAGAGAGAGAGAGAGAGAGAGAGAGAGAGAGAGAGAGAGAGAGAGAGAGAGAGAGATGTTTGTTTGTCTATGAATATGTATGGTTAAAGGTGAGCAAGAAAAGGTAACCATAGAGTCACATTAAAAAAAATACTCAAATCGAGTGGGAGTTTGATAAATAAAAACTCAACTACCTGAAAATTTCAAATGATAAACATTTGAAATCCTAAGAACCGTTATATTGATGATATTGTTTACCTGTTTGATGAAGGATAAACCTAATCTAAATTAAACAATAAGAATTGTTTTTTATGCATCTTAATGATACAATAACGATAAATATTGGCAACAATTGTTTTTTATGAGAGGAAGATATAAAAATACAATTCAATTTTAATCTAAAATCAGATATTTAGATCTTAATCTTAAGGTAATCGAGTAACTATCAACTCTTTTTTTTCGTTATATCAGAATTGTGAAATAAATTCAACATTCTCACCATTCTAACGATAATAATATTATTATCATGTTAGAATTGATTTGAGGTGATTTTATTCATTGCTATTTTTGTGAGACAATTTAGATTGTATTTTGATTGTTTTTACCTTCGATATCAATAACATCACAATCAGTAGCATTATTTTATCATAATGATTACCTTTAAATTGTTGTTGTTCAATTTATCTTTATCATTTGATAGTCATTGGTTTTATTATCAACAATGAACATTTATCACTTCTGATTATAATGATAGCGAATCATTAATTGTGGTGATTTTATGATTCAGAAGTCACAATTATATTACTAACCATATTGTTACAGTGAATTAGAAAATGATTGACAGTTGAATCAGATTCAATTAATCACAACCAATTTAACATTCAAAGAACCATGAGGAAAATTTGATTTGTTTTTAAAAACTATACAATGTGATGTGTAATTAAGTTGCTAATTAAGTTTCAACTGTTGCTGAATTGATTGTTTCGTTAAAAGTAATAGGATAATTATCATGATGGAATGAGATTAAATTGAGTTGGAAATAAAAGCTCATGCAAAAAGATAATTGTTCAAAGTAAATTGTGAACAATTTACAGGGAAGAGAAAAAGAAAATTCAATTTAAAAGTTTACTATTAAATATTTTGCTTCTTTTTCTGGGTTAATCATCAAAGGAATTTTAGTTTTTTTTTCCTCTTCTTCTTACCTGAATCCTCACTCACTGAATATCATGAAATTGTTCATCATGTGTACTCATTGTTCAATTGGCAATGTCTATACACATTCAGATACTTCATGAGAGAATGAGGTACAAAAAAAGCTAAACAAATTGAAATGAACCATGAATATTATCGTGATGTTACACAACCAGAATTTCAAAAGATTTTTTTTCTTCCTTTTTTACCTAACCCACTCCACCCTCTCTCTGAACCCACTTCCTATCTTATTCATAAATTAGCGTATATATTACTTATACTTATAGCTATGATAAGCCATTTCATGGTGGGATGAAAAATATTAGATCAATGGTGAGAACTGAATAATAATAATTCACTAATTCAAAGAGGAAAATATTTCATCTCATGCTTTTTACAGGGTGGAATATGTAACATGTTACTTAGGTAACGTTCTGAGATGAGAAACAGGAACAATTAATTTTTGTATTTACACTTGCATCTTGAATTGAACTTTGATAATTTGTAAATTGTTGCTGTCGATCAATTTAAATTGGGTTGTAATCAAGGTAAAAGAACCAAAGAAAAGGAAGAGACTAATTATCATGGTTGAAAAGAAGGGGGTTGAATACAAGGCGACCTTGTGGAGGAAAAGAAGACAAGATAATTCTGATGCTCAATCAGGGAGGAAATAGAAAAGAATAAGAAGAAAAAGTAAATTCTAAATGAGAATGAAAATTCCCTGATTGAAGGGAGAAGATAAGATGATAAGGTTGGAAGATAGTTCTTGTTGTTGTTGTTGGTATATGAAGGTAACAGGATGATGATGATGAGGAGGAAGATAAAATAAAGAAAAGTTCAGCTTCAGATACAGAATTTTTTTTCTTTCTCAGAATTCATAGCAACTTTCTTGATTTCTATCTCCATGTAAGTACCATGAGAGTTATAACTTGCATGTGAATGTCAGTTAAATGAATGATGATTCATTTTCCGGTATAAAGATCATCATGAGAATGATGTTTCTCTCATTCAAAGAAGGATAAATCATTGAGAGACAATTAACTTATCCATCATAATCATAACCATCATTTAAATAGAAACTGTTGATTGGGTTCAATTTAATGATTAGAAAATGATTTCCAATTACATGGTATGGAAAGTTCCAAATATTGATTTTCTTTTCAGTTTGATAATCAATTTAATTGTTCAATCAACAAGTTTAATTACAGAAAAAAAAGATAATCGATCAAAAATTTAAATTGCTCTTGATTGAATTAGACATTTTCTATGACACAATCATTGATAAACATTTACTAGTGATCACAATTAACATTATATTGCTAAAATTGGTTGAGATAAATTCTAAGACCATATAAAGTTCAATATGATTATAAGATTAATGTGAAACTGAATCAATTGATCAAATCGATTTAAGTTCATTCAACTAATCACAGTTGATTAATCATTATTAATGATAGGGTTTAGATTCACAAGTAATACCATGTTACAATTTGTATAGTTATTTTATGGTTAATATCAATTTGATTGTTAATTAAGATGAATTTAGTTGATTAACAAATCAAGAAAGAGCAAAGGTTAGAAAACTAATGACAATTTAATAAATTATTCATTTAAATTGTTCTGGTTCTTGATACATTCTTTTTACTAATTGAAAAGCAAGTTAATTTAAATTGCTCCAATTAGAAGTAGAGAAAACAATTAAGACAAATGGCTTGGAACTGAATATTCATCTTGAGCATTTATCTATTTTGAGTGAATGATAATTTTCTTAGACTATTTTTTACACCCAATTGATGATTTTATGATCAACATTATCATGATGATGGTGATTTGATTGTTCAATTGCTTGGAAAATATGGTTTCAGTTTTTTTTGCTGATATTCTGATTGTTTTGAATGAACAAATTTCCATGATGATGATGCTCAAAGATTCAGAAAAATCATCACATGTAATTTCAACCAAGTAAACTTTTAATTTCATCAACAATTACGATAATCATGATAATGTACAACTCATTAACGTTAATAACATCATCAAGTAATCAAATAAAGCACCAATGAGATGATTATCTGAATCTCTAAATGATAAGGAAAGGAAATGATGATTTGATGATCATGTTTATCCAATATAAGCAATATTATCAATCACATCTATCATTCATAATCATTTATAATCATTACTATCCAGAGATAGTATTAAATTCAACATAGCAATCAAATCAATCTAAATTTGATTCATCTTTGAATATATTACAAGTATTATAGTTGAAACTAATTCAATGAGTATCAATAGTTACATGACCAATTTGATTTCATCTCAACGTTTTTTAATAATCAAAATCCGATCGATCCAAGTTAATGCAATTCCATAATCCAACTAATAATGTAATTTATATTTAATTGTCTAATATATAGTCGATAAATCATCAAGTAATAAGCAATTAAATAGCAAATATAAGTAATCAAAGTAAATCCATATTGTTATAAAGATCAAGAGATTGTGAAAACTCAGGTAAGAATTTGGTCAGCATGAGATGGGCAAAAATCGTATGGATTAAAGGTAAGAAAAAGGAAAAACTAATCCACATCAAGGATAAAAAAAATAATAGTTTGTGATGGATTAATGAGGTTTACCTGTCAGAATCAATTTCTATCTAATGGTATAAGTATTATTATCGTGAAAGATGATGAAGAAAAAAAAAGTTGATTCTCTTTCGTTTAGTTTCATTTGTTATTTTATTTCAATTTTGTTGTAAAAACTCAGAATTTAAAGATTAATCTCCAAGAAACAATATCTAAGCTTTTCATCATCAAGTTAACTCCATGATTACAATTGAAATTCAAAGGTAACATGGTAACTTTAAGAATAAGCTGAAAGTGGAAAAGGTTACATATCAAAGTGTATGTAAGTTATAATAAAGATAAATACAGTTTCTTATGTGTTTAGTTTTGATAATTGAGATTTTATATTTATAAAGTTTTTCTCAATCATCATGTAATATATGAAAAAGGGTGTGGACCATGGGAGAGGTTAAGGTGAGGGAATGAGAATTTGCTACTGATGAGTAACAATCTGTGATGCTGATATTTTATTTATTATCATGAAAGTGTATTTTCAATGAAAGCATTTCAACTCATCATCCTCATCTTCCTCTTTTGCCTTTTTTAACAATAAAGTTGAAAGAGAATCACTCAGATTACTCATGAATCCTTTTTTTCTGCTTATTCTAAGCCAATTTCATTTTACCTGAGTTTTTTTTTCTTCATCATCTTTTATCATCTTAATCTTCATCTTTTCTCCTCACTCACTATATTTTAATTCTCTCTTTTCACTTTTTCGTCATCTTTTCCTTTTATCTTCCTCATCCTGAAATGATTTTCACGATAATTTGGAAATTGATCATTCCAAGATGATCAACCTGTTACCTGTAAAATGTTTTCTTTTTTAAGTTGATGATTGGATGACAAGAACAAGAACATGAAATTGGTCGAGAAGATGTAGAAAAAAGCTACTTAAAAATGTCTCATTTTCAGTTAATTAGGTAATCAATTTGATATATGTATGAAAGTAGAAACCGGAAAGAGGAAAAATCTAGAAAAGATTAAGAAAATAGATGAGGATGACAAGATGATGATACTATTGATAAAGCAATCGAGAAGTCAGTTAATCTTGAGATTACTCAGAAAATTTGAAACAAAAACAAGGCATCATGATAGTGATGATGATAAGATGATGATGAAATGATCAAGATAAACTTGTTATGGGAATTTGAGTAAAGACAGAGTAACAAGTATAATTTACCTTGAAACCTTTTCACTTGTTCAGTATTTCAGATAAAATTACACATATGAAATTTGGTAATCATGTTGTTCAGATGATTAAAGTTATCAATTTAACAGATGATGAACGAGTTAGGATGATAAACATATCGATACAGTTTAGAGAGAGAGAGAGAGAGAGAGAATCATGTAATAAACAAAAGGTGAGAAAGAAGAAAAGTTGATGAAGATAAATTCGAAAGGTCAAAGTTTATACTGAGAAAATCATATATTCCTAGGTGATGATTAACTGATTGATAAATTGAGTTCAATTGTGATGAATTATTAACCTATTTTAATTTTATCGATTGTGTAACTTGGGTAACTGTTAACACTGAGAATCATGTTGTTAATCATATTAATGGTTAATTCAGATTCAATTCATTGGAAACTATTGTTAATTTCATGTTATTTAAATCACAATTTATAATGGGCGTTGTTACTGGATTGAAAAGCATCATTCAAGTGATGGTTATCATCATCATCATCATTGATGATAATATACAAGTACAAGATATGTGAATGATGATAGCTTGTGAATCTTCATCAATATTAATGATTACAAGATGATTGTTAACCTTAATTTTAAATTGATCAATTCAATCAACTGATTAAATATTTCGCCTGATGTGATTTTTGATAAACAAAAAAAAAGCTCAGGTGATTAAAAATTGTAACTATTTTATGCTAATGTTATTTAGCTTAGTGACAATTTAAGTGATTAAATTTGATGAAAGTTAATTAAACAAGACTCTTTTTCACTTAGCTAATTAATTAATAGCAAATAATATGACAATGAGAACGATAATGAATATGAATAATTGAAATAAGTCATTGATAAAAAAAATTATCAACATCATTTATGTGTAATAATGGATACAATTGAATACAAAAGTGAAAGTGAGTGAAATGATAATATGATCAACCATTAATCTAATTGTTGAAAATCCATCAGAGTTAACTGTAAATCATTCAATTCATTATCAAGATTGTCATCGATTGTAATAATTAAAGTAAACATTATTCACTTTTAAATAAAAACAGAAAATCAATCCAAATAATCAACACACATACACACAAAGTATTAATACATGAGTGTATTAATTTAATCGATTTTCTAGTTCAATTAACTTGCAATGGTAAAGAAAAAAAAGCAAAAATAATAAAGGAAAACATTGAAACAATTAAAGGAAAATGATTAATATACATTGACCATTTTCATCAATTGAATTAATATAATGGATATTATCTGAATATGTGAACATGTAATAATATGATAGACAATCAGTTATTAAATCAATGGTATAATACCAAAGGGTGTAACTAACCTGATCTGAGGTTGCCTGGCTATGGCAAAAATACAGGCAACAATTGCCATGAAAGATGATATAAAGAGACCCAGAATCAGATGATTACCAGAATCCAGTGAATCAATGAACCAGGCAAGGATAACATCAAACACAATGGTAACTATGTATAGTAGTCCAACCAGTTTAATGACCAAAAGTCCAGTTTCATCGGTTGCAGGTCCATTAACTTTCCAACCATATGGGAAAAGGTACATACAAAATTTTTCATAATATTCCAGGATATTTGATCTGTGAACATTGGGTTTCAAGCATTGACCAAGTCAAATGTTGAGAGATAATATAAAGAGAAATAAAAATAAATTATTATCTTCGTTTTAATTGATTAGAGTTACGCAATTTAATTAGCATAGTCTTGGTAATTGGCTAAGTGATGCTATCCAATCAAATTGTTTACATTAAGTAAATTATATCATCAAATTAAACAGAAATGATGATGATGATGACAAGATGACAAGATGATGAGGAAAACGTTTATTTTTTCATTCTATTTCACTCTTTCTCTTCCTGGATTAATATGTATTGGTAACTTTTTTTTCTCTCGCTCTTATTGTTCAATACAATTACTATTTCCACATGAAACTTCCGGTTTCAGAATAACTGTGACTATTTTTTATTAGGTGGGTTGGATAATCTTGGTAATTTTGGAAATAGAGGAAAAAAATAACGTTAAAGGTTAAATATTAATAGATTGGAAATGTAATAATAGGAAAGGATGAGTGAGACTTTTGTGAGGGAAGTGATTTAATAGTGAAATTTGATGTTGACTTATTGTTGTTATGATCATCATGATATTCAATTGTGATGATTATGACATTGATCGAATAAAGAGAAAGATGAAAAAAAGGAGTTTGTGTCAACTGGAGTGGAAGGAGGTGGAGAGGACAATGGGATGGAGAAATGGTGGTGGGAGTGTGAAAAATGACGAAATAAAAAAATACTACAAAATGAAAGATGATTAAGAGACAATATAATGAAATAACATGGTAGCAGAATCTTTTCTTTCAAAGATTGTTCAACGTTTCAATCTATTTATATATCTTCAGGGAGAGAGAACGAGAGGGAGAGAGAGAGATACGATAAGGTGAAAGAGAATGAAGATAAGGAAGATGGGAAGAAAATCAAATTGAAAGTAAGCAGATCACACAGAGAGAGAGGAAAGGAAAAGTCAGAGAGAAAAATCAATTTCCAACATTGACATAGAATTCATATCGAATCAATGAACAGGGTAAAAGATTTTGACTGCAATCATCTTCAGCTTAAACCAGTAATTATACTGGTAGTTAGAGAGCTAATTAATCTGAGTCATGTGAAACTATTGATACCGATGTTATAAGTAAAAAGTTATTGTTATTAATGGATTATGATGAAGATAATAGTTATCGATTGATTTTGAGAGAGAGGAAAAGAGAAGAATATTATGAGTAAGAGCTGCTTTTAATCACAATTACCAATTATATTAAACTGTTGATTAATTGTGGCGCAGGTTAGTTTGATTGACAATCATCACTTCATCATAATTTATCACTATTATCAAGAACTTGAGACTTGATTAACACATTATACAAGTCACAATTTTTCCAATATTAACCTTATATTCAGAGTATTGGGGATGTTGAGATAGTTTCTATGCTTATAAATATTGTAATATCTTGGGAGTGATGATAATAATAGGAAGAGATAATGATTAAGATGATAATGATGATCAAAAATGGATTGAGGAACAGAGGAAAAAGAAGAGAAAAATGTCTACGATAACAGATACCCTTGCAATTGAAGAGGATAACAGTATATTTTATATGATAAATACATTAATCTTTCTATTGCTCGCATCATTATCTTTTCCTCAGTTTCATATCTTGATGTTGACGAGATGGAGAGGAAGATGATGAACAAGTCGAAGAAAAAAAAAAGGTAAACAACAAGTTAACAGAGTCTAAAACTCTCTACATGATGAAAAGGGTTTCAACTGATTGTAAGAATCAGATCTGAGAGAGTTGATCATTTACCTGGAATTGCAAATAAGTAAAGAAATTTAAGATTAACATTGGTTTAGTACGGGAAGAGAAACTTTTGCAATTATTAATAAGTTTAATATTCTTAAGAATAGTTTATAATGATGATAGATCTCTCTCTCTCTCTCTCTCTCTCTCTCTCTCTCTTTGTCTTTCTCTTTCTCTCTCTCTGTGTCTTTTTCTACATTTATCTCTATTATATTTTTCCAAAAAATTCTGAGCTTCGCTTGACTTTTGATGTTGAAAGTTCATCTAATGTTTCATAAGTTTCCATGTTTACGTCTGTCAAAATGTCATCTAATGTTGCTAACATCGAGAGGAAAACAGCATTTCCAAATCAAAACGATATTATTGATAAATATGTGTTTCAATTTTGGATAATCGGTTATAATGATAATGGTTACTCTTAATGAGATAATCAAACAATCAAATTGATTGTTGATGAGAAAAATAAATACAACTATTTCTGAATGAACATTGAGACACAATTGTCAATTATAATGGATAATAATCATTTCTTTTTTTAGATTCACGTAATCATCATTAGTTGAGCTTAGTTAATCAAATGATTAAAGTTAGATACAAAGTATCATTATACTAATTGTAATTACAAATAAGAAATTTAATGAGTTATCTTGATTATTGCTAAATTGTTGATCTTTATATTTCTCAATTTTCATCGTGTTTTGAATATTCATTTATTCATACTATGAAATAAATCATTGACATTAATAATTTACAAATTGCTGTTCATATCAAAGTATAAGATGATCAGTAAGATGTATGATTTTGTCGTAAATTTTTCAATCAAATATGATAGATAATCTCATTATCTTAATGAGAAATGAAAGACAATCAAATCAAATTTTCATCAACAATTAAGGATTTTTAAATTTCTCATTGAGAAGCAAAATCGCTCATGCTGGTTATTTAATATCATTATCATAATTTGGAAATATTAACAAGTAGGAATCATGATTGTCTTCATCATTATTAAGTTCTTGATCATTGAGGACATAACCTAGTGAATCTCATGGTGATGCATCAGGAAGCTGAATAACCTGAAATATTAACTAACATTGGCAGCATGGGAATATCTGATTATATTATCATGTTGAGACTGTTGAATATGAAAATAACTGTTACTGTTTTTGATTGAATTAGTGTTAGAAGTTAATATGTTGCTCTCATATATAAAAAAAAGCACAAAAATTTTCATGGGTAAAAAATTATATCTTGATAATTATTATTGATTAACCTTGAAAATGAATCTATGATAATATTATCATGGATAAAATAAAGAATAATTTTCTTTCATAAAGAATCCATAATATCATTTGATATTAATAAATGTAAATGGACCTTGTTTACCTGCTTTTTTAGGCTCAATCCTTTTTCTGATTTAATTTAATATTATAATTTAAATTGATATTATAATAAATTCATTAATTTTATCAATCATGAGGAGTATTCATTGAACAAACCATGTTAATGTTGGGAGTTGACAGATTTTTAATATTAAACTCTACCTCCTATTCATCATCAAGTGTCAATGTATTGAAATGTTTCAGTCTTCATGTTATTAATTTTATACTTTGATAATTATAATAATATTTAGATTAAATTAAATTAATACTATTGTTAATTATCAAAGTTTTACTTTTTTCTAGTTGTAATTTTATGTTCTTATTAATATAATGACAAATATACAATTACAATTCATCAATAATTTAGATTTTCGTGTAATCATAGATTGGAAATAACTTGAACTGATTTTTTTCCTCATTCTAGTTCAGATAATCAGTTATTTTCTTCCCAATAAATAAACAATCACGTTAAATGATAACCAACATGAGAAATCAAATAACTTTTTAGATCTGAAACTAAATATGAGTTATTTGATGCTCGATGGTAAGAAAAGGTAGATGAGGAATAGAAGAGAAAAAAAATAACAGAGAAATATGAATTTTCTGATGACAAATGGAGGAAAAACTGGTGAGAATATGGGTTTAGATTTCTCCCAGAAGAGATTCTTGTGGCGAAAAAAAAGTTAATAAGATGAAGTAATAAGAAACTCGAACGGAGAATAGATAATGTAAAATGATTCTTTCATTTCATCGTTCGTACAGTAAAATCTTAAAGTTATAAGGTTGAAAAGTCACTTTACCTTTTTCCGCTACTTCCACCATGTTGATAAGGAACTGATCCATAGTGATAACCCGCTGTTCCTGGTACTAAGAATTCATCATCTTTACTTTCCTGTCGAAAACAGTTTGGATCTGTATCATCTGATTCACTGGAATCGTATCGATTGGTTCGTTTGGTGTGAACTCGTTTCTCTTCACGGGTTACATAAGGTGTGAATGAGGGAGTAGTTGACATTATTGGACCTTGTGCAGATAAACCTTGAAAGGGTTCACGAGATGGTGTATGACAGGCTGATCGGATAGTTTCAGGTAAAAGGTCAACAAGATTTGCTCGATTGGGTTGATACCTAAGGAGTAGGACACAGGTTGAGACCAAAGTGTAAGCCATAAGTGTACCAATTGACATCATCTCAACGAGTACTTCAAGTGAGATGAGTAATGATGCAAATGCTGTACAAATACCGAAAAAAACTGTTGCAATCATTGGAGTACCGGTTGGCTGCCAAACTGATGAGAAACGCCGGAAGATGAGACCATCTTTGGCCATAGCGTAAACAACTCGCGGCATTGGAAACATTGAACCTAACATGGAAACCGTTAGACCAGCAAGAGCACCAATGGCGACCAAATCCTTCCAATGATAAGCTTCAACCGAGTTAAACATTTCAACTAAAGCCGAATCAACGTTAATCTGTTCCCAGGGAACCATAAGGGTTAACACAAGGCTGGAAGTGGTATAGGCTGTTAGGGCTATCAGAAGACTAGATATTATGGCAGTTGGAATTGACCATTTAGGATTTTCCGCTTCCTCTCCGGTTGTTGCAATGATATCAAAACCAATGAAAGCATAGAAACAAGTTGCTGCCCCGGAAAGAACACCGGACCAACCATTGGGCAGGAAACCACCATGTTGAGACCAATTGGTAAATGATAAATAGTATAATGAGACAACCATTATGATGGCCCATGAAGAGAAATTGATTAGATTTAGAATGTTGTTAACGAGAAGTGACTTTTTCACACCGGCCACCAGTATACCAGTCATTGCCAGGGTTATAAGGGCGGATAATAGGTCAGGTGAATGGCCACCAATACGGCCAAATATTGAGGCTGTAGCTGTTGTTACCGATTTATCGGCTAAGGCATTAAGACAAGCGGATATGGCACATGCACCAGCAGCGGTTCCAATTAAATATTCAAGTATCATATTCCAACCGATAATAAATGCGATAAATTCACCCACGGTAACATATGAGTACATGTAAGCTGAACCAGTGGTATGAGGCACTCGTACACCAAATTCAGCATAACAAACACCCGATAATAACGATGCTATTGCCGCTATTAAGAAAGATATTGCCACACCGGGTCCAGCGTATTTATGAGCCACCATACCAGTAACAAGGTACATTCCAGTTCCAACACAACTTCCAACTATATTTTTGGAAATACACCAAATGAAAAAAAAATAGAATTACAATTAAAAACAATAAAGAATACAAAAAATAACCCTGACAAAACAATGAAAATTGAACCAAAGTCAAACTCATTGTTATGTGTAACTACCATCGTTATCATGATCATCATCATTATTATTATCAACTAACACAATATACAGAATCTATTCTGAGGTATCATGTATATATATTTTGTATGCATTTCATGTTTATCTTCAATAATATTGTAATATCAATAATAATATGAAAGGAAATGTAATAATTGACTTTGACTGGGTCGATAAAAATAATAACAAAATGTCATTTGATGTGTAATTTTTCAAAGGTTCAATGGTGAATGAGAAAAATACAAAATGAACTTCATATCGTAGATGTTGATTATATGGGAAGCAGATTATTGAATGAAATGAAGAATGAAAAAAATAGTAATAAATTAGTTTTGTTAGTTAATATTTTTCTCATGATAAACACAAGATTTCATGATGATAAGTCTTGAATTGATTTTGAATCCCAAATGATAATAATTTAATACATAATATTTGATGTATTTAGGGAGAGAGGGAAAAACTATTCTCGACAATATTAAATAAATCAAATTCTGTTTTTTTTCTGGTAAAAAGCTCGTCATGATGATGAGAAAAGAAAAACTTAACATAAATCATATTAGTTTTTTCGTCACAAACAATGGATACAGATTGAAATTCTGGTGGAGAAAATCAATCGTTCAAATTGAATATGGACTCTATGTATTAACCCCCTTCTTCCTCTCACTCTCTAGCTCCTTCTCTCATCTTCATCATCGTAATCTTTTACATTGTACATTAGATTTGTACTTTAGAAACTATGATGAAGATATAACCTAGAATTGGGTTATCATGGAAAGATAAAGATGGAAAGATAAATTGTTACATTGAATATAATGATGATGATGAGAGAAAAAGGTAAGACAAAGATGGAAAATATTGTAACATTGAAAGCATGATTCTTTTTTGAGTAGACGTTTCTTTTTTTGAGAGAAAAAAATGTTCTAATTATATTTCCAGGTAAAGTAAAGCAAAAAAAGAGAGATAAAAAAAGTAAATTGAAAAGGTAAAGTAGTCTAATGTTGTTATGTATAAGGATGATGTCCCTTTTTTTTACCTGGAGGGAAAAAAGGCTCAGGTATTTGATGAAGATTGAGTAAAATGATGAAAGTAAGGATAAAATTGTAGTAATGATAATCAACTTATCTAAGGATATAAGAAAAATCTCAAAATATAAGTTGAGGATATTCATCAAAATGATTCCCTGTTCGTCTTATTCGTAAAATTAATATCAGATGAATGTCTTCTTACCTCCAAGTGATGTCAGATCCAAAGTGGTCAAGCATTTCTGGACAGGAGAAAAAAGTATAAAAACATTATTACTAATAACATCTATTATTTATGAATAAGCATCTTTTAAATAAACAAAATCGTCATTAGTATTTGAAAACATTAGAAATCATCATAAAGGTACATTGAAATGGATTCTGACGATAACAAGTAGATCATGAAAAAGCCTTAAAGGTTCAGTTTCATGTTGCTGTCGATTTTATCATCATCATCATCATCTTCTTCTTCTTCTTCTTCTTCTTCTTTTTCTCTTTTCTTTACTTTTTTTCAATTTACTTTTTCATCAACCAATTTTCAAGCAATTTCCCTTCAATACCCACATACAGAATTATATATCTATTTACACACTGATAATGATTCTGATTGAGTAGACAACATATAATAATAATGAAATATTTCTCTGTAAAACATTTATGATCATTGATAACTGATTTTTACTATTTTGTTATTTTGTTAACGTTAACACTATTCCAATTGTTTCTCAGTCTCGACCTGGAAATTGTTACCTGGACGTTTTTTTGCTTTCTCTTCACATTCTCAATTGCTATTCAACAATATAATGTGTTACTTTTTTTCACTTAAAATAACAGAAAATTCAACCTTTCGTTAGTTTGGTAACATTCATTTTCATCCATTCAACTTAATACACTTAACTTGTCTACAGTTTCCTTCTTGTTTTTTTTCTTCATGTGTATTTCTCAACATTCTGAAAAAACTTCTTCTTCACTCCCATTTTTACTCCCGATACAGTTTCTACTTCTCCCTTCCTCTTCTCTCTCTCTCTCTCTTCTTTTCCTTCCTTCCTTCATCTTCTTCTATGTTATCATTATTATTATATCATGAAAGATTCACATTATGATGATAATGGTGGCGTACAAAATGTAATATATTATTTTGGTGACACAGTCAAGATAAATTATCAACTATTAACCCATAGAATTGAGTTTTTTTGTTAATCGGATTTACCTTCCCTCAAATAATCATTTAGGATTAAAACTTATGCTAATTTCCCACTGAATTAGTTATTTTTTGTTGTTTCTTCTATTACTTACCTTTAATTTTCGTGTTGTCTCAATCTCTATTTCTGGTTCCGGGCTTTTTGTCCTTATTAGTTTACCTACTAATATGATACACTGTCTTTTCAAATTTCTCAATGAATAATTAGAGTCCATAGATGATTTATCAGGTTCCATGGTTTTAATTACTTGTATTGTATTATTATTATTGTTGTTGTTGATACTTTTGTTTTCTTATCCTCTTCTTATGTTATGCCTTTTGTTTGTTGTTACTTTGCAAAAATGATTCTGCTTTTGTTATTTTTCCAAGATGATGATAGTGATGAGGATGATTATTATTCTTATAATAATGATTATGATGATAATATGAGTCTTCGTTGATGTTATCCTAAAGAAGCAAAGAAAGAGAAAGAGAGAAATGTTAGAATAAGTGAAAGATTGTGCAAAGAGTTTGGGAATAAGATGATGTTTATGGTGGTAACTACTGATGATAATGATGATGATGAAGATGAGGATGAGGATGGTGGAAATAAAAAAAAAGAATAAGGTGAGAAAAAAACTCTCGAGAAAACTAAGTAGACCTGAAAGCTATTGGATCAACTTCATGGTTAAGAGGTAGAGTGAAGAGTCCAACTGGATGAATGAATATTACTTTGCAATCGTTTGTTGATCCATTTGTATACTTATATAATGTACATAATATATACCGGGTGGTTAAACATTTTTCTCAATGAAATAAACTTACTGGTCAAGAATATGGAAGCAATAAGAAGAAGAAATAAAAATATACAATACATAATATTAATAAAGATGATGATGATGATGATGATGATGAAGATAAAGAGGTAAAAGATGAATTGAATGATAATGGTAATGATGGAAAGCTCTTGCAATGATGAGTCTCTCTTGTTAATTACCCAAAGGGAATTAATCTGGAGGATGAATGAGAAGACTATCTCTTGACATGGGAGTAAAAGGAATTGAAAAAGACTCAAATCGTCATCTTTATCATGCCAATGATGATAAAATATAACAAGGAAAGAAAAGACAGAGAGGCAGAGGAAGAGAGAGAGAGAGAGAAAGGTTAAGTTGATGAATGAAAAAATTTCAAGAGTGAAAGAAAATTCCTTCAACTAGAGACCGTACACTTGACTTGAAGAGTAAAATTCTTAGGGAGTTTTTTCTTGCTCGAAAAAGATAAATATCGTTATGATCATCATAGTTATCATCATCTTCATCATTCTAACTTGGAAATATGTTGAAGATGTCTATGATAATGATAATCATCATCAGTAAGCATCATCTTTATCACGAAAAAATTGAAAAGGATGATTATTATGATGATGAAAGGAGGAAAAACTAGTAAAAAAAAGAGATCAATATGAAATGACAATTGGAAGATGATTACTGATGATATATTGATGATAAGTCCAGGGAAAGGTAATATAATTATAAGTTAATGGAAACATAAATACCTGTTGTTGTGATATGAAATTAATCAACAATTGATGATTACAATGTATATTTGAACAAACTAATTCTGCAATCAGCAATGTTGATGATGAGATCAGGTAGCGATTAAAAATATAAATTGTAGAGTAAACTTTTAATTATTGATACAAAAGTTGATCAATTTGAAGAAAAAAAAATTTTCTACCTCAATTAATTGAGATAAAAACACTATTTTATATTATGATGGTAATCCAACTGATTGAGTTTAATTTTGTGTGCACATAATTGTAAAGATTAAAGCTTTAGATGGAAATTAAATTGTAAGAGTTAATAATTAATCACAAACAATATGGAACCATTTTCCTGGATTTTCAATGTAGGAGAGAGTTGATGTGTTGATGATGTTTTCGTTGATTTGTTGAATGGGTCAAAGGTAAATCCTGATTGTAAGAGAGATGATAATGATGATGATACACAAAAACTGGTTAACACAATTAACAGGAGGGAGAAAACCAGAAAATGTTAACAACAGCAGAAAGCAAAACAATAGACGATAATCAGATTACCTCAATTCAACAATCCAAATATTTTTCGGTTTTCCAAATATTTTTTGATTACCTTGGTTGTTTGGTGAATTATTTATTGATTGGATAGACACAGGGAGAGAGAAAGAGAGAGAGAAAGGAGAAAGAAGGAGAAATAAAAGGATAGAGCAAAAATCCAATGAATAAGGAAGATGAAATTAGTGAATCATGAAATTCAAGAGATTCTGTGAATATTTTTGAGAGAGAGAGAAAAAATCACTGTAAAAAGAGTTGATTCACTTTTGTTTGTTTCTTTGATATTCCTGACATGAGATTCACAGATTTAGATTTGGGTCAAAGTTGAAAGTGATTACACTTTGTGGGAAGGATTTTGTACCTTTAAGATCAGCATCATGATAAAATATCGTTAATCCTGTTGTGATGTGAGAAATACATGCTGTTGGTGATGATATTTGTCGATATCATTTGAAATTGATCACAATGTGTGTGTAAGAAGATCAATGAACGAATCAAGATAATAAGGTGATGAGAAAGGATTACCACACACACACACACACACAGGATAGAACAGAATTGAATAAAGAAATCAGATCTCTTAAGATATCACAAAGTGCATTTCTTTCAGTTTATCAGGTAAAAATATCACTTTAAATCAACAGGAAGAAAAACAAAAACACAGGTAAGTCAGAATTGGAAAATCAGTTCTCGGTTAAACGTTCCTTAGACTATCGATTTGAATTAGTTGCGCCTTTTTAACAGACTTTTTTTTCCAGCCAAAAGATCAATATTTCAACCAGCAATTAGAACAATTCTTAAAGAAAGAAAGAAAGAAAGAAATAAGTGAATCAACAGTCATTAATCAGGTGAAATGTTTCAAGAGTTGAGAAAATAATTGACACAATTTAACGGAAAATCGCGTGAACGCACTAACAAGAAATAATCACTTGGTATATATACGGGGTGGCGATCGTTTTATACATGGACCTTTACCATGTAGTCCATGGTAATTTTGAAACATCTGAACTCCACTTTCTTGCTGAAGAGTCCATGATATCATATTAGGTTATATATATGTGTATGTATGTATATTATCACAGGGAATAGAACAGCAAGAAAAAAAAATCCAATGTTCAGTCAGAATTACATGGAGCAAGAAAAAAATAGAAAGACACAAGTAAAGCTACATAGACATGCTCATATCCATAAGCAAAAAGGTAACTGTAAATGTTTCCATGTACTAAATTGTCCAAGGTAAAACAATAATCTGGAGGCGCCATCACTTGCCATGGAATCAGAATAATCCATCCAAATTTTTGGAATCTCTAAAATAATTAAAGAAAAGAAAACAATAAGAAACAATAACATTTACCATTTGATAGATTGGAAAAATGAAATTACCTATAAAAGGGTTAACCCAATGTGATCAATTGTAACATTACAATATCAATCTAATTATAACTTAATTGTCTATGTAAATTTACAGCAGAACAATTGTCAATTTAAGTTATAATTAGATTGATACTGTGATGTCACATTTAATTGGTGATTCACTAATTAGATTGTATTTAAATTGGGTCACACCTATTCAATCAAATAGGAGATGAGTGAAAAATAAATCATTAGGTAGATTTAATTTTCAATACAAAAGAATCCTTGAAATGTTGATCAGGTAAAGCATAAGGTTTAAGACCTTGTAGAATCAATAATTGTCACAAACAACCAATTAACAACAATTAACAGATTAATAATTCTCACAAATGATTGTATTGAATGTCAATAAAGTAAATTAAGAGTGACAATCAAGTTACACTTAATTGAGCCAAACGAAAAACAGAAAAGAACATGAAATCACCAAAGATTATCAACCAAATAGACTTAATTTTAAATTCCAAATGTTATCCAGTCTCCCAGATGAACGTGAAACAATTAAATCAAACAAAAAGAATTCAAATCAAACCGAATTAAATTAAACTTGAGAAGAATAAAAATTAATTGCGAAAATTTAGAAAAACAATTTGATTTTTTTTCTTTTTTTCTAGTTAGTTTAATGTTCCCTAGATGGCGACACTTTTTCTTCTCTCTCTGGTTGTTTGTTTTGTTTTGTTTTCTCCCCTTTTGGAAAAAGCGGTAAAATCTTTTTACTTTGTTGTGAAATTTTCTCTTTAATTAATTAATTGTTTCGCCTTTTTCCCCTCAATGTTTGTCTTTAATTAGTATTCTAAATGTTTAGTTAATCGATTCGTTCCACTTTTAGGCTCACCTTCTTTTTCGTTTGTTGTTGAATCTGGTGTCTTTTCCTCTTTCTTCTGGTATCATGGATTCATCTGCATTGTCTATTAGTCATGATTATCTTGACATCGATTCCATCATCGCTTTGAGTACTAAGGTTACTACTAAAATGGAAGCAACTGTGGCAGGATTGGGCTTCATTGATCCAACAAGTGATTTGAAAGATATAAATAAAAACACTAAACTAGAATTGCCTCTTTGGTTAACCCGTGAATTGTACAATGATGGTTTGGTTTCATTTGATCTTCCCAAGGGTTACAATGAGTCTTTCCGTGAAGTTTTAAAGGCCGGAGCTGAGGTTGTTGATCTACATCGACTTGGACCTAATTTTTATCGTCTTGGACAATTTTTGGCGGCCATGAATTTACCAGAAAGCTGAAATAGCCTCCACTTTGGTGGAAACTTTTTTCCAACGTTATCGTAAAATCTATGATTTCTCAACCAATTCAACAACTTTTTCATCTCTATCCACAGGTTAGCTATTAATTAGATTCTCTCATCATTTATTTATTAGTTTTCTTTATATTATAATCTTTATGTTAATTTATTTTTTAATATTCACTTTCAGATTTATCTCAATTCACTGGAAGACTTGATAATGAGGAGAAAAAATTGTTTGATGAAACTTTCAAAGCGATGGAAAAGTTCAAATCATGGCAAGACCGAAGAATTGAGAAAATTCAATCCAACGAATTAGTTAACAAATTGAGAAAACGGAAAAGAGCTGCCATGGAATTGGATTAGTTTATTACTCGATTAAAATTCAAAAATAGGATCAAAATTATTTGGAATATGTCAACTTAATTACAAAAAAAAAATCTCTCAATCAAATGTTTTCCATTTAGATTTAGGAATATCAGATCCACCATTTAATTTAGTTTTATTTGACTTGTTGATAAATTGTTGATTTGATGGTTTATTTGATGATTGATAATTTGTTGCCACTTTCAGCCTATCCTTTGGTATAGTTAACTCAATATGTTGATTAGATGATTGGTAATTAGTTGTCACTCTCAGCCTATCCTTTGGTATTGTCAACTCAATTTGTTGATTTGATGGTTGATAATTTGTGGCTACTTTCAGCCTATCCTTTGGTATTGTTAACTCAATCTGTTGATTACCAACACAATTTAAATCATTTCCATTTTTTTGATTTATTTTAGCTTTTGAATTGTTGTTACCACCAACTTCCTGGGGTAAGGATCCTTTTCCAGTGAGCTGTTTTTAATACCATAACCAAAAATCATGATGAAATCTTTAAAAGAGACAAAAATAAATTAATCATAAACTCCAATTAATCAACTGATTAAACTTACCTATAGTCATCCAAATTGAAAATCTAACTAATGTCAATATTGAGAGCCTAAAGATCAGGTAAATGTTAATTACGATGGCTAAAGCAGGCACAAAAGGGACTCCAGGAGCTTTGAATGGTACTGGTGGTGGTGGTGATGGTGTTGTTGCTGTTGACGATGGCGGAATTAATGTAATTGTAGTTGCAGGTCTTAATTGCGTTTTTTCATATTCACAAAGTTGACCAACAAAACTGAAATTTGGTGAGATTTTTGGTCGTTTATCGGCAACAAATTTGAACGCATCATCGAAATTCATTTTTTTACTGAACATGAGATAAGCAATGACGATAGTTGGAGATCTTGATATGCCAGCATGACAATGGATTAAAACAGCACGTCCTGATTGTCGAGCTTCCTCTGGAATAAATAACATTAAGAGAAAATGAGTTTCATCAATCTAAAGTCAATTGATTGGAAAAATTTTCGGCAACAAATTATTTCGCTTTTTTCTGAAATACTAAATGATTCAAATGATGTGATCATTTGATTGTTAAGTAAATGTAGTGTTTGTATCAATACAATCAATTTAAGATACTGAGAGATGAAAAAAAGTTTCACCAGATTCAATCTAACTGGTGGTTCTATGGGAAATGACGGGATTCGGCCTGATATTCAGAGAGAGAAGATTCGGTTCAGTGTAATATAAATTCAAAGTACTTTTGTTAATCACTTTGTTCATTTTCTAAGTTATCTTGTTGATTTGTCTTCTTAAATCGACAAATAATCGCTCATTTATAAAGTAAACTGATCAGCAATTTAATTTGTTCTTTGAATGCAACAAATGGTCACAATTAAAGATCGAGAATTTGAAACTTACCGATAAATTTGAAAGATTCTTCGAAATACTGGACTAAGTTCTGGTCGAAAGAGTCTCGAGCAGGTATTCTCTTATAATGAATGGAATGGTTTTCACCTTCGCCCGGTAGATCGGCCGTAACATTGAGCACATAATAAATATTGTGACATTTTAATCTCTCAGGATCTGAGGCATCGGATTGATCACCAAGGTAAAGATAAGGTAAGATTAGTGTACCACAAGGAACCATGTTAATGATAATTAAAAGGATATGATGATTAACTACAAACAGAATAAAAAATAAATAATAAACAATAACTTTTCTTTCGTTTGTCAATTTGACGAGATTAATGTCATCTGACTATGGAAAATGTGATGTGATGTATGATTCATTCTCAAATGTTGATGAGTAACATAGCAGATGATGAAGAGAAGAAAAGTGAGAGAAAAGGAAGAGAAAAGGAGAGAGTGAGACCGAGAGAGAAAGAGAGAGAGAGTCGAGTGAGTTGCATCTGAGTGAGAAGACGGGAAGAAGTGAGCAGAAGTAAAAACTGACACATAACCATGGAAACACTCACTCATTCATAGTAAACTACAGCCACTTGTTAAATGATTCACGCAGTTAAATATAATCAATGAGAGAGATAAAGTTGATGATAATTAGTGAGAGATATTAATTAGTTCCAGCGCTATCTCTTGGTGGAGATTGGAAAGTCAACCAAATTTGAGTTTCAACTTGGAATTTTTTGTTTTCTTCTTTCGTTAATTGTAACAATTAATAGCTTTTAATAACTTGGCCTAATTGATGTTGATTAGTGGAAGCGATTAGAGGATACAAGAGATTAAGAGGGTAACAATTTAGTCGTTGATTTAATTACTGGAAAGAGGAAAACGTATTATATTCATTATGAATGTTATTAGATTTTGTTGTATGTTGAGAGTGAGAAAATCTTGTTAATAGGATTTTATGAAATTAAGAAAATTGTGATAATGTGTTCATCTTTTAATGGAAATGATCAATTCCATGAGAGTTTATAAATAGATTTATTTGCAAATTCAATGAATGGAAATTTACTCAAATGAACCATGATACTTAATCATCATTCTCGTCATCATCTTCATCTTCATCTTCATCTTCATCCTCATCTTTATCCACCTTTGCTTCATCTTCATCAGTCAACTTCCCACTTCTTGTGTAGTTTTTTTTTATGAAAAAAAGGCCAAAAGGAAGCCCAAGTAAAACCCTTGAGGGGTTTTATTCAATTCTCATCCAATTTAATTCATAGAATCAAAATCATCAACAATTTACATGAATAGAAGTGCAAGAAAAACAAGATAAATCTAATTCCAAATAACAAAATCTGTTTATAGCTTCAAGTGTAACATGGAAACAGGAAAAAGATTTGATATCAACCTAGAAATGGAATCACATTTATCTCCATCTTCATCCTCATCCTCATCATCTTTTATCATGTAACCATAGAGACTCTTGTTAAATGGTAAATATGAGATGATGAAGAAAAGTATGATGATGAAAAAGAAGATAAATTCAATACAAAAAGAAGAGAGAGAAAAAAAAATCTACAAAGAATAAAGAAAAATCCTCCTTTCTCTTGTTATTAAATCTATTCCGTTATATTGGAATTCATTGAGAATTTTCATCTTCTATTATATCACAAAATTCATCACATTTTCCTCATCCCTCATCTTTAGCATCCTCATCACTTGAAATTTATTGGTTCATTCCTGTTCACCTTTTTTTTGTGTCTTGGTCAATCCTCATTGTTAACTGGTCAATTAATGGATAATCAGTTAATTCAATGTGACAGTTTTATTATACAAAATGTCATCTCAATGATTATCAATGATCACCAACATCTTAATCATTTTGATTCTGTTAGATTATCAATCCAGTTTATTGATTAATTAAGCATTGGAAGAGTAAACAATTATTCATGTTGATGATTAAAATTAACTCTCAAGAGTTAATTTGATTGTATATTATAATTATTATCATCTCTATGTAAATATGATAGTTATTAATTCAAATTAATTATAACAGTTTTTTTTGCTTGCCAACTCATTGACTTAATTGTTACCGTTAATTTTGTTTGAAAAATAAAACTCTCGAGGTAAAGTTAATCTAATTCACTAGTTAATTTGAATTTTTCGCCAACAATTTATTTAATCAACATGATAACCAATGGATGTTGATTAACTTGGAGTAACTAATGGTTAGGCCGAGTTTCCTGCTGATTGTGATTAATTAATTCAATCCTCCCAAGTATTGATGATCCACCAATGGTGATAATTTAACAGGAGAAGAAGCAAAAAATTAAATAAAAGTAAAAGGGTTAATATAATCAACGATTACAATTAATCAACAATGTTCACTGATTGTTAAGATGATGATGATAATAATCAAGCCAATTAATTCCTATTGGTCAATTGTACAATCAACAATTAAAACAAATCATCAAGCTGATCACCAATGGAAAGCTTAATGATTATTATGATAAGGTTAATGATTTTCAATTATTTAAATTGTAAACCCAAAAAACAGTTAACAATCAATTTAAATTACAATCCCAAGATAGTTTAACATACAATGAATCACAATTGAATCAATTATTGATCACTAATCTAAGAAGGAGGAAAATCATTATTACAATAATTTAATAATAATCTTAAAGGATTAAGGCTTAAAAAAAGGTTAAGGAAAAATAATATTACCGTTAATAGTTGATTAACAATTTACTATGATTATAAATAATGATGAGAGAGAGAGAGAGAGAGAGAGAGACAATCTAGTTTAAATCAATTGTTAATCCAGTTTGAAATTGTTGCAATAAAAAAAGAAAGAGTTGAAATTAAAAGTTTCTCATTGGAAAATCCTTAACATTGGAGATTATGATTAAGATGATAATCCCTTTGGTTGATTAAATTTTCAAGTGTCACCCGAATTGAACTAGTTAATCTCAACTGTTCAGCAAACACACACACACACACTGACACCCAGAGCAGCAGTTACATGAGGAGGAAAGTGGAAGGTGGGAAAATAAAGTTACACTAATCTCTTAAAATTATTGAGCTTCCAATTTCCAATTTCATGGACTATCAAGACTATTAAGGATAATCCATCTTACAGAGTGTTCAAAAATCCACCCTCTAGACTCAGCATCATATCCCTCAGCATCCACTCACCATCACCACCACCACCATCATCATACTCACCACCTCCTCATCAGTCCTCCTCTTACTGTATCTTCATATTACTGAGCTCATTAGTTATCCAAAAGTATCTGGATTATTGTGCAAGTTATTTGCTTGTTAGGATGAGAGAGAAAGAAAAAAATAATCATCATCATCATCTCCATCGTCATCTTCATCTTTATCATCATCTGTATCAATTTTCCTCTCTCTTATTTACTTAATAATAATAATTTTCCCGCTCCCACCATCTGATCATTGTTATTAAATATCAATATCTGTAACTGATGTTACTCATTAATCACAATTTTCATAGCATTTTACAAGCATTTCAATTCAATTTCAGTTCTGTTTCTGGTTTCATTGTTTTTTATTTATTTTCATGATTGTTTATTAAATAAATCAATCCAATTTCACCTTAACCTTAATCCTATTGTCATTACAATGTGTCTGTTTCATTATAATCATGATTGTTACCATTAACTTTTATGATTAACTTTTACAACAAACAAACGGCATTTGATTTAATTTGATTTCTGTTATTATCATTATTATCATAATGATCACATTAATTTGAATATTTTCCATATCTTTAGGCTCTTTCCTTTAGTTAATGGTACATCGAAATGTATTAATATTGAGAGTTAGAACTTTTTTTTTCTCGAGTTCTAATGGTCCAAAAATCGATGGGAAATGTTTACTTCCTGTTAGTATGAAACATTATCGTCTATTATTTTGGTGTTGGTCATTTGAATCATATCAGGAAATGATAATGATGATGATCAAAGATGATGAAAATGATGACTAAATAGTAAGATGAGATGATAATGATGACAAGTATCATGTTCAATCATCATCATCATCATCTTATATTTTCATGATAATAATTTGATATTTTCAGGTTCATTTGGAGCAAGAAAAGTTTGTTATTGTTTTTACAAAACTCTTTGAGTAAACAATTAGTTAATTATCTTAGTTAATAGTAATTATATTAATATTTTAAGTATCACGATCTGTTAGGGTTAGTTTCAATTTACTAATCAAATTAATATAATTGAGATTGTTATTAGTATTATGAGTCAACTAATTATAATTAGTCTTTAATTGTAAATAACTGGTTTTGGTTACAATCGGTTTAGTATTGATTAGAATTGACTTTGATTACTTTTTAAATCATTGATAGTAATTGTTTAAAGGTTGGTAATCATAATTGTTAAGGTTAAAATTAATCTAATTATTTGGATTGATCATCTCTCTTGATAATCAATTGATTGTTTTTTTTTCTGTTGCTGCTCTGATTATAAACCAAAAATCAATTTAACCAACAACAATTGTTTGTCACTATAATTATTGGTTAACATTATCAATTGATTATTGACCATTACAAATAATAATGATGATTAACAAATTCAGAGGAATCAAAATAAACTAACAAGAAGCTTGATTCACACACAGACACATAGAGAAGATGATGATGATGATGATAAAGATGATGAAGATAGGGATAAAGATGGGTGGGAAAATAGAGAATGAGAGAGAGATTTTTTTTCTCATCATCATCATCATCATCCCAATGGGCATTTTAACTGATTCCGGAAACCAAGGGAAACCCTAAGTTACAAGGATAGTTAAAGGTCCATTGGATGATGATGAAATTGGATGATAAAAAGGGAAGATAAGAAGATGATGATGTTGATCCACACGCGACAAAACCAAGTGTGTGTCAGGATGAGACTTTGATTCTCCACCCCCCTTTCGCCGGATGATGACGCTAATTGAATGAGTGGCGAAATGAAGATGAGAAGGCGAAAGAAAGGAAGTTTGTTTTTGTTTTGGATGAGAAGATGAAGATTAGTCATTGAAGAGAGAGAGAGAGAGAGAGAGAGATATTCTCTTCATCTTGAAGATGATGATGATATTGAGATCTGATTAATACCATAACAATAACAAACAACATTCAACACTACAAACTGGACATTCAATTGATGAGGATGATAAAGATGAAGATGAATATTTATTATGTGAAAATTTATCATTGATGAAAATCATCTTCATCCTTTCATTCATTTGGTCATTTGGTCAATTTTATTGTAATATTATTATTATTATACATTCACCTCCCTGTGATGTTTATTTATGTATTAATATCATTTGAATGATAGGGTTAACACATTTAAGGTTAACAATTTAATCCAACAATTAACTGATCAAACAATACAAATATTATACTGTAAATATCCCTTT